AAGACAAGCAGTGATACTTGTTTATAGCCACTCCCATGTCAAAGGTGACACTTTGACATGTCAATTGTTTGGCTTCATTCATGCAGAAGTGGTTCGGTGGCGGATCAGCCCTGAAATATCTCTAACATTGCTGTCCGGACTGTGCCTCACAGGTAGGAATATATTCAATGTACACATGTACATTTTGTGTCTCTATGGAAGGTTTGTCACGCTACGTAGAAAGTTATTACACATATAGCTTTTCTCAGACTAGAAAGCATATGCTGTAATAACTGCTCATTTGTAGTCCATGGGCCATGACCCTAAAATTGGGTAGCTTTATACCTGCTATCGACCTTCAGAGATATCACCCTCTAAATGAACCAAGTATTGCTTATTACTTTAAATGGGGTGGGGGGGATTTGCTGGTAGAATCTGCTGTAAGAATCACAAAAATGTGAATTATTTAGTTGTCAGTATTATGTATTTATTCACGTTACCTATGGGTCCTTTGCGTGCCTATCGTATCAAACTATATCATAAGGGTAACAAATGAAAATCCTCCTTTTTGATCTTAGATCCTAGTTGGAAACACGATTGGTGAAGACGACACACCAAATCTGGTGACCAGGCACTTCCACACTGCCTGCACTGCCAAATAGGACGGCTCAGGATGGAGCTGGGACTTGACGGTACTGAAATCACTCTCACTCACTCTGTTACACTCTCACTCACTCGGTCACTCACTCACTCACTCACTCACTCACGAATTTATTCCCTCTGTTGTTTATAAAGGTGAAAAGAACTGTACGGAGATTTCCTCAATTTATTTGAACTTCTTCTCTGTTCGTTTTCAGGCTCCGATGTTTGTTTTCCCGAGTCTTGTGACAGTTGTGAGACGACTTTGGATGAGCTGGACACGGACACGTGCGGCTGTGTTCCAGGGTACACCGATGGAACCTGCTCTATTGGACCGTCCAGTAAAGTTGGAGTTGGTTTGGGGACCGGTGAGGAAAAATGTTTTTCTTTGTTGTTGTTGTTGTTGTTGAAATGTCCCTTTATCTCATAGCAGCCTTGTGTGCTTAGATGCATCACTCTTTATGGAAGTATTGTTTTGGGCGGCGAGCTGTTGGTTTGTCAATTGGTCTATTTGAAATTGTACAGAACGCGTTAGAATGTTTTACAAACTTTGGTGCTTGAATTTTAGGTGCAATCGTGGGTACTGTTCTCGGCATCCTGTGTTTCCTGTTGCTGGTGGGAATACTTCTTGTGTACTTCAAAAAGAGGTGAGAGCAAATTTTGCAGAAATGTACTTCTCATTATCCGCACAAGTTATGACCCAGTAAACAGGCCCGCATGAACATGGCACTTTATTACTTAGGGCCCGTGCACACACGTCGTACGATAGCCGTACGATCACAACCTGACTGCATTCTTGAAATACCAGGGCCTGTTTCCTTCAAACGTCACCTGTCTTGTTACGGAAAGGGCTGTCTTAGATCCTTGTCAGCGCTATATTCTCTCACAACCTGCTTGAGCATATCGCGGCATCAACATCGTGTAACGACTTATGAGGAATGTAGCGACCGCACCGGTAATGGTACAAGACGTGCACTATCCTGGTTCAAAAATGAAACCCAAACGGTACAACAATGACTTGACGGTACTGAAATCATTTTCACTCACTCTGTTACACTCTCACTCACTCACTCGGTCACTCACTCACTCACTCACGAATTTATTCCCTCTGTTGTTTATAAAGGTGAAAATAACTGTGCGGAGTTAACAGTAAACAGGCCCTTTATTACTTAGGGCCCGTGCACACACGTCGTACGATCGCCGTACGATCACAACCTGACTGCATTCTTGAAATACCAGGGCCTGTTTCCTTCAAACGTCACCTGTAGTGTCACCTGTAACGTCAAATGTAGCGACCGCACCGGTAATGGTACAAGACGTGCACTATCCTGGTTCAAAAATGAAACCCAAACGGTACAACAATGAAATTCTACATTTACAATACATGATAGATTTTAACGATCGCTTTAATTTCCCAGATTGAGGGCTAACAATGAACATCCTCAGCAGCAGAGCATGCAAATGACGACAACCACGGACAGAAATGGCGGGGGAGACACTGAGTGATCATGGCGACAACCTGGACACGGCTAAGAAATAGGTTTATACGTAAATTTTAACTGCAACGTAAGGTATAATCTGCTACATAACAAGATATAATATGAGACTGATCTAACATACAAACATGATATGAGACTGATCCACCTTACAAAGACTAATATGTGCTCATGATCTGATGAGAATGTGCTTTTTACAATCAGGTGGGACGTTTTGTTGATATGGAGCAACTGCGATGAAGGCAATAAAATGTTCGAAAGCATGTAGATACGTACATGTGTGCTGATACTACTGAACCTACAAGCACACTGAAGACTGTGAAGATTAGGAGGTCATAAAACAGCCACTTAGATATTTTAAGGATATCTATTTTGGATTCTTGGACGTGTGTTCACCACGTTGTAGAATGTTTGAATCCTTTATGTATGTATTCCATGCGTATCTATCCCCCATCGTTCCCGTGCCTGGAGATACTCGTACTCCAGGTTATGGCGTCACAGCGCCACATAGCGACCGGATAGCAGCCCACAATGCAACATTTTCCTGGACCTATCACTGCGTATTAAACTGTCGACAGGTCGCAACAACAGACCAATGGCACTGAGGCTCTGGTGGGGTTTTCGAAGTAATCAACCACAGTGTACTTAATCAAAGAAAACAAAATATCTAGTGTCTAGAGTAGGTGGTAAACAAGTTATTCATTGCTTGTAGAAAATGATAAAAGTGGTTAGCCATCTGTATGATAAGATTGACTGATAATTAAGTATAAGCCCACACGTGGATGCGTATATTGGAAGTCTTCTCCCTGCATGTCAAACTCCGTTCATTCTGTATTTCGATCGTATGGAGTAAAGACGGATTCAAGGATGACCTTTGGGTTCCGGTCGCCAGTTTTTCTGGTGTTTCTTTTTGTGACTGTATGGTTGGGGGCAGTTCAACCATCCTCGGGTCAATCGCAAGGTAGGCATTGTATTTTTAATCTAAAAAACATTAAAGTTTAGTCGTATAACATCCGGAAAACATATCGTCTTATGTGACCTATGTCTGTGTAATTTGAGCTGATGAAAGACTATAACTAACTGCTGTCTGCAAATCGGTTACAAATATAAACATGTAGAGGAATTGATTTTATCGGTTCATTGAAAGCAGGCAGATGAACGCGGATTGGGGATTGAAATCATTACTAGTGTCCTGTTTATAAGTTTCAGGGCAAAGTTTGACTGCTTTAACATGGAATCACTCTTGCTCGATTGACTCGATCAGTGATACACAATTACAAATGAGCAAACATTTGGTGGATACACCCAATGCATTACAAACAGTTTGTCGACTTATCAGGTAGTGACTACTTTTTAAAAAAATATCTAGATCTGTATGCCAATGGCATGCATGAATGGGAAAAGTGCATGTGTACATCGGACGCAGTTTTCAGAGTTGTTCCTTTAAATCGTTTTATCTGTACCTTTGTAAATTTCCTTGAATGACGTATTAAGAAAAATAAAAAATGTGATAAATTATTGGATGAAATTGTGGTTGGAGTAGTGGTGCCAGAAATTTACTTTTAAGTAGTAAAAACACTGTTCAAACACTGAGATGACACCGGACGCACAGGTAAACACATTTTCTCCTCCATGCATCTCGTCCCCATTTCTGACATTCTGACGGGGAAAGCTATTCAGTGTTTATTTGCCAACAAATGCAGTACGTGCACGGTGATGAACAACAACAAAAGTTGATTTTGAGATTAACTTGAGAAAAACACGAGTCACAATCAGACACACGTACGTCAGGACAGAGATTGTGGTCAATGAAAAGGGAGAGAAAACGAACCTGTCTGATAACGCTTGGTTTATCTATCAAAGTCCAGAAGAGTGAAATAAAGAAACAGTTTTGAATAAAAGTTCATGCATTAAAGACATTGGTTTTCATATTGGCCTTTTGGGCCAGGGGTGTATCCATTGCGCGTGTATGACTAACTTATCACTCGAGATTAAAATCAAATTTGAGAGCTTTCGATTACAAACAAGGCAAAATCGAAAGTCAAGATTGGAGTGGACAGTTGGTATTATATTTCACTTATGTTGGGTAAGTGGTATATCCCACCCGCTATGATATGTTCATGACTTAACTACTCAAAAACTTGTGCAGTTACCATGTCAATATCTACAAAGTAGACGGTATTCCTGAGAGATTGCTATTCAAGACTATAGCCTCATTTGTTAGGGAAGGAAGGAGATTAAGGAAGTGTGATGCCGTGTTTGTGATGTTGACTTGGAGAATAAAAATATTGGCAAAGTAACGCGTGAAGGTGAAAGAATGAGAAGGTCATTCCATTATTATGAGAATTGGGACAACAACTTGCAACATTGCAACGTGGTTGTTATTATCATGATAATGCCTTTCACGAAGGATTACGGCAAACACAAAGCTCATACCGCACAGAAACGTCTAATTCCAAACAACAATATACGAAGGCCATGCCAAATGGTATTGAATTCTAAAGGAAACCAATGGTTCGCTGGTTACGCCTTTATCAATTCTAACCCTTAATAAACACATGTCCAGGTCTAACGCTGTGCACTGGGCAACACTGGGCAAGAAGAGTTCGGATACCTAATACCTGGGACTTTTGTAAATTCTGTTTCAATCAGCATAATCTAGTTTAATTGATAGTCTTATTTTTCTTTTTTTTTTACTCAAATTAGATACCGTGTATACATGGAAGTCCTATCTTTTGGCAGGAATCCATTTTAACATTTCGTCGCTAATCTTGGAAATGACCTCTAAATTTAAATTATCTATGCATGGTGATGTTCAACTTTAACTAAATCTTGGTATATTGAATTGCTGTAGTGCTTGCAGCGGGCTGTAACACCTCTCTGGGTATGCAGAATGGTCTGATCCAGAACGACCAGATCAACGCATCGTCCTACAACCGGACTGGGTACGAGAGTTGGCGGGCCCGTCTGTACGGTGACCGGGCCTGGTGGATGGCTCTGGGCGACACCGAGAGATGGTTACAGGTGGCGACATCACGTTGTGACTCGGAAGTCCGAAATAGACATCATTGTGGATAGTTGATCCAACGTTAACGTATCGCAATTCGAAAACTTATAAATAATCTGTTGCAAGAAAAGAGACATAGTCATATCATTCGTATCGTTGTCCTGAGGTTTACTCTATGCATTGATGTTGTACAGGAATATCATCAAGGTTTGGTACAGTGGATATGCAAATTATGTCCTACTGTTAAATGCGGTTGAGCATGATTTTCGGACTTGAAACGAAATAAGCTGTGCTTTCATCAGAAACATGTATCTGTAACTATATAGCCGGTATATACAGATGTAGACTGTTCTTTGAGTCATTTTTTGTCTCAAGGTTGTTGCTTTTTTCTCTAGGTTGATTTTAGGTCCCGGGTCCCACGGGTCGTCACCGGCATACAGACACAGGGGCTGTGGGGAGGGTGGGTCACGTCCTACACCGTCTCCTATAGCAACGACAGCCTGGACTGGTCCATGTATGGGGGCGGACAGGTTAGCTAACCTTGTTTCTGGGATTCCTGCTTGGGTTCAATCACTTTTTTTGCATTTATTTAGTCTTTGTAAATGATACATTTTGTTTTCCGGTTGCTTCAACCTCATATGATAGAAATCGTCTTAAATACTAACAAGAAGCCATAGGTGACAATCCTCCGTGAAGTTTTTATATTTTGCAACAAAAATAACCCCAAGCGTCAACGCCAGACCTACTGTGCAGACATAAGGCAACGGTTAATACAATGAGGGCGCGTCACAACCATAAAACATAAAAAGACCCAAATCCATTACTGCTCTCAGGGCGTGTAAAGATACTGTGCTTCAAGTTCGAAGTTCATTTTAATTACACACACACAATCATTGCATTCACATAAAGATCGGACTATCATGGTCGTGTCACTAGTAACAAAGACAGCCCCACCGTCTTACCGTGCCTGTTACTTATTAAGCGCGACTGGCAAATTCCAGCAACAGTTGCGGCCAGCACCGCGAGTGTTACTGCCGTGGTACCACTTATCGGCCCCTCACCATCTGCCTGAAGTTCCACCCCCCCCCCCACCGCTATTCCAAACAACGGGTTTTTCTGGACCATTCCAATTTGCCTTATAATTGTAGGGGTGCATCTGCAATATTACATTGACCGCGAAAGCAGCAACGGCAAAAATACACATTCGTGCATCAACACGTGCATGCCCGCAGAAGGCGTATAAAATTGCATGCCGATTACACAAAGAGAACCCAGTGTTTTGACTGCGAACACGAAAAAACAGCTACTCACAACACTCCGTCCGGAGGTCCTGACCTCCTTCACGGAGTAATAAAACACACGCACAAGTTTCTATGTTAACTTTTGGAAGTATTGTTTTCGATGGCTGAGTTGTGGGTTTCTCTGTCTGTCCTAAGTGATTAAGTTGTATGGTAGGTGGGAGGTGATTTTGACAGCCTGTTTCAGCACGCGCTGGGTGGGAGTGAGTAAAATATTAAGAAATTCAGAAAGTGGTGTCATAGATTGTAAATTACATCATACAGTTACCACCAAATGCATAGTCCTAAGACATTCTCAAAATCACAAAATACTTCCCGGAATTAAAGCTTGGATTTCTTATTGATCATAGATTCTCACTGGGAACACAAACGGCAGAAACGACACAGTCCAACACGACTTCACGCCGCCTCTAGTCACCAGGTACCTCCGCGTCAACGTCCGGGCATGGCACGACCAAATAGCACGGCTCAGGATGGAGCTACTGGGATGTGACGGTAAACACATCAAACAAGCAATCACTCAGACACTCACTCACTCACTCACTCAGACACTCACTCACTCGCTCACTCACTCACTCGCTCGCTCACTCACTCACTCACTCACTCATTCACCCACTCACTCACTATCCACCCACTCACTCACTCACCCATCTATTCACCCTTCATTCATGCATTAATTCACTCACTCACTCACTCATTCACTCACTCATTCATTCATTCATTCATTCATCCAGTCAGTCATACGAAGCTTCTCTTGAAGAAAATTAAAATAGCAAACTTAAATTTTGTGAAGTGAAGTGAACATGAATTACTTTTTTCAAGCGGAGTCCTTAAGATGTTTCTGTCCATTGTCAGGTATTGATAATTGTACTCCCGAGCCCTGTGCCAATGGCGCCACCTGTTATGACGAGCTGGACACGTACACGTGTGCCTGTGCTCCAGGATTCACCGGGGACAAATGTACTATTGGTGAAGGTCTGAGTGCCGGTAAGGAACACATATTCTTTTATTGGTCTTGTTCAAATGCCCTTCTATCTTTTTTTTTGCTTGGAAGAAGCATGAACCAAGCATTCGTCATATTTCAAGCTACCAAAGAAAGAGAGTACAGCTTTAACTCTGTCCCGCGAATACACTGAATGTGATTTTAACAGTGAATATTATCATCATGAACAGTGTCTGTTATGATTTTCTGACTGCATTGTTATACAAAATTAGACTTTTCAATTTTAGGTGCAATCGTGGGTACTGTTCTCGGGATCCTGTGTTTCCTGTTGATGGTGGGAATACTTCTTGTGTACTGCTTCAAAAAGAGGTGAGAACAAATAGCCTAGAAAATACCTCTTACCAATATTCCAGTTAACCTGTCAGTATGATAACGGTACTTCCGTAGTACACGATTGTTCACTAGACATAGCTGTCCTGAATCATGAACTTGAAAACAGAAAGTAAGAAAAGAAATAAAAAATTATAGACTTCCCGAAAGTATTAGAGGGTCTGTTATGAAATCCTCGGGTTCCTGACCCCCTCTCATGTCGACCCGTAATTCCAGATGGTTCCCTGTCAGAACAATTTCCTATGTCTGACCTTTTGACTTCCTGTCATTTTGCCTGTCAATCTCCCCAATGGATAAACATACGCACAAATCAACAGCCCAGCCACCCAAAAACGTACTTCCGACAAGAATACTACGTAGTTACATAGCATGACAGAGTTCAAAGATCGCCTTCAGGTACACTCGTATGTTCCAGATTGAGGCCTAGTGCACGAATCCAGGCAGAGGTCTCACGTGAAGATGGCACTGATGAACAAGCAAATGACGGCAACCACAGAAATGGCGGGAAAACACCGAGTGACCATGGTGACGACCTCGAAACGGCTACGAACTAGGTTTATACATAAACTTTAGTTGAACGACAGCTGTACAAGGTACAACATACAGCTTCTACTCTATTATACTCCTTGCTAATCTACCTAACAAAAGAGTAAGGTAGTATGCAATGAGAATACGCTTTTATAACTATCGGTGATTCTTCTAAATGTACAATGCAGAAGTTAATACATGCCAATATGTGCTTTAATTAGCTATTTGAAACCATTGACCGAAATCCTGGAATAGAAGACCTGTATATAGTGAATTATGCATCTATTGTACATCAATATATTGTAGACGTATGTATATAAACAAAAAGTGATCTTCGTCTTCTATTAGTTATGAACTATATAAATGCAAATGTCTATGTCGCATTTAAACGTTTTATTATTACCCAATATATACATATGATTTGATGTAGACATATCAACATGAAAATGTTACTTTACCATTTGATGGTATGATATTGATATCTTATCTTAATTCAATTGTAATAATGATAGGTCATCTGTAGAGTTTTCACCAAATTTTGGTACGGCCCTTATATGTCTTATATGCATTGTTTTGTTTTTGTACTGAATTTCATTGTATTGCATGAATAGATTGTCTGAATTGCAGTGGACATGGTTATGCTATTTCTCTTCCTATATATATAACTGAGTAAATTATATGTACAACATTTCATAACAATGTTTTGTGTTATACATAACTAACGGTAATCACCAAATGATCGTTTTAAAAAGGCAAACTCTAGATACCACTACTAAATGGATGGCGCATTAGTAATAGTTACCTCAAACATCGTAAGTAACATTTGTCTGTTCGCTGTTTGTTTGTTCGCTTGTTTGTATGTTTGTTTTTTACTTCTGTTAGTAATATATTAGCTACCTTATCTGTGGTGAACACGATTACTCGTTTCCCTATTCTAGCTTGACTTGTCGCAAATGCTAAAGATGCCTGCTATAAACTTTCATTACCTTAAGAAATTACGTCGGTTTCTTTGGTTTCACTTTCCTCCCCCGAAGTTTACGTCCTTTGGGACTCTTAATGTTTTCTTATCTTTCTTCCACCAGTACAGATCTCTCTTTCCTCCTCCAAAGATTCTGGCTTTCGAGGCCCTTAATGTTTTCCGCTTTATCTTTTGCTCTTAATTTTTTTCTTCTCTTTCTTCTTAATAGCTTTGTTTTTCTTTTTCGTTTTCTTTTTTTCTTTCAATAGCAAATTTAACTTTTGACCTACCCATGACAATCCCCCCATCTTTCCCCATCATTTTTCCCTTCTCTTTCCTCCACATTGCTGGGTGTCAATGTTTTCGATTTCAAACCAATAGGCTTATTACTACCACTGAGGTTTGTAATTTCCTGGTGCTGTTGTTCAGGTACAGAAACGTATTTCTCCCCGGGTACCTGTAGCTGGCTACCGTTGGATTTTCGGAGCTCCGCATTTTGACGCAGTGCAAACTTCCTATCCCAGACTCCCCTGCGCCGTTCGATTGCCTGACAGAGCGAACCGTCCGCTTCAAACTTGTCGTGCCACCTGCTTTTCTCCACCCCGAAATGAGTGAAATTCCGGCCCAGGTGGCCCTTACATGCTTCAAAATATACCCACGAATTTAGCCGTCTAAAATACTCTACTTCCTTCATAAAACCTGGACCCATGTGTTGGGACGTTTCATTAAATGTTTTTTGAGAGTATGTATGGAGGGCAAAGTCAATGCTGCTCCAGTTCTGAAACGTCATTTGTTGTTTGCGATGCAGCGTTATATTTGCGAAGCGATTTGTTTCAATGATGTTGTTGTCTGGCTGGTATAAGATATCCTGCATGTCCCAGCACATGAGTCTTCTGAGCAATACCAGAGATTCGTCGAATCGCTCCGCAAGTAACACCACTCTTATAGTCTTTTTCACCTCCTTCAGATGAGCCGTGGTACGGTCATCACCCATTTGCCAACTCATGCCGAATCCCAAGTCAAACGCCTGGCGGTTTTTGATGGGATGGTGTGTCTTGAAGGTGGCTGAATCGTTGACGGAGTACAGATAGGGATCCTTGAAGAACACGTTGATAGGGTCTTTGCCGCTGATATTGTAGTGTTTGTGGAGCTTCCACTGGTGAAATGAAAACTTCATGTGGCTCACTGGGTGTTGAAGCATGGTGAAATAAACGGTGTCCGCTGGCATCTTCCTACATGGGAAGGGGACAGTACTTCTCAATTTGTGCCCAAAATCTTTGCTTAATATCAAAACGACCCTTGTGTACTAAGTAAGAGGCAGCAAGATGTTAGAGTACAGAGAAACTCACAGTTAAAATACCGTCGAAACCTACTTCCATCCATATGAGTTCCTAAAGAGATAGCGCAGAAAATGTGAACAAACTGAATTAAATGGTTAGATGTTTTGAACATTTCCGACAATTATATTGACACTTGACTTCAGTCTTTGAATGAAAATCTATAACACATAACGCCTCACTTTTTGATTTCTTTGCCGTATCTCAGATGATGAGCGATGACGTTGTAACTTCCGTCTTTCACAGGAAGACCGTCGAACTCATCAGTAAACGTTAACCAGTGAAAGGAGCCTCCTGTATAAAACACAAGAGAGTCACTGAGAGTTACTGAATCGAAGTATGCAAAACAAAGTTTGCATAAAGATACCCAAAACTTAAATGCTATTTCTGTCACATATTTAAGTGCAGTGGAAAAGGTGTAGAATTGCTAGTTCACGGTTGAACTGCATATGTCAGTGTGAAGTATGGTGCATTGTCAAAATCAACGTGTCAAAGGTATAGACCCCTGAGATATAAACAAAACACGCCTAGACAAGAACTGTTTGAAAGTTATGTAGTATTCCCCTTTGACCTTGAAACAACAGTTCACTAAGATCTGGAGCTTTATCGTTTGAACGGCCTACGGGCGAAGGTAGCAGAATTCGGTCAATAAGGCCCAAGGAGTTGGCCTGCCATAAGGGTTACATTTCCCCACAGAACTGGCAAGTGAACTCCTCTGACGAAGTCCTCTGATGGCCCAACTCTACTGGCAAATTAAATCTCCCTACCTATTATTAGATGTAACTATTTTTCAGCCAGCGTAGTTAGTCGGGTGGACACTAGACATGTTGTACAACACATACGCACTACCAATGTGCACACAAACCTGTTCTGGGTAACATGACCGTGAGATTGTGCCGGTACGCATAGCGAAGCAGGATTCTCTGTACCGCGTTGGAGGCCGCCTCCTGCACCTGAGAAGGAAACATACTCCCATCACCATTCAAAATCTGCAGGAAATGGAATTCTCCAAGATGCCCGTTATCTATAAGATACTTTTGCCTCGCTTCTCCTATTTTTTTATTATCGGGCACTAGTTTGGGGGTCTTCAGAGGATGTCATCCATAAAATTAAGTCAGTGTGGCCTTTTTCCAATATGTAATCACAAGACGTGGTGGCGGGACACTGAAGTTTTCCAACTTATTTTTATGCCGCCAACAACACAGAAGACAATACAATACTTATTTTTACTTGAGTGAAGTGAAAAAAGTCGTGTTAAGTGCCTTTTGAAGATTGTTATCGATTACCTTGATGAAAACTAAATTTCTCTTCGGGATGCATGTCTGTCTTGCAGTTACCGGCTCAGCCGCAGGGGCCGCTTTTGTGTTCTGACTGCCTCGATCTTCAGGCGGAATCACATCCCTGACATCAAGGACATTATTCTTGCTGACATGTACAGGCTGTAGTCTGTTGTTGAGCAGAACGAACTCCGAAGTCACGTCAGGTGTGTAGGAGACATAAAGCATGAAAAATAGGCAAAGACAAAAAGTGACGGCCACCGCTAACTTAAGTGTGTCGACCCTACTGTTGTCCGTCATGCTTCGTGCTTCCTTATGGCCCCCAAGTTCTGGAAACATGAGCACAAAGGTAGCGTTTAGTACAAAATTGCATCATAGAACAGTTCAGAGAAAGAGGGAGAACACACGTCGCAGCCGTCCTCTCTAAAATCACTAAAATGTCAGCCAACACAAACCGTTAACGTCTCATTTGCCACAGCAAATTTCTGGTCGATTCAATGTCAATCTATTTGTCCCCAGAAGCTACTAGGATAAGAAATGACACAAAGGCTTGCTTACTGAGCTAGAGAAGTACGAAGGCTGGAATGATTAGTATTGGCGAATCTTGTCTCTTCCAATAGTATGTTCGCCCGCAAGCACAGCCATTCATATTCAACACGTCCGTCTCCCTACCACTGCATGTTTCCCAGCTGACCCAGCGTCTGACTCTTACACATCAGTGCCCGTGCGCCTAAGGCTGGCAAAAGTCAAGCGCTAAATTCGAGTAAATAGACAAGACTATGTAACACTGGCATGGAAGCTTATTTTTGATTATTGGTATTTTATCAAATGACCTCACTGAATATCCGTACAGATTTGTTTTCTTAGCTTGGTGCTTTCCAGTGCTAACGTTATTATTTTTGTTGACACCGTCTCGTCACTACTAAGTAATCACAGTCCTTACGTAATAACAAAAAAAAAAAAACAGAGGAGACCCCTTTCTGCTGTCAAATCGAACATGGCGGCCTCCATGATCTATAATTAAGGGACTCAGTGACTACAGTCAAATAATCGGGTATCGACCCAAACAGTTTCCCTCGATTTATATTCTGTACAAAAAATCTTAAATAAATACTGAGTGAGGTATGAGAATTCAATATAATATAACATGCAACTTGAAAAATTGTCTTTACATTTCGGGATGCAAGTAACGCAAAATAAATTTTGGTGCAGACAAATTGGCCCCTTTAGAACTCCCACGTCACAAATATCCAAAGGGGCTTTTTTAATCTGTATATCTGAAGTATGCACAGCCCCTGCAGCTGTGCCTAACCTTTGACACCGTTTATCATGATCTATTGTAGTACACAGTGCAACTGAACCAAACAGGTTTTTCTTCTCCTTTCTTCATCTTTAATATGTCACATTTGATGTAAAAACCAGTGACCTATCTTCCATAATTGCTGCAAAACAATCCCCGAATTTATTTAGGAATATTGAATAGTATATAACCTCAACTTGTACATATTTAGACACAAGCCAGTAACATTAGCACAATCATACACTACGAACATACATAAGCTGGCACTGAGTTCTATGTATAGACTGTGTACATATATCAAGTCAATGTTTTAGCAGTTGAAATATGAACGCCTTCCCTTTGATTACATAAATCTGTCTGCTCTCCTCGCGTAATCATAATTAGATGCTTGTATAAGGTATCCTGTTATTCGGGATTCGCAGTGCTAAGAGATTCCTGAGAGAGTCGGTCCAGCTTTTACAAGTTCGCCGCCTAGCGGCAAAATAATTCACTACAATGCAAGATCGTTTAGAAAAAAGATGTAATGAAGGTAAATATTACAATAAGTCGTGTAACAAGGGCTACAAAAATCAATGGAGACGCTCTAAGATGGGCTAAAAAGGGATGGGTAGAAACGGGAATCTAATCTTCAGCTGTCAATGTGACGACGTCTAAGTTGTAAAAGGATGATAGTCAAGTACTTTGGTGTAGAGTCTATTGTCTCTATATCTCCCCTCCCAACATATCATGTATATAAGTTAAAGCCAGAGCAAGTAAATTTTATGGATGACATCCTCCGCAGACTCCAAATCTAATGCGATAGGGTGAAAAGAAACAAGGTGCGCCAAAAAAAAACAAGATTTCTATATTTTCAAATTTTGAGATTATAAACCTTGTTAAACAATATTTTGTTTTATTCAGCGGCAACATCACATATTAAGAAATTAAATACAGCACAGCAACAAAGTAAAAGACAAAACATTGAATCAGAGCCTTGTCTTGTCTCCTCTCTTCATATTTATCTGACATCCAAGTTCGGGTATGGCAACAGACATATTTACCCATTTTCGGTGTATTTACACATTTACATGTTGTCCAATGTAAAAGGCAACAAAATTTCTTTCAAAATCATGCGAAAATCGATGCACGTGATGATGTCATCCATAAAAATTACTTGCTGTGGCCTAACCTTGTAACTTGACCTTCTCTCAAAACCTTGATCCTTGCCTTTTTGAAGGGGGAATGTATTTGCCTCTTTCATGAGAACAAACCACAAATTAACTTTTGATAACAAAGGTAACCGTTCGTGCCTTCTGTGCCTTTATTCATCTTCAAGCCTTTTCCTTATAGGGCAAGTGTCCCTTCTTAGATGTATCCGTAAACCCTGCCCCCGTCATTATTACGACAAACGAAAAACAGAGGAACTGCAAAGTAAGCAGAGGCCTTCTGGCCAAGGCTGTAAACATTGAAATGATGAATCATGTGCCTTGTCTGCAACAACAGGAAACATGTGTAGCCTGAACAGACTTATCCTGTCTTATTGTTATTCTCAGAACTTAATTTTTACTTCAGAAGGGTATGCAAAATATCGGATGTCCTGGGGGTTGATCCTGGGCCATATTTTCACAAATTCATCAATATACACAGTGCCAGGATTATAACACGTACATGTAAGTCCTATCCTAATCCTTTTATCTCAGACCTTGAGTTGACGTACTTGACAGGCCTGGAGTTACGGCTTGACAACTCCAAGACTTCACGTCAGCCTGGAAAGGTTATTTCCTGTTTTCTCAGAAACCTGGCTATAGCGTGATCAAAACACTTGCCCCGTTGATTGACGGTTCGCCAGACGTCATTAGCGTGCTTTGCCGGGCTACATAAACGGCTGTGTCGGTACGCCGGCCGTCAGTTCACGGGACAAGATGGCTGCTGCAGTGATTCTTCTGGTCTGCTGTCTCTCTCTACATAGTGTCTACGACGTTGGTAAGTCCTTGTTTTTGTCGTCTTGTTACTTGATGGCAAAAGAGAAACCTTTCCTTGGACTTCTGCCCGTTTGGATTGGATCTGGTATAGAGTGAGGCACTGTGCCATCTGCCGCAGTTTGCTTTTGCAACTTCAAGTTAAGTGTTCTTGCATGTGAAAATCAAAAATAATTCAGGCCCCTCTGTGTAATTCCTAACGTCACCTGAGTTAATATTTAGTGTATGTGTTTGACAAAGGTTCAACGGATAACGCAAACGTGGGGTATTTTCTTTCATTACGAAGTAATAAGACGAGAAGTAAAGATGAAAAGTAAGCCGCTTCCTGCAACTTTAAAACGTGTCTACAGTGGAAACATGTCGAAGTAATGTAAAAAGTGAAGGTGGAACTGCTCTACTGAGTTCATCTTGAACTTTTTAATACGTCTGTATGTACCGTTATGAGTCGTTCAAATACAAACAGTCGACGTACAAAAGAGCAGGTTTGTTTTCAAAGAAAACTGTAACTTTACGCGGTGTGTAGATATTCGTGATAATGTGGTGGTAAAATAATATTCAAGATAAAAGCAGTTTCATGTTTGTATCTAAAACCAATATGCTATTAATGCGATAATTTCATGTTCACGAGTTACTGTTACTTGTAATCACAGGAACTGCAGACACGGACCGTACAACGCAGAGTGTACGTAGTTAAGAGTGGAAATTTAAATGCAACTATATATCAGGGCACTTGCTAATATATCGATGAAATTGATGTTGTTCCGTGAACATTTATTCAAAACGCTGTAAACTGTTGTGCTCTGCTAACAGTTTTGTCTTTGTCTTTTCGTTACAGGGGAGGCACGCCGGCCAGGGCAGTTTTCCTGGCCTCGTGGTGTCCCTCGTGGAAACCCGTTGTGGAAACGTTTCTGGGACCGTTTCCGTCCAAAACAACAGGTAACCACGGTTCCGCCGACTACAACAACATCCCAACCGACTACGACGGCAACCAAGACCACACCGCCGCCCCCGGATTTTCCGGTCCACGACAGTAGGGCGGTTAGTCTTTGCGAGACCAAGGAGTTCATCAACTCGCTCTCGTGCAAGCTGGAGCGCGAATATCCAGACATTCAAGAAGGTCTCCTCACCACGTTCGGGGAGAAGTTGTTCCTGGAGCCCGACCTGCGACCAGCGGGATCGGATGGCGCAGGAACGAGGTCGTGTGCTACGATAAGAAAGCCGACTCTACATGACAAGAAAGGAGAAGAGCTTGAGTTTGACGAGGAATTTCCTGACATACAGTGTGAGACGTCGACATTCACGCCTAGTATAGATAAACAGACAGAAACAGATCTTGTGCCTGAGGTCGGGCGGCCTGACCCAGAAACCGCCTTCAATCCTTGCGGGTACTCCGCCACCATGGTGTCGCCGATCCACGCCGTCACGGTCAGCGGGGAGACGGTGGAACTTTGGGCGGGAATACAGAGAGGAGTCGTCAGGCAGCAGAAGTTCCGGGAGGTGAAGTGCACCAGTTCGACCCCCAACCACCAGGGCTGCGAGGGCAGGTGTGTGGAGGAGAGCACGTGGCACAGGGCCATCGTGGTCAAGTCGGGCGACCCTCCCAAGGTCGGTTATGATATGATCGTTGTCAAAGCAAGCTGCAGCTGTCACGTGATTACATCCAAGAACCTCTTCTCGAAGCAGGTCTTGAAGGTCACCCTGGATGAAACAAAGCCACTTGAGACAAATTCGGATCGCGAGGCCTCTGAGACCTAAGCCTTAACCAACCCTGAACAATAAAGACACGCGGGAACTCACGGCCTTGGTATGGCGAGTCACACAGTAGGAAGAAGGCTTAGAACTCAGTAACGTTTCATACATATCTTTCCAGAAGAATGAGTAGTTTTCAAAGAAAGTTGAGATCTTTATATTATTTACAATCATGTATAATCATGAAGAACATGCGTGTACGTAAATCACACTGTACTCTGCATTTGAATTGAAAAATCATTATATCAATGACATAAAAAACATAGTCTGTCTTTTCCTTTTGTTTGAAAGTTTGTCTTCGCCACCATGTGCACACCTAACATCTAGCTCGGCGTAAAACATAGATCCCACGTATTGCGCTATAGACAATATCATTTCGGAAGGTAAAGTTATTAGTAAGACATCTGTCGGTAAAGGCCTACTCTCACAGACAACACCGAGCAGTTTTCTAAGTTTAGGCCACACCAAGTAAATTTTATGGATGACGTCCGCGCGCGCATTGATTTTGGCCTGTTCCTAGAAAAAAAAACAAGAAATTCCGCTTCCTGTAACTATGACCAAAGAGTCACGACAGTGCCGCAAATCGTCCGATTGACGTGAAACCCGTACGAAATGGGTAAAGAGCACATGTGCCGCAAAACGATGGTGTACGTGCGCACAAGAGTCCGCGCGCCACAGTTCAAAGAAGCAAGATGGTGGGCTCACCACCCTTGGTCGCTAAGTATGTGAGCGTTAAGCCTTATAACTTAAGGTCGTAAAAGCGTGTGGAAACGTTGTTGTTGACTGGTACGTGCTCGATGTAGGCCAGGGAGAGCTAACTTTCGCGTAACTGTACGACAGACTTGTAGCGGCGAGTGAGTTTCGACCATACAATTTCAAGCAAGTTTTGTCAAGATCAGCTACAGTGCAATTCTTCTGCAAAATTATGACGAGAAGGTCGGGAGGCATTTGATGTGGTGTTTCATCCGTATGGTGATCGACAAGACAGCTTCTACGACTGAAGCTGTTCCTAGGGCTAAGACTGCTTTTGAGGTATGAAAAGTCTGTTTTGAATCGAATACCTTGTACGGAAAAAAACACGGGTGAAATATTCCTAGAAGGGGAGTATAAAATAAATGCATAACGTTACATGTATCAAGGCTCCTCGCATGTATTTTGCATGGATAATGATCGTTTATTCGTTTCTGGTTATTTATACTTGATGTTGGCAAAATATGTGTTTTTTTTATTCTTAAATTTTTGGTTCACATTTGGCAAGTAAATTGCTAATTTTCAGTCGGATTTTTAAGGTATTTTGGCATCTATAGCTACGCATTCAAGCTCAAAGCTCTTTTTGAAGTACTATTTTTGGGGGGGATTTTTAGTCTTTCTTAAGAATTCTTTTTCCCCATCATTTTAGCTTTGATATCCAATTTAGTAACGTTGTCTGCTCTTCAATTTCTTTGATTGCATTAAGACACATTTATTGTGAACTAAGAACATAAGGTTTACTTTTCCTTTCACATGTACACATGTATACAGGTATGATGAAAGCATCAAGAGAACAAGGTCAGCAGGAGTAGATGTTTCCAGCCTACGCTGGGACTGGGAGCACACAACAATGTAGCAATAACAACACAGGTGAGTAATGAGGTACATTTGATATGGATTGTTGCAGAATATACCCTTTAAATTTAAGGCACTTTGGGGACAGTAAAGACGTACATTTAACTACAACATAGAACCTAAACCTCTATGTTGAAAAAAAAGAAGTTTTTTCTGAAGAGTTGGATTTTAGCACAATTGACTTTTGTTCCATAATTTTCCACCTGTTTCATGTAGGGCAGTGACATGCACTTCACCAGTAGCACAGTACTACTATTCAGCCAGACTGAAGTCAGGGGTGATGAAGACGATGCTGCCTTTGGTGTGCTGGAACTGCGGCGAGGAGGAAACGCTGCCCATACCAGCAGAGAAGACTGCTGCATACCAGACAATAAACCCTGTTTGTCAGGTAGGCATACATTTGTTACCTACTTAAATACATTACGCAACTTATGTAGAATAGCTCTAAACATATTCTGTTTGGTTCCACCTTTATTGATATTCTTTCTCAAACGCTCCTATAGACTATTTGCATAGGTAGAAATGTAGTAATGCATGCAAAGGATTAATCAGCAACTAATTTTGCCTTTTATGCTTTGTTTCTGCAGGTCTGCAAAATGTGATGAAAGAAACAGAACGGGACAACTGCTGTTCCACCTGATTCATTACTGTTTTGATGATGAATAAAAGACTTCTTGCTTGTTTACACTGTGTCACCTCATTCAATTTGTGTCCTAACATGTGTCGTCTCTTAGTATATTTCTAATCTAGGCATCTTGTTTTTTTGGGCCCTTCTTGTTTTTTTTTCGCCCTCTCGCATTAGATTTGGAGTCTCCAAAGGACGTCATCCATAAAATTTACTTGGTGTGGCCTTATAACATAATGGGATATCATATACTGTAAGGCTCACCTTTCCACCATACGGCGATCGCTAAGCGACCAACATTAGATTTGTGTGACCCTTGATTTTGATTTTGTAATATGATGCACGATGCAGACGCATTATTTAAAAGACAACAAAACACACAAAGCAACGAAAATCGTTCTTGACTATGATAATCGTTGCTCGGCTAGCGGTCGTAAAGAAAGGAGGCGTAAATCTGAACTTTTAAGCTTAGCCCCTTATAGAAAATCACATCATGATCATGGCTTGAACTGTACTTGGGCCAACCCGACAACCTACACATACAGCATGCGGAAAGTTCGGGGAAAACAATTCAAGCTGGATTATGTAAGTTGGCACGCGAGGTTGGCCCACGTCCGAGCAGGTTGATGCCCAGAACAAACAAGCCGCGCGTCGAAAACAGGAATATAAATCAAACACATTTCGGAGTAACGGTGAAAGTTGTTTTGGAGTGCCCCGGCCGCGCCATTTCGTTAACCTTTTAAACTCGCTGTCGTCAGCAGAACGTAGCTAGACACTTGTGAAGTGGTATAAACAACCTCGGCCCTGTTCTTTAACGATAACAGACAAGAGATCAGGATAGGCCAAAAGCTGCCTACGAACTGAGCTTTTTCCACAAAACGGCAGGATGTTGTGCTGCTGAGCCAGCAAGTCTGCTGGATCAACATCAGTGCTACATCTGCAACCACTAGCTGCTTTTGAACGTCATTGGGGCTCGTACGTGGGCTTGGGAAGGTAAAAAAAAGGATATACAAGAAATATGTATTTTGATCACTTCTATCAATTTCCTTTCATTATTATCAATTTCCTATCAATTTTCTGCCAAAAGTATATAAGTATCGTCTGTTTAGAAGAAGATATTAGTCGGCAATTTAAAATAAATCTTGAAATGGTTGTGCCGATCCAATACTGGATATCGATATTATTTTCATTGCACCTATTCATTTTTGGTATGTCAATATAAGGTGAATCTGCATGAGCAAAGTGTTCAAAGTGATAGAAATGTATGTATTCGGTGTAATACTTCCAGCTGATCATTGGACTCCAAGGCTGAGGTCTCCATTTGCGTGTGAGCTCAGAACCTGTGGTGTGGTCGCGTTGTCTGACAGGAGATGAAAACCACTTTCTTGGCCATATATCCATGCCAAAACCTCCGGGAGCCAAACAAGAATGTTGTCAGTAGTCCAAACAGCTGCCATTGAGCTACTGGCAGCACCGAGTCAGGGGGTGGCGGCGTAAGTGAGAACAGCACGAGTGATCGCAGCTGTTCGCGGCTTGCCATTAGCTCAGTGCGAAATGCTCAAGATTGCGTGAGAGTTTCAACTGTGCTCAACTGCAGTCGTCGTTCCTCTATACCAAGAGTCATGGAGCTCTTTAGAGAGGCTACTGTTGTAGTCGTTGTTTCACTTCTCTGCTTCTCTCAAGGTATGTTATCGAGTATTGGGACTGAAATTTTGTGGCCATTGAACAATGATGATTGTTGTACAAAATGTAGGTTAACGTATGGCATTTCCGTTGCACTTTAATACCAACATGCTTCTCGTACATGGCGCGCAGAGAAACTTTTTGCATGATGTATGTAGTATGAACAATGTCACAGCCATACTAAAATATCAGAAGCTGTTAGGTTGTTAACGCTTACATGATGAATTTTTCATCTTCTTTATCTATTTTTAGTTTGAAGATGCACGTTTTCAGATCAAGTTGGATTTATAGACGATGTGTGCAATCGTATTGTCTGCATGTGGCTGCGTTTTCTTTTATTTACTAATTCTTGGCACTGACCGCATGACCTACATACGTCAACATCACAAACTGTTTGTTCCAGGGCAAGTGAGAAGCAGACTTTCCTTCCCACGCATGCGCGGTCGTCTACTGCTGCCGGAGCCAGGCCTGCAGTTATGCCGGCCGTCGCCATGCGCGCTGCAGTGTGAGTACGGAAGAGAGACTGGCGCAAGGGGCTGTCCCTTGTGTCGCTGTCGGACAGGTAGGCATTTTTTATCGATCTTATACATTAGCCAAGTTTGTGTGTTTATGTACGTATGTATGTGTGTATGTATGTATGTATATGTGTGTGTGTGAAACAGCTTCCGGCATACATAGTCTTACTAGATCTAGACTTGCTACTAAGAAGTACATGAGTCAAAGTGATAATTTTTACAGTTGTTGATCGTTCACAATTACAGCTCCGGATGATATAAACAACGGTGAGATACCTACCACAGATAACCCGGCAAACCTGGAACAGACAGTCCCTGTGCCTCTCACAACAGGTGAGCACAGAACGAACATTTCACAAATGTTGAAGTCTTATTGGACAATTTAATTACTAGAAAATGTGTAATGCTTCCAGTTACATGGTGTGTTAGTCTGACCGATTGTGCCCGTGCTTGTATTATATTGCTGTAGACAGTGAACACATTGTGCTTTGTTTTTCTCCTCAGTACCTAGCGACTTTGGCGAGTTCTGCAGGCAAGAGCACAACAGTAACCTTTCCTCTTGCCTCCTGCAAAGTGAGAGACCAGACGACTTTGCCCACTTCGTCACCAGGTAACACGTCATGCCTTCTTTGGCATCTTAACAACTACTCCATTTTGCAAATTAAAAGTGAAACAGGAAAAATTATATCTCTGCTCAGCCCCGTTACGGAAGTGTTGTTATCTGTGGGTTTGTTTATCTGTTTGTCCGAAATGATCAGGTTCACAGCACGTGGGCGGGGTGAGACAGACAGGCAGATTTCTTGTTTTTCACATGCAGCTCTGTTGACTCAATCCGTTGAACCTTTCTGTAGAAAATCCCTGGTTGATTGTAGTCGATCATTTTGAGCACACGTTGCTGTAAAACATTTTGTTGTTGTTTTTTTGTGTCGACTGATTAACGTCGCTTTTGCGGTAGGTTTGGAATCGATGCGTTCGGTGTTGACCCAGAGGACTACGCAAACCTGACGGTTCCACAGGGCAACGAGACAAAGTAAATTTCTTCGTGGGTATTTCATTTCGAAGTAGAAGGGGAGAGGTCGATTTAGCGGTTGAGACAATTCTGTAGTGAAATGATCACAGTACATTGGAAACGAATATTCGCAGTTTCACGAATCCGCAGTTGACAGGTAACCGAAAAGACCGTGGAAATAAATAAACCACCACGAACATTTCAAAATTTATAGTACGCTTTGACACTGGTGCTATACAACAGCTACAATTAGGTATTTCTTTGCACTGTTGAGAAAATACTCTTGTCCGGAAAGCTAAAGCAGCATGAATAGGAATCTGTGATTTGTACAATTACTTCGTGATTTAGTTGAACGATTTATTCCCGTGTGAACAATACATCATTTTAAACCATTTATCTATTCTTTTCCTACATATTTCATAGGCTCTCCGTCCACCCACAGAGCGGTTTACAGTCCCTCAACCCGTGCGCCAGAATCGTGAAGTTTATCCATCTCAGAACGGCCCAAAATCGGAACAATGAGGAGGTAAGATTTTTTCATTCATGTAATGTGCTTTGATAAATAGAGCTTTGAAGCAGATGACCGAATTGCTATGGAAAAACTTTTAAAAATATCTTCTTCTCAGTGAAAATCACGATTAATGTGTATCTATTTAAAGAAGACGAGCAAATGTCTTCCAAAAAACCAACAATGCTTCGTGTCGTATTCAGGTTGAACTGTGGGTTGCCTCGGACGGAAACGGGCGCACTAGACTACAACCGATGCACGAGGTGACGTGCAGAAGCGCCACCCCGGTCCACAATGGCTGCGGTACTGCATCGGCAGGCGGGTTCTGCACAGAAGAAAAGACTCTCCAGAGCGCTTACGTGATCTCCAGGGACACGCTCAAGCCATACCGTGATTGGATTTATGTCAAAACAAGTTGTAGTTGTCACGTGGAAGGATTGGGGTAGTCTTTATTTCGGGACCGAGAGTTGAAAATGGGTGTTACTATGAAAGTAAACGAAATGGAGCAGATGGAAAATTAAGAAACGGGAGAACGGATATACGCGAAGCGAGATGTATCCTGACATTGGTACTTACTACTACTATATATATAACATGATATGTGGACCAAATATAGAATACTGCAGCTTACAACTTATCGTATATTGATGCAACAAAAGTGACAGACCCAGCAAAGCAATGTTTCACCACTTATAATGTAGAAAAATATCACATGTACCTACGGTAAGTTCTATTCACATTGTAACCTTCTAATATATATATATCATCACAAAGAAGATAGTGAAAACAGGCACATGTGTACACTTCTTCGGATACTGAATTTAACCGTTATCAGACTGTCACCAGCTATGGCCTTTGAGAACGAAACACCAGCATATATACTAGCTGTTCGCTTACAAATAAGAAATATTTACAGAAGTTGATGATTCCGATGTTCTTTGGAATTGGTATTTGTCGCTGACAATTGTTTTGCCAGAGATTATCCAACAAGAAGCTTTGAATAGTCAGAAAAGGCGCCTTGGTTCAATGAATTATTTTAAAGTCCATCTAAGTACGTAATGGGTATGGAAATGACCAAGATAGAAATGATAACCCCTGTTATAATTCTCTGCCAAGAATATTTCATTATAAAAAGACGTGTTAGCGGTATCCACAAAGCAGTGACGACAGCTACAAAAGCCACCAAAACGTCAAGGTGGAAGTACTGGTAAAACCAAACGTCGGTCATCGTAGTGCGCAGGTGCGGAAGTCCACCATGTTTGATGACGTGTTCTATCCACCAAACCGCGCGTTCCAGAGGGGGTTGCGGCTGATCATGTAACAGCTTTGCCAGTCGCTCTGCACTTTCTTTGTAGCTGTTCAGTGAACGGTGGGAGGGGGAGAGAAAAGGTGAATTCAGAGTAAGTCTTGTGCTATCTATTTAAATCGCAATGAAAAGGTCAATCCAACAAAGACAATGGAAAAAAATATGAGACATACTGAATACGTCAAAACGGGACACATCGATATCGTTAAGAGATAAATATTTGTATGGCTATCTATGTTCCTGACCTGTTTGGTGCGAAGTCCATGTCGAATCCCTGATGAGGAGATTTGACACCGTGTGACTGACTGCTGGATGCAGGACTTGGCGGGCCAGACGAGCACGTACGTGTTTCCTCCCGACAAAAGTAGCTGTAAAACACCGGGAAACCACAATCTGAAACAGACCTTTGATGTACACACTACACAGTGTTTCGTAATTTACTTTAACGCTCAGGTATATCTGGTTCATCCTTGAAGGCTCTCTGCACAGTCTGCTTGTGCAGTGTCAGTCATCACACAGGCAAGCCTTTAAGTTATTATTGAGCAAATGTGTTGATTATGCATGTATTCGGAAACGTTGTCAATGAAAACTGGACTGACACAAGTAATTTTCGAAATAAAATATTGAGTTCGGTGGCACTTTTCTTAATAGAACCTCTTGGATTTGAACATTTCCGCTCGCTATAAATATACCTGCATGATATATAGATCGTAACAAGTTTTACCTATATGATGAGTTCCCGGTGACCTCTTGGATGGCCGATATGACATCAGCTGGTGTTATAGTGCGGATGTCGAGGGTCACGGCCGTTCCCTTGGAAACCATGACGTCAGCATAGGCCTGGTGTTCAACTGTCAGCGGTAAGATGACCATGGGTACGCCGTGGTAGATAGCTTCGTGTAGACCATTCAGGCCACCGTGATTCACGAAAAGGCGCGTTTTGGGGTGCCCTGTCATGAACGTAGATGAATTATAAGGTAAGCTGAAAGGTTGAAGCTCCAAACACATGTATTGTTCCGGCTTGCTCTTGTTTTATGTGCAAAATTGACTGACTTAAAAACGTATTTGATATTTCTAACCCTAAACCTTCTTATATCGCACCTAGAAGGTCATTCTGTGGGATCCACTTCATGAGCTTGGTGTTCTTCCCTAAACCGCGAGGCGTCTCTTTCTCGTCGTACCTCCAGACCACTCTCTGCGGAAGCTGGGCAAAGGCAGCGGCGAACACTTCCGCCAGGTGACTCGGCATGCCCTTCACAAAGGTCCCCAGGCCGAAGATGATCACTCCGTGGTCTGATCCCTGCATGAAGTCCTCCAACTCCTGGTTACAAGCAATGCCAGAGATGTCAGGTACAAGCAATGCCAGAGATGTCAGGTACAAGCAATGCCAGAGATGTCAGGTACAAGCAATGCCAGAGATGTCAGGCCTAACAAATGACTTATACTTCAGTCTCAGCACAAACTTATGACTTGATTGAATGTTTGATTGATTGGTTTGTGTAATAGCATAAACATAAATAGATTATATTCATTTTCCATTTACAAATAGACTTTGGCCTATTTCCATTTACAAATAGAAGCCATAACATGTAACAACTGCATTAGTGGTCATATGCCCTCCCGAACTCAGTTACCTGAGGGAAATAAAACTTGAACGTGAAACATTACAGAATGGATGGACGGATGGTTGGATGGATGGATGGATGGTTGGATGGATGGATGAATGGATGGATGGATGAATGAATGAATGAATGAATGAATGAATGAATGAATGGATGGATGGATGGATGGATGGATGGATGGATGGATGGATGGATGGATGGATGGATGGATGGATGGATGGATGGACAAGAAAGTGAAGGTGAAACGGAAAACACGACAGTTAGACCTCACCTGTGTCAGCGGCTGTGCAGGCCTGGCCATGAAGCCTCCTATGTTGATCATATTAGGCATGCGCGGACGGACCGGGTCAAGCCCCGGATGTTCTGTGAGAAGCCACAGGTCAGTGTCCGCTAGGGCACTCACGAAGGTAGCGTCTTCACCTGTGTTAGATGTTCGAGAAATGAAAAGTAAAACGAAAATTCGTCGTGCGGTCGCAAACTGGAGGCATTCTTGAGGTAGCCGTACAACATATGAATACAAAATTCAGCTGCCTACTTGTTACCAAAAAGGGCTGTGTTGGATCAACGAAAACCGCCTGCTACAAATGTAGGCTGAATGTGTAGAAGCTGGTGTGTTACGCCGAAAGGCGGTTATACCGGCTGTACAGATACAGATAGATAGATACAGACTTGCGTGAAAACTGTTCATGTCTTACCGATGTACTTCTTAGCAAGGTGGTCGAAGTAGAATGCCGTTATGGCGCGCCCAAAGACCATGGTCGCCACGTAGCCAGCAAGATTGTGGACCCTGTCGCGGAAGGTTCGCACCCGGCCGAGTCCAGAGAACGGGACGGGGTAGCAGCAGGTGGGAGCCGGGGTGTCCGAGCCCAGCCAGCTCGCCGGCATCGGTACGCTGAGCAGGGCGGAGGGCACGCCGACGGCACTGGAGACCACTGCGGCGCATGGAGTGAGAGGCTCTCCTAATATGATGTCGGCTTGTCGGAGTTTGTCCAACAAATCTCCCTACAAGTGAATTTGATATACCAGTATTGGGAATAATGTAAATGTTTCAATGAGACCAACTAAGGTGCTTCAGTTACTAGTATCATTTTCGGACGTATCTCACAACATTGCCATGTTGTGTATGACTTATATGATGACCTGCATGTTTGTCCACCAAAAGTCATATTGTATGATTGGAAAAAAGTTTAAGAAAACATACGGTACCATGCCATTCACTATCTTCTGTTCTGTGCGCTATTACTTAACCAGTATGAAAAACAAGCAGTACATGTATGCTCCGAGGTTGTATAGAACAAGGGCGGACATGTGCATGTCCCGGGAGTAAAGCTAACTCAAACGTCTGGAATTGCATTCAGGCAGATGTCGATTAAAAAATTTGTAGTCGACTGGCAAATATCTGGATGACTTTTGACGAATAACAGGCAAATTTACTGATCAACACCCAATCACAGATGAACTTCCAGTATACCAATTGTGGTCGACTTCTGTTTTTATGTGCATAAACAACAATATTATGTAAAGGAGCAAAAATCTCCTACCTGGGAAAGAAGAGACTGACATCTCCGGGCAGCTTGCCGATAGGATGAAACATGAGACCAAGTCTGTTGGTACATATACCTTTGCTTTAGTACCCTTGTCCACGCTTTACCGATGTATTTCTCAACATACTCCCGTGTCCCCGCCTCGGGGAAGGTCAGGTAGTTGAAGGCATCGCCGTCCCCGCGATGTATCCAGGACAGGATGTCTTCTGGTGCCACCACGGTGACGTTGTGTCCGCGGGATACCAGCGCATCTCCGATCACCACAAACCGGGCCCAGTGACTCTTCGCCAGCTCGTACACCATGGCGACGTGTGCTGCTTGGCTCACCTGGACGACGAGGACAGTGAAAACGAAAACGCGAAAGAAAACATTAGGTCTGTCGCCGCTCCTTTGTGCCATGTTTTGTTGTGTTGTGACACCGAATCGACGCGGGATCTGGCTTGTTAGTCACGGGGTTATGTCAGGACACTGTGAATCAACAGGATAGACGTGTTTTGCACTCAATTACTGGGAAAAGGTTCTGGGTCGTTTAACTTCCGCACATGTTCTGATTTCCATATTCATAATCATGCCCCACATTCTCTAAAGACTATTGGATGCCCTTTCAAGAGTTAATTATCTTTTTTCCAATGGCACGTGACAATACGCACTGCGCTGCTTTGTAGGGTCACAGTGGCAGTTTAATTACAGGTGTACGTGCCGGTCTACATGTTTTGCTACTTGGGCCGTATTTATGTGAAGTCACCCAAGGCGCTTTACATGTGGTTTCCCCCGAAGCCGGTTTCAAGTGGCTCCATCTGAACGCTCCAAATCACATTGAAAGCGCCTCGATCCTAAACCACTTCTAGAGGTGGTTTCGAATCGGTTTTCCCGCATCGCGATTTGCGTCTGAACGCAATGTGATTTCAATGTAACTTCGCCTGGTCATGGATTACGGGGTGATATTTCTTTCTTTATATGCAATACCAACTTTTACGTGGCAGCAACTTAAAGAGCAGTAATGGTCAAATAAAGTGTCCGTTCTACGGCGAGCTTCACCGCCTCTGGCGGGACCACGTCGGCACTCGGCCGAGATAGGCTGGGAGGGGGGCACCAGCAAGCTGGTCGTTGACCTCTGACATTAATAACACGCTAACTTGCGTGTTTTCATCGAACAACAATAAATGTAGCTCAAGCGAATTGTGATCGGACACGGTTTCAAAGGAATGTGTGGCACGTGGACCAGATGTGAGGAATGTGAGTTACCCGAATCGCGGTTTGGGTGACTTCACATAAACACGGCCTTGCTTGTGCAGAAACCGTAACAACACCTGTGCATTATTCTTGTCCTTTAGTACTTAATTATGAAAATGCAATACGTCGGGCTTTGGCTTGCATCTTTTATTGTGTACACAGAATTGTAAACAATACGATTGTGAAAAACAAAAACTATACATGTAGGTCTTATTCATTCATTTGACTCATAGATTTCTTGCTTCACATGCTTTCCAATTCTCTGCAATGGACCAATAGAATGATCCGATAGGGCGATCCTATAGTCCCACACACCTGCATCAAAACGAAAATGCGGGCATGCAAAACAATACAGAGCAATCCAGATATATGACGTACGTCGCCAAGAAGCCACTCTCTCATTGGTCGAACCAGTAATTACAGTAACTATCCTCTTGTTGGTTGAAACTGCTAATTAGGTTGTAGTCTATGTCACATGAATGTACCAAACGTGTGGAAAATAAGTTTTTCATCTCGCTACTCTACCTTGCAATTCAGCGAAATATACAGCTAGTGTCAGCCTCTCAAGAGTTAAAACGATGACACTTTCGTGTAAACATACTGAACAAACAATCGTTCACAAAAGCTTTCATGACGTTGAAAAACAGGGTGATGGTTAAACTTTTCTCTCAATACTTGAACACACGATGTTCTTTCATAACTATTACAATGTAGTTTAAAAGATGCATGGTGCAAAAGGATTAGGAAGATATCAAAAGATATAATTTCCATATATATTTGGCACATGTTTACAACATCCCATCTTAAGCACAAGATCTCCCGAAAAGATGTACCCTTGTGCATGATGCCATCGCATTTGAAGTAAACACCGGTACCTGAATTTCTGTTATGTTATGAAGAAATAATAGTAACGTTACATATAACTGTTACACCATTACACAATGTCCTCGTCACAAAGAAGTAAAGATGTTGAGCGACGATATACACGAACAATTTTCAACATCTTCCCCAGTACTTTCCTCTCACGTACCCTCCACGTCAGCACTAGTGGTTGTGGTCTTCCTTGTCCTGGTCCTCAAAATACATGAAGTCCTGGAAAACAACAAAAGGCTAGTCATCAAGAAGTTATGTCACAATCATATAACACGTAAAATGTGTTCTTTTTTTACCTCCGTGTGCGTAGATTTTCTTTCGGTGTGTTTGTTTGCTTGTGTGTCCATAGTTATTCTACAGTCACTGAAAATGACACTTACCACCAAGAGACAAGCACCAAGCATAGTAGCCTTCAGTTTCACATCCAGGTCCTGGGGAACTGAGGGAGATACAGTGGAGTTACACAACGACATCTTCCACAAATGAAAGGCCACATGTGAAAAGATATGATTTCTATGCACCCTGTATGCGACGCGCACGTGACGTACACATGATAGTGGCCAGGTACTTGTGAAATGTTATGTTGCGCGTGTAACTTAACTACAGCATGGACATGTGACTTACACGTGACGCTGAAGTTAGTGGCATCAGTGAACATCTCCTTGGCAAAGCCTGCGTACTGACGGGTGACTTTCCCCACCTCGGTGTGCCCGTCACTGCCATAGGCCTGCAAATTGAAATTACGGTAACTTGAGAGATAAAATGATATTCTAAACATAGTGCATTGTTAGTGCACGCATTTCAATTAAGATTATTGGACGGGTACCATAGAATCGACGTAACGAACCCAGGGTGTGTCCTACGATGGCCATGCACTTGGTTGTGCGATGGCCGGCAAAAGAACGCGTTAACAATTATATCTGCAGACCATCGAGAGCCTGCATGGAAGGCTATTAAAGAAGATAGACACAGTCTGTTTTTTCTTTCGTCGAAAACTTGAAAAGAACTGTTTGTGCAGGTTGTTTGACCGAAGTTATTAGACGGATACCGTAAAATCAACGTCACAGGTGCAGCAGGCCCCGCTCCAGGCACAGCACGGTCCCCACATGTCGAACACCATCTCCCTGCGCTCGTTCATGATGTGGTAGTGTGGCTTCCAGAACGAACCCCTGGGACACATGTACAGTTTGGTTTCAAGCTGCTAGAGGACGCTCTTGCTCCATAAGAATACATTCAGACTTATTTCTGACTTTTGACTTTTCATGCAGGCGTGAAAATTGAGTTTGTACTGCCCATTGTGCACTATTACAAGCTTATAGGCCGATTCAATTAAGCCTGTGTCATATGAGTACTTCTGTTAGATTTATACTTGTTGAATGAGGGCAAATATGGACTTAAACTGCCCAGCGTAAATGAATCCTTAATAGGCCAATATCCTTTTTTTTTACAGGAACACTTTCCACACTTTCATGCTTACATTTGGCGCACAACACCGACAACTTGGCCCACGGGCGCCTCCACGAGGATTTCGTAGGCGCAGCAGTCACAGCAGCTGGCGCACCACTGGCCTCCCGCACAGCACTTAAACTCACGGTTCAGCCGGATCACCTCCTGTTAGCGGGAAGAGCAAAGGGAAATGCCTGCTGAAATCATGAGCAAAACAATACATTATAACTCAGTTTTATCAAGTACGTGTACGGTGTGCGAAGGTATTGTTTGCGAGCGGCAAATTGTACTCCTTTAGCGGACCAAACCCCCTGTCATGTTACCTGTCTATTTAGCCAATTTCTACTCTTTCCACCAGCCGCTTCAGAAGCCTGGTAGAGGATATCGTAGAAATACGTCAGACCACTTCTTTTGTCTTTGGCTGTGCAATTTAAAAAAACTCAATCAGATACTTCCTGGTATCTAATTGATACTTCTGAAATATCTAATTAGCTCTTTCATCTTAAAACTTTAACCCTAAGTTCCTCAAAATGTCTTCACGGTCAACTAGTGATTAAGTGCTGTCTACTTTACTTGTTTCATAGATGACCCGCTCTACATCTATTATCACTTGCTCCTCTCTTGAGGTTAAAGAACCCTAACTTCTGCTCAGTACCTGTCCGTTGTTGTCTGTGACGTGAAACTGAAAGCCTCTGTGGGCTCCACAGCAGATCCGGGAGCAGAAGTCTGACTCTGGGAACGAGAGGATGCACGTAAACAGGTGGTTAGTCTTTATCTCCAAGCAGATGTAAAGATCCGGCTTGTTCTCATGGTTTGCGCCTGTTTTTGCAACAATCAGTACTGTTTTTGCGAAACGTAAAAAGATATTTACGCTACTAGTAAACAAAGAGTACAGAATGTTGTAACATCAGGCGTAAAACACCTTCTGTGATCCGGATTCTTACATCTGGAGTGATCGAGGAATCTGGGATGCAGGGACTTTTAATACTTGTATACTACGTACGTAGGTGCGTTTTGACGTTCTGAAATATAACCTCCTCCAAGACTTAATTATAGGTAAGTACAGGAATTCCTTCTGCTTGTGGTATGCAGTTTCAATGTTTGATATACTATGAGAATGTTTGCTCTTTCCAAATACGGTCGCCATATTGAAATATACTCACATGAGACCTCGAGCACCGATATTGACATGAACACGCGTGAGCTTTCACCGAAGCGTCTTACCTTCGTATGCGAAGTACACCTGCTGTCCCATGGAGTTCTTGACGGCATACTTGTTTTTGGTCTCAATTCCAGTGAAGGCTGTAGCAACAAAATACGTCATTTTTCTGTGTGTGCCTTTTATTCAGGAATAGATAAAACCAAAAGCGCTAACCCTGCCATGTGAAATGCCAGTGTTAACGTGTGTGCCATTCTCACTTTAGATAATATCTAAAAAATCGCTGTTCTCCTTACCCTCCAGAAGTTCCACCTGTTGCTGCACCAGGAGTTGGTCCAGCTGAGTCAGGTACTCCAGGCCGGGCGGGCAGCCAGGGATGGCCCCGGGTACCGCCATCCATTGCATGGGCTGATTGGTCACTGCCTGAAATGCGGCAATTCGGTACGACTTCAACTACATGTCTGAGACTCAGCGCGGATCGATGTATATAAAAAGCTGCCTTAGTGTCCACAAAACACTAAAAGGTTACAAAATGGAAGTCTCTACGATGTGAAGTAAAATCAAGCACACTGGGATACTCGTGCCGTCGTGACGTATACAGAAAACTTAGCTGTCATGGAAAATGGTGCCATTAATCCCTGTCGTTGTTTGGTTCTGTCCGGTCTGCTTGAAAACTTCACGACATCGGCGTTACTACACTAGGTCACACTGTTCCCAAGCCGGGAGTAAGTTCGGTAACAGACTAGTTGCTAGCATGGTAAACATAAACACAACAGCAACACACACTTACAGCCGGACTTACCGCCATGGTTTAACCGTACTTCTTTGCTTCCAGCGGAGAAAGGGTGGAACTGCGTACACCACTGCTCAACAATCAGCTGCAGAACGGCATGACTTACATGTAGGTCAGAAAGAATGAAGAAAATACCTTGTCTATAGAGTTGACAAAAGGCACAGGTAATCCTAGAAGCAGTCAATCAGGCTCCGTGGATACGGGAATGGGAAGGGGAGGGAGATTATCACATGCAATGGTAAGCAAACTGACCCCCTATTTGTAAGTATTTACACAGGTAAAACAAGTATGTATGAAGCTTAAGAGCGTTGTAAAAGTAGAATATATCATTAAAAAGCAGGAATAGTGTTTGCTGTTTTGCATTGAATTTGAAATGACACGTTTGTTATTGATAAACGTATAGAATTCGAAAAGGCAAGACTCTCTCCGTGGCCACATCCATATCATCACATCTGGTCGTGAGAGTTTCACATCCATATAACAACCCACCTAACTTAATTAACCGAGTGATAAAAATGAACTATTTATGTATTTGATAACTCCAGAATAATATTTGAATTGTTTCATTGGCCAACTACATTGTATTTCAGATGTACCATAGCAGTACAGCAGTGATTATTGTTATCATTTGTTATTGTACTCAGGACAAGCTACAATGGAGCCGGGATACGTGTACTTTTGAAGGTTTTGCATTTAGGCTCTTGTGTCTATATACCCTGTAGGAGGGGTGCTGACGGTGTGCAAGGTGATTGCACAAACAAAGCTAAACAAATAGGGAACATTTTAAAAAACAGAACGGCCCAGCTTTATGTCTGCCATTCCAAACGACAATATCCTCAATACTCAACAAACAAAAGTTCAATCTTTTTGTCTACACTTGGCATGAACGTTAATGAGCTCTGAAAGGGGCTGTCTGATTAGAAATTTCCAAACAGCCAACCACTGACAGACACACCGAGCGATTCGGTTACGGCGCGTAGTTGTTTGTAAGGCGGGTTAAGGAGGCTTATGACTGTGAATGGGGACAACATCGCAAGTCTTGCATGGGAAGAGTGAAAATCTGAACCGAATGAGGCCATTCAAGGCAGCCCGAAGCTCTATCTTCTAAAACACAGTTGTAATCAACAATGGACCGTGGCTATCATTTAGTAGTAGAGTATTATTCATCGGACACAACGTGATATAAGACACTATACGTGCATCTCAGAGTTTTTAAAGTTTTGTCGGGGGGGGGGGCTGTTACGGGATATATTCATAAATCCCACAGAGCTCATGGTGTCGCCTAGCGGTGTGGTGGAAAACAACGCCGTAACTATCACGTACGAAGTTCCAAAGTCCATCAATTTAATCATGCAGTAACCACCTTTCTGCGACAGCCAACTTGACATTTTGCAATTGTAAGTCGGCGGATTTGGGTTCTCATTTAAATAAAAAGCAACAGAAGCCATACTGAAAGAAATATTTTCAAAGGCAAAGTCGACTTCTTGTAGTAAAATCTTGTCCGGGTAGTAAATGATACAATTGATTGTGGATATAGGCGTGGTTCATAGTGCAAATTCCATGGTCGCCAAGACACGGCATCGTGCATGTTGACTTTACCAACTATGATTAGACTAATATCGATAAACCTTTAACATGGCAAGCCTTGCGAATTGATAGTAACTGAGCTCGAGGTCCACCATAATATGCCTAGAACAACGATGATGGATGACGCCACGTAAACAGAGAAATCTATATCTCTCACGATCTTAATCCAACGGTAATTTAGCAAACAGTATAACAGGCACCTGATTACACATATAGGAAAACAACTTCAATGAAATGCAGTATTCTATGTTGATTCCGAACTGTACAAAACTGTATCCAAGACTTCATACTAGGCCTTTTAGAACAAACGATATTTTGATGACAAAGAACACTAGATTCATTTTGATTTTCTGGAGGCCGGACTGTATCATGATCAAGTTCCTCAACGGAGTCCCGTTAAAAACAGCGGATATGTAAGCCTCGGCTTAGACCGATCGACATTATGTATGAACAAAGATCTACCAAAGTATGAAGTTATCAAGTTATACCGCAGTCTATACCCTTCGCAATGTAAGTTACTTTCTACAGACTCAGCTTGAAAACATACGAGTAGACACATTTAGTAGAAAGAGCTGAATCAAGGTCTTGCAGATCAATCTGTTTGTTTAGGCAATTATCAATAAATTTGACTCAATTTAACCACATACAGGTCGGTGACTACATCTACCGTATACCTTTCATACATTTGCAACTCGCGGATGCTGAATTACGTACCTTGTTATGGGTAGCTGTTGTGTAGTGTCGGTGGAACGGTCCAGTAACACCTGGCGCACGACCGAGCGGACGGAAAATCAAACCTTTTCCGGGATGTATCAATCCGCGACCCATGGCAACGACCTAAACCTTTTACTAGCAGACAAGAAATGAAATTGTTGTAAATACCGTCACATTGGGGACGTAGATACCTATTTGTACAGATCCCAGTTGTAATCTTTCTTGGGAAGGGCGTCCGTGATTGGAGCTTGGTGACGGACTACTTTATTTGGTGCGGAGGGGGAGAAAACTTTTAGCTGTCTGATGACGTATGTACGTACTTCACTCATTGAACCAGACGTTTTTCTAGGGTCACTGAAAGGTCATTCGACCAGTAAATGGTTCAAACAATAAGCAGTGCCATACGATATACATATATATTATGTAACACATCTCCCTCTATATAAAGAAGACTTTTTTTAATTGACTAAAGAAATCTGGACTTGAATCTCTAGACCTGAATCCTGACCTGGGCCTCAGTTCAAATACGCATCCCTAGCCTGGGCACCAGACCCACAGCATACAGGGAGTCTGCACACTGGATACTTTGGGCCTAATGTGCTGTGGGTCTGGCATCCAGGCTAACGCACCCCTAGCCACACCCTTAGCCAACTCAAGAATACACCCTTTGAGACCACAGCAACAAGTGTCCTCTATATAAGGGCGTGGTCTTCTGGCGCTCAAAGCGGGAACGTCGAGTACGTCAAAGAGGATGGTATGTGATTATTAATTGCACAAACAACTCAAATCCTGACGAACGTTTCGTTCGATAAGTACGTTCCCACAACCAGCTAACATTATTGCGTATAGACATGGACAAAATACTGTTTGCTTAAAAAAAACGCGTCCTTGCATGGGCCATGTCGACCGCCATAGAAATCTGACACCTACTGTTGTTGTGTGCGGTATCCAAAATACTATCCGGGTCAGCTATCGTAAGTGACAACCCTTGTTGTGTTAAGCCACGGCAGGGCAGTCTGAATAGGATAGATGATTCATATAGTTGGAATGCATTGTGAACCTTAGTTCGAAGTTGGGTTAGTCTGATTCCCCCGGGGTACGTTTATGTGCATCAGTACATGTAAAATCATTGAAAGACAATGTGGACCTCGGTTGAAGTAAGATGGTCTTAGTAGGAACCTGTTTGGGGCTTGTCTGTGTATCTACACTGCAGTTTTTATATGTCCTGCCAGAAGGCGTAGTGTCATTCTGCTTTTCGATCCTTCCCGAGTGCAAGTGCTGAAAGTTTTGCATCAGTGATATAAAATGAATAGATTATCCACAACATAAATGACTCTAATTCTAGACATACAGTAATCGTTTATTGATAGTTAGAAATTCATCAGATTAAAATGTACACACATCGATCAACAGCTAGTGTTAAAAATGATAACCACACTACTCTTATCTTTACTACTTCATGCATTACATTTATGGTAGTATTATTGCTAACATTTTGAAGCTCATGCATATCTAAAAAGATTATCTTCACCCACGTTACATTGTTAATTCAATTACCCTTGGACTACAATGGAATACAAAAATGTTATTACTAGTATGGGTTACATGATTATATGACCTACACCAATCTGACTCTAATAGTATCACTGAAATATGAAAGCATTACATCAGCAGCAGCATAAAGTCACCAACTATATCAGCTCCATAGTGATGCCAGTTTGAATACCATGTTCAAAGTTAGTGTTTTTTTCCTTTTTCTTCTGTGGGGGACACCACAAATGGCAGTGAAACATTTCCAAACAAAATTTAAATTTAATTTGTTTTCCATGAAAACTATTGTTGATGAAAGTGACAAATTGTCAAGTGTAGAGTTGATTACCCTGAATGGAGGCATGGCACTTCCGTTTGTAGATATACTATCATCGCATTCTGCATGAAGTAGCTTGTAAGATGCTTGGCATCAAAATTTAGACAACTGGCTCTGTTTAAACATGGTATCAAACTGCTCAGCTCCAACACAGCATTTGTAGAGTTAAACTTACAATACAAAGTATTCTCGGTATGAAGGTAGGTGACATATCGTTTTTCCGTGATGCACGAAACATTACGTGGTGTGCAAAATCCTATATGTGAAGAAAATGCGAGTAATTACGAAGCATTGACTGTAATGTCTGAGATGAAAGAGAGGAGCAATGTTCCAATTGAACTTCACAATATCTGTAACCTGGAGTCCACTTGCAAAGGTCCCTATCGAACCAAAAAAACTGGATTCCAGGCTACAATCTGACATTTGGTAAAAAACAATGAAGGCTAACTTTCCTTTTGTAACTTAATCACGGCAACACCCAGCATTCAACCAGTCAATTCTACAGCTTAGGGATTACTCCCTTAAAAAAATAATTCTGTGATAATTTTTTACCAATTTCTAATCTGCTTTGGTATCCAAAAACATGGTAAGACCATGTAATTTGCCACCCTGAAGTGAGTTATTTGGTGTTTGCCTTGACATATATAATCCATTTCTCGAGTGTCATAAAATTCATTTAAGGTGTACATTATAAGGTCTCAAACATCTTTCCCATTTGACAATGGTGTGATGTACATTTGCCCTGAGCTACAGAAGACACAGGAATGTGGAAAGTTGTAAGTGCCGGCAGGACTACCCTCTAAGCAGAGGCTAGGCTTGTTAGATGTTTTTCTGTTGGGCTTTCTATTTTATCAGCTATACTTTGGGTACACTGGCTAGGCAAGTATACCTAAGGAATTGCTGACAGTCAGAATAGAAAGCCTGAAAATACATCCAAAACAAGCCTAACCATTGCATGGGGAGTAGTCAGGAGAGTAGAGGAGGTAGACATGTAGGCAAGAAACTGGTTTGGGAGTAGGCTAACATTTTTAACAATAAAAGTGCAAGCATTTATAATGTTTAACTCTGGACTTCTGCACAGTCTCTCTACAATAACATACAGAAAGAAGAAGGTCTACTATATTTCAGTCTATACATCGATATCTCACCAATAAAATGACCAAATTTACAAAACAAACTAGCGTGAATGTCTTATAGAGAGTCTAGTGTAAGAAAATAAGATCTGACTTCCTACATATTATAAAGTAGTGGGTTGTGGGAAAGAGTGGTCCAGTCCTGAAGGTGGAAAAGGTGGTCCAGTTTGGTTAGGGAGGGCTCCATATGTAATGTGTGCATGTGCAATTCTGACAAAAGAGTGTCTAAAAGGGTTAACATTACAAATAATCCAACAAAGTCCATCAACGATATCAAACTGAAATATTCTCAAAGGCTAAGGGGAGGAAGATGGCTTCTCCTCTGCACAAAGCCCCTTGTCATTTAACTCCATTTAGCCACTGTCCCCATTGTACTCGAAGTACATGAAATCCTGTGATAATAAAAAAAAAAAAGATGATTAGTGTATCATGACCAAACTCGTTTCTAGTATAAATATGCTGCATTATATGTGTAGGAATGTTGTGTACCTAAACGTTACATCAGGTACTGATAACGTGGTTTAGGTACAGGTCCGGTGGCAGCGAAGACAGGCAGTACTCAGGCATTATCCATTTGCCAGACAATATCCAATGTGCCACTTGGGTATGGGTGCAAGAGCTATTCCCTTAATTACATCATGTAAACACCTCCCCCACATGTGTTCATAGTATCGTTTGGTACAGAAGTTAAAGAAAGGCTGAAGAAGAAACCTTTTTTGAGCGTTGCCAAGGTTACAGCATTCACTGGTTGTCCGAGTGTTCAAAGTACATGAAATCCTGTGATAAAAGGAAGTGAAGACAAGTGCATCATACGGAAAAAATGAAAAAAGGAATAGAAAAGGGTTAGCAAGCAAGTTATGACTCAATGAAGAGAAGGTATTACATATTACATGATAGATCTTGAAGTTTAGGATATCAGTATAGTACAAGCATAGCAAAGTGATTTCTTTGTTTCTATGTTTGCATTACCTGTTTCAAAATAATCATCTCATGTATGATGTTACTGTAACATACACAATGTATTACCAAAATGCCACCAAACATAGCACAGGAAAATGTTCTTGGGGAAAAGATACAGAAAATGAGTTAGAATGAATCCAAATTTTTAGACCAAAACAATCTGCAGTTCCAAAATTGATTGCTTGGAGTCCGAAACAAACTACTTTTCTCCTGACATCTACATACAATGTATATGAATCATCCATATTCAAACTAACCATAAATAGTAGTAAGCCTAATGTCAACTGGCATTTTCCTCGCAAAATGAAGTACAACACAACATGAATTTAATTTGGATTATTTTCCCCCGTGATTTTCTGCCAAAATACAATTTAAGTAGAATTGATGCTTTTCCCTCCACATAACCTGAGCAACCAATGTATTGAAAGACATAATATACTTACAATGAGCATGGCTGCCCCAAACAGTGTGGCCTTCATCTTCACATCCAAGTCCTGGGGGACTGAAAAAAAAGATGAGGACATTTGAAGTTTGTCTAACAATGGAAAGGTGGCAAAGTTGTTTCACCAGCAAACTTTAACACCACGAAAACTGCCTTTCCTCTTCTACTGCGACACTAAGTCCATGCAAAAATAAATGAATTTACAGCACACTCACAGGTCATGCTGAAGTTGCTGGCCTTGGTGAAGCACTCCTGGACAAACCCTGCGTACTGACGAGTCACGGCCCCAACTTTGGTGACTCCGTCAGTCCCGAGGATCTGCAGAACACAATATGGGTACATTGTCAGCACAACCATGGAAGACAGGAAATGAGCAAACACACAAAAATGACATGCTGAAAACTTACGTACATGGAGATAAAAAAGTCAAAACCTACATTGAAGTCCACATCACAGGTGCAGCATGGGCCAGCCCAGACACAACAAGGTCCCCAGATCTTGAAGATTTCGTCTCGCTGACCATTCATGATACTGAAGTGGGGCTTCCACTTAGATCCCCTGCAAATACAGCAATATGCACATGACCCTAATTTTTAATTATGTATCTAATGTTACCTCTTAAGCCAGGAGAACTACAGAAAAAATTGGCAAACTTGTAAAAATTGTAAGCGCCTGGTTCTGAGGGGGTTGCAGAATTAATGAAAATTGAAAACTACCCTGGGTCGGCACTGGGTTGGCAGTAGCCTGGACTTCATCTTATTCTAGCTCCAGTTCATACCTGTGATTGCATCCACGCAGAATATGACTTCCGACAAGATTTGTAGTCAGCCATTGTAGACAAATAGCCAACCACAACAACCAACTCCCAACCATAAATGACTTTCTTCACTCCTAACTCCCAACCATGGTCTTGAGAAGGTAGAGAGGCCATTATTGTTGGTATTTAACATATATATTATACATACACGTATGTGTAAAGGGTTAGTTTAAAATGTGTACCTAAGTGTGCATTTAATACATAAAAAAGCATTCCTAATGTTCAAAACAAGGTACACAACATACAGCTGGCGCACGATTCCGATCTGCTGACCAACAGGAGCTTCCACATAGACCTCGAAGGCACAGCAGTCACAGCAGCCAGCACACCAACAGCACCCTGCACAGCATTTGAAATCACGGCGGATACGCATCACTTCCTGTGGGAGGCAAACCACATTGTTAAAGTGATCACATACCAATTGTTTATCACGCTACATAATACATGTGATTTCTTGTTCACAAAATGGACATGGCACTGTTGTTCTACTGTTGATATATATGTGTCAGGGTAGAGATAGTAACCTGGCAGAAGCATCGCATTCGGTCGACTGTTGGCATATTTCCTATTATCCTGATTGCCATCTCTCAACAGAATTGCAGTGTCTACCGGTAGAATTGGCCATTCTCCCAGATTGCAATTTGTACTATGATATATGCACATAAATCTATTTGTTTGTATATATTTGTATTCCTGTGATGTTTCCACACAATGTGTCAGATTGTGTATTACCTGTTGATTGTTGTCTGTGACGTGGATGGTGAACTCACGCTGGTTTCCACACATGATCCTCATACAGAAGTCGGTCTCTGGAGGCATAACAAAAGGAAAAGGATATTCACACTATGAAAAGTATGATACGCATATCATTGCAATTGACAAAAACAATAGAACCATTCTTTTTTTTAGGGAACAAAAAATCAGGCTTTCAGCAATGGTTAGAGTCCCGTGAATAGTTTCTTCAGGTTGGTAAGTCACTGAATAAAGAATTCTGGGACCTTCAAGTTCACCTGATTTCCTGTGTCTGACCTTTTGACCCGTCATTCTGCATGTAAATTGTAACCCTAACCACAAGCTGTCAACCTACTGTCAACCTACTCGCAAACCCACCCATGCAAAACAGTTGACTTTCATAACCATAGGTAAATACTGGTCATAAAGTATAGGTTTAGGGAGACAGACATCAGACTTCCGTTCAGTAAACTCACCCTCATAGGCAAAGTAGACCTGCTGACCAAGGCTGTTCTTGATCTTGTACTTGTTGTTCATCTCCACACCAGTGAAGGCTGTAAGGGAGTAAACATAAGCCATGATTTGGCTCATTCAGAAAATTGTTGCCTGCAGAAGTGATTCATTTCTAATTAATCAGAATTTTAACATAGGCTGCCCCAACAATTTTACAGCATTTCTTCCTCGGAAGTAGAATTAGTGGATTAATAAATGAGAGCACAATCTGAACATATTCCTAGCAAAACAATAGACATTCGCAAGCTAGACTTTTCCACGGTTGGCATTATCTAGAAAGATGCTCCATTTTAAATGTATCAGACTCAAGTGTTGGTTTGGCCAGTGTCCCTACCCTCAAACAGCTCCACTTGCTGATGGACCAGCAGTTGGTCAATCTGGGTCAGGTACTCCAGACCAGGGGGGCATCCTGGGATAGCGACGGGAGTCGGCATCCACTGCTGAACGACCCCGGGTTGGTTGGTAACAGGCTGCTGCTGAGAACGTAAAAATGAGCAGCTGAGTGCTAGATCTCATGGCACATGCATACTTGGCCCATACATGTAGGGGTGCTGTTTTGTTCTAATTCTGAGAATGAATACGTAACAGGTAGTTGTTCTAACTTGCAGTGTGTACTGTATTGTGACTTACTTTAGTGAGTGTGTGCCTCAGTATTTCCCTAGACAGAAGGATTATAAAGTGAGACAGTTGCAGAGGTGACTGTCCAAGCAGGTATCAGGTGGGAAGATTGTGACATTTGATATCAATCAGGGGCCTTAAGCAGTCAGATCTTGGGGTCCAGTCAGAAATCATCACAATAAAAAAGTAAAATGCATCCTTACCATCTGCATAGCTATGTCTGCTTTTCAGTTGCGATGAACTCAAGAGGTTTCCAAGACGACACTGCAAGTGTTAATATGTAAAAAAAAGCATTTAGTATTCCAATAAAGGATCACTATATAGAAATTATATGTCACAGTACATACATCCCTCAAATTTTTGTTTTACTGTAAATTTGGCATTCGTATAAAAAATGCAATAAAAATTGACAGTGGTCGTTGAAAAGTTGATCTCTCTGTAAACTGTGTACGTGTGTTGGAACAAAGTTCAATGTTTTACTATGATTACTACCAACACAGATGAACTTTCATGATAAAAATTGAGGCATTGGGCATCAGGTCAAAAGCCAAATTTTTTTTGAGAGATTTACTGTCATAACAAAAACGGTGTACAGAAATGTAAATGTGGAATACCTCTACAAGATACGACAACATCCAGGAAGAATAAGAACTAGTGGAAGTGGGGGAGGGCGTAAGGTTGTTTTTGCCCTACCACTTTCCAGTCAAATTTTCAGCTGCTTCTATACGCCCCCCCCCCCAAAAAAAGACATCTGCCTGAAAATACATTTATGAGGGCGTGTCATACCCTCTCTTTCGAAACGAGTCGACTAGTCGCAAGTAAAAACATGCCCCTGGCCCAACTCTTCTAGTACAATAACTGGTATTACGTTAGATATGAATCTTCCAAGTCTGGAGCAGTGAGGAAGTTGAATTTCTTTTTTACCAGTCCTACTCTAAATTCCTACCTTCCCGTCCAAACAGCACAATGGCGTCCTTACCTGGCTTGTTTACCACTCAAAAGCGCGATACATATAATCATGTAATATAACATGGACTGTGGTAAGAAAAATAACTCACAACGTGCTAGCTTATCGGGTAAAGCCTCTAGCCGTGGCGACTCTTGAATCGGGCGTCATAAGACTACTAGCAAAGAGTCGCCACGGCTCGCTAGCTTCTACTTCTTTTAACTAGCCGAGGCCGGCGACTAAAAGGTGAGCCTCTTTATTAAATATATTTGCTGCATATAACGTTACTGACAATACAGCGAATATATAAGAGTATCCCTTAATCGCCACTGCTAGGTACTTGCACTCCGTTGTAGCCTCTAAACGAACCAGACGTTCATAATTTTTGACAGCTATATATAATTTACAAACGTAAACAGGTTTTGCCTGTCGGATTTCTCTCTACCCTACAGCAACTATGTGATAACATAAATAGCTGGGGTAATAATAATGAGTAGTATAGGAACAGCTACTCGTCTACGTAGCTTACGCTGTGTCTGATTTCAGCCTGTAGATCGAGTGTGTAGATGTCGTGGCTGTGCTGTGGAAACGCGTACACCACCTCTACGGGAATTTGCATAAAAGGAAATCATTTGATCACAAAGAATCACGGACACCGGGGGATGGGGGCAGGGAATCGATTTTTTTCTAGATTACTCTATGCCTGATAGCACTTCTATCATCTGGCCTTAATATTGTTTCAACCATTTTGAACGTTACTGATATTCATCCCAAGCGGTCACTGTGCCATGTATGTAGATATTACTTCCAAATAAATAAATAAATTGGCCAGCCACCCCCTTCCAGCTATTTGGAATGGACCATAACATTTGCGCTGCCGTTTGACATTTTTGTTACTCGCCGAGTGACTCCTTGTTTACAACAATGATCTGTAGAACTAGTACTTTAATCCATTATAAGAATCTTACAACAGATACTATGATTCAGAAAGCTTTTCGCGAATTTACCATTCACGCCCTCCCCCCCTCACCACCACGCACCATCCCTCTTGACAGAGGGTTTTCTGGTCCTCTCATTTCTACCCTATGACCTCCTTGGGGAGAAACCTCATTGCCTTATGCGTAATATCAGGTGACCTAAACATGTCATGGTCCGTCAGATCTCGAGCTGGTGTAGACAAGGAGAAACTGCTACCCCTACAATGCTGTTTATATACATGTCGGTTACATGCCCGTAGCCAGGATTTTGAATGGGGGGGTTCTTCCCACTGCTTGAGGGGACCTCGAGCGCCGTAGGCGCGAGGTTCCTAGGGGGGTTCGGGGGCATGCTCCCCCGGAAAATTATAACAGACTTTTGGCCTTGGCTACAGTATACATTATGCATTTATGAGCATAAGGCCTTAAAGTAAGACGCACGCTACTTGTTCAGGCTCATGTGTCGTCTGATTGCCAAGGCAACAAATGACGCATGCTTTACTGGGGCTTTTTCTTTGAAACTGTCAGGGGCGCCCAGTGTTGTTATTGTAGCTGTCTGTTGTTGTTGCACTCTGACAGTGTGGACCAAGGACCTCCTTGTGTGCACCAAGGAGGATTTTAACCTCCTTGTTTTGACGTCGACGAACCTCAATCAATGTCAGTTACGTATTTGTTATGTGGTATAGTGTTGACAGAATTGATGGGTCGTCATACTGATGGAATATTACTGGTGGCGGGAATGATACTATTATTTGAAGAAGCTCTACTTTCTAGACCTTTCTAGTATCTTAGCTGTAACGTGTTATATCACAGTGGCTGTATATTAAAAAAAACACCGTGTCTGTCTTCTGTCTACCATCGAACCACCACATTTTTACCCTACCGGTCGTCAAAACAGACAGGCGCCAAATGCAAATGACATACTGGCAGTACCGATGCGTCCTATCGGTCGTGTGTATAGGTGTGGCTAACATTCATTCACTGTAAGTAAATTTCAAGGAAACGCCAATTTGTGTACATGTTTACACGCGCTAGTTCAGACAAGGTTTAAGACATAACCTCCTTGGTTCAGACAATCTCTTATTAGGGCGACAATCACTATGTCTATGCACTATGAGATGTTCTCCCACAAAAATGTGTTACACAATATGACAACATGCTGGTCAACACCAGACGGATTTTGTACATACCACCATGGAATACATGTACTTAAAGGGGTGGGCGTGGCCACAGGTAAGGTAAGCCGTCTCGGTTCAAGAGGCACTTGGAACTATCCATGTCCAGGTACAGCAATACGCTGTGATTTGATAGTACGTCCTATTATATACTAGAAGCATGTTGTTTACTGGGCTGGGGACACAACATGACAACCCACGCCATGACCACAGGATTCTAATTATGTGGTCATTATCTAATATTAAATGCTAACATCGTTTGGATTAGCATTTGGACTAGTACTACATGTATTATGGACACGTACTTTTCCAATTTCAACACAAAAGTAAGGTTTTAATTTTCTGACGCCCCTCATATTCGATACAAATTGCCATCAACTCACTATGGGATATTCCATTCTACCGTAGGGATAGATTTTTTTATGAAGTTGTCCTACACTGCAGCGGCTGCCACGATTTAAATACAAGGAAATATGGTGGTTGGTTTTCTAGAAATGGCGATCATAACAACGCTTGGTATAACACATAGAAACGAGAGATGGAAGCGACGTGATATGTTTACTCCAAGGAGGTCCAAATATCTGTTGAACAAACGTAGTGGTTGAGCGAGAATTTGCCAGAAATAGCGTCGGTTGTGTAGCCTGGCCTTTGCAACGCCGTTCAACACAACAAAGCCTGTTTATCCCAGCTTTGGTGACACGAAACCTCTAAATTAAGCTAACCCAGGTAAAAATCGAACTTACCTTTCAGTGCACGTAGATAGGAACACAGCCTAGTCTGAGCTAGCTCTCCAAGAGACAACCCAAACGTCCTGTCGTCCTGTCAGTATCAGTGGGTTGACTCACAGTCAGGCTACTGCCCCCGGGCTCTGGGGACAATTCGTTTGAGATTCGCGGGGTGGGTTGAAGCAGTCGGATCGCGCTCCTAGCGGTCTTACACTAGAAACTTCCATGCATCATTGTATGCCCCGTCTTTCTAAGCACACCAGCTATCTACAATCCAAAAATTGTGATCATATCTGAACACGAGATATCAAAAACGGACGTTCCGCTTCAGTGCCTGACAAAGTCGATAGGGCCCATAATCTAAACATTTCCAGGTCTCTTTGGCGGAGGTAATAACGAATCTTACACTTCAAATTACATGTACATCAAAACAGCACTTCATTTTCATTGATAGGTATCAGTACAATTGACACGCATCAACAGTTAAAAAAAACCATACGTAAAACCGACAATGGTCATGCAAGTGTTTATCAAGATTGTTTAGCTCAGCTCGAGTACAGTTCAGTTCATCCACTTAGAGGCACAAAATATCTCAGTCTGGCACGGTGACTTTATAATTGCCACAAAGCATTATTGGGCAGTATAAAAAAATCAATATTCTCAACACACGTTTACTTGATTACTAAAATGACATACATGTACAAAGGATTAACATGATTAGTATCGAAAAAATCATTGTTGATGCCATTATGCATATTCCTGTCCATTATTATCACTATTTTTTTAATGTGAAAAGAGGGAGACAAATCATGAAATCTACCAGGTTTTAGCCTGATTCAATGAAAATTAAAATTAAGTCGTAGAATTCTGACACTTGAAGAGTGTCTCAGACCTGAGGAAAATTTGTGTTTCCGGTTACCTCCCAACCATGTAGCAAAAACCTGAGGGTGCCAGTTAGAATTTTCAATCTGCGTCATGTAAAACGTTATACAGTAGAATTATATTCCAATTATCATGTTCCCCTCATTTCTGCCGAAATAGAAAAATTTCATTATAAAATGCCAATGTATAGTAAACATTATATGCCTTTGTTTAGTTTCTCAATATTCTTGAAATTAAAATATGATGTTGAAAATATCAGTCCTAATACATTTACACTGTTAAACTGTATTTGTTGTATCACTTCGTCCGAAATTTAAAAAAAAACACCTACCGACCCTATTTTTCTAGGACCGTAATCGGAAACACAACATTCATTTTCCTAGGCCTTAGTACGTATCAGTCGATGTGGCAATCTTTGTTTAAACCTGGGGCCAGTGATATTATTCCCTTGCTCTCTATTTTGTACTCAGCCCGCTCACTGGTTGTTCCCATTGTACTCGAAGAACATGAAATCCTGCAATAGAAAGTATATATATACTTGTTATGAGGTGAAGCAAAAAAGTCATACAGTACATATATGCATTTAGCCCACATGGGCATGAATGTGAAACTAAAGATCATTTTTATTCAAACATATCAAGACAAATACATTGTACTTACAATGAGCATGGCTGCCCCAAACAGTGTGGCCTTCATCTTGACATCCAAGTCCTGGGGGACTGCATGATAAAAAGAAAAGGCGTGCCAGGTACGTCTATAAACCAAGAAGCTTAAAAAATTATCAAACGTCCATGCATTTAAAAACTTAATGCAAGTGGATTTTATAATGCTCATTAAAGGCTACCGAAATCAGTTCTGTGTTCATTTTTTCGTCCCCCTATTTCTAATGGCTCTCTCTATATGTTTACTGACTGTAAAAGCTCCATATAATCCACTAATACTCACAGGTCATGCTGAAGTTGCTGGCCTTGGTGAAGCACTCCTGGACAAACCCTGCGTACTGACGAGTCACGGCCCCAACTTTGGTGCTTCCGTCAGTCCCAAAGATCTGCAGGGTTTGGTTTGGATACATTTTGTGTTAGCATGGCCCTCCGACACCCTAGCAGCTGGTAACCAAAACATCGTAATAATCTCCAAGCAGATTCTGTGGGGCAAGGGGTTTTATATTGGCCGCCTGACCATTGACCTCCTGTAAACCGTTGCCGATTTGATACTGCATTGCACTTGCACCCAAGCCGTCACCAGGCTACACGTTACCCCCCCCCCTCCCAATCATCATCATAGCTTGTAGAATAAAAGCTACAATAAACCAAGAACACAAAGTCTCAGCTAACATTGTATTGTTGTTGTTATTTGAACTTTTTAAAGCTCTCGTTTCCCCCTCGCGGCCCTTCGCATATGAAACTGTTGATAGTACTGCAGGTCCAATAAATCGATCACTTGTAGTTTGATTTTAGTCTCCACCAGACTTCTCGACCAGAATAAATCGTAGAAATCGGCCTAAAAAGGTATTAATTGGCCAGAGAAGGTAGCCGGCCAGAGAAGCTCCAGCTCCCCGCCAATTAATACCCTTTTTAGGCCGATTTCTACGATTTATTCACCCCGCAAAAGAAGTCTGGTGGAGACTAGTTTGATTTGAATGATATGTACTAGTGGAAACATACATCAAAGTCCACATCACACATGCAGCACGGGCCAGACCACGCACAGCAGGGGCCCCAGATCTTAAAGATCTCGTCCCGCTGGCCGTTCATGACACTGTAGTGGGCCTTCCATCCGGATCCCCTGGAAAACGAAACGAACAGTATACTAGTATGTAATAGATTGACCTTAGGCAGGTACGAACAGAAACAAACGCAAGTTTAGAAACAGCAACGCAACAAGAAATTTACTTTCAGGAAGTACTTTCCAGTTCCAAGATATCCCGGACGTTTTTTTTTCATTTTTACTTTATGAATGTACATGTATTATACACACAAGTCTAGTTTCAGCTGTCGGTTTTATCGTTTTTGGAAACCCAAAGCTACGAACAGAATCAAATGAAGCAAATATTAGATTATTACAAACAAGTGAGACAACGCACAGCTGGCGCACGATTCCGATCTGCTGACCAACAGGAGCCTCCACGTAAACCTCGAAGGCACAGCAGTCACAGCAGCCAGCACACCAACAGCACCCTGCACAGCATTTGAAATCACGACGGACTCGCATCACCTCCTGCGGGGGCAAAATCATCGATAAAGTTAGACGCACAATCCCTGTACAGTATCCCTGTTAGTGTTCGTTTTTGTCACATGCCGTAACGGTTGCAATTGCTTCAAATTGTGTTTCCCTGCTTCTGCAAAATGCTAGGCCAGTGACAGGAAGTTTGGTTAAAGGTTCTTGAATTTCCTGCTACATGTACATATGTGTATGCATACCTGTTGCCTTATATAGCCAGTGTGAGAATGCAAACGGCAAATAAAAAAGAGAAATTCACAAAAGCTCTAAATATTTGACCCTTGTAAAGTAGTTGATCTTTGATTTTTTTTGTAATACATGAGTGATAGTTTATTTCTACTGACAACGTTTATTTTGAATTCTGCTAGTGTACGATGATGGCTGTTTCTGCACGACCGGACAAGTATTAAAAAAGTTCGGCATTGGGCATTACCTGTTGATTGTTGTCTGTGACATGGATGGTGAACTCGCGCTGGTTTCCACACAACATCCTCATGCAAAGATCAGTCTCTGGAAGAAGTTTGGGTATGTGATCAGTGAGCCAAAAGTACACAAAAATTTCCCGAAGACAAAGCTAATGTTTATACTATGCCTTATGGTCTAGTTATACTGTAATATTTGAACTTTGGTGGTAGTTTGGTATCTTAGCGTCTATATGTCTCTTACCATAAACGAGATGTAACATGTCTCTCCATATGGTCACTTACAGATTACCATAATTACACAAGTCATAACCGTTACAACACATACATAATCATAATAAAAATGCTTGAATATCATATTTCTGTGTAAACTCACCCTCATAGGCAAAGTAGACCTGCTGACCAAGGCTGTTCTTGATCTTGTACTTGTTGTTCATCTCAATACCAGTGAAGGCTGTTTAGGAAAGTCCGAAGAGAAAATTGTAACTACATCATCTTTACGTTATAATAAAATTGACATGGAAGACATGAATGTAAAACATATGCAATAGGTCATATAAATGACAATTCGCTCATGGTTAACGTTGATAAGCCAATCCATCAAGGTTTGTTGTCTCTTAGTTGTAGCCACCTGACAGCTACGTTGAAATTAACCCAGAAATGTGTTAAATCTACACGTACGATACACAGCAGTTTTCTCACTTCCAAGTTGTTGTTACGTTATCTTCTAAAAAATGACAAAAGTGTTAAAATCATGTCCGTCGCCCTGCTCCCTACCCTCGAACAGCTCCACTTGCTGATGGACCAGCAGTTGGTCAACCTGGGTCAGATACTCCAGACCAGGGGGGCATCCTGGGATAGCTGCTGGAGCCGGCATCCACTGCTGGGCGACCCCGCCGGGCTGAGCGGTAACGGGCTGTTGCTACAGCAGAGAACGTGGATGGTGCAAACAATTAATAAAAGGATATATATATGGACGTGCATTGAAAAGTTCCAATCAAGTTACGTCATCGATGCCTTATAACGTACCCAAAGCACGTAACGTCAAGCTTTTGGTAGCGCTAAGGGCACCACGTCATTAAGTGCTACTCAAATTGGCACTAATTCTAGCATACAATATTTGAAGGGGATCGAAAGTCGGTGAACATGCATGTGGTCATTGGAGGAAAGAAAGTAAAATATGTATGCTACCTGTTTTCCAATGTCACTCTTAATGTAATCAAACTTAAAACACACACTTTGGAATAGTTCATAGTATTATATATTACATTAATCTTACAATTCTTTTTCTTTTCTTTTCGTTATGCCAATGAGTACGGAAAAATACAAACATGTGTCCTCACCATCGCCATGAGTGCCTCGGTTTTTCTAATGTGGTCGATTCAAGAATTCTGAAGACACTGCAAGATAATACATACAGGATCCGGAGTTAGCTTCTTCACCCATCACCACCATCGGAACAACGACAATGTGTTGATGTGTGCTAATCATGTACATGTTACGTTGCGTAGACGAAGCTAAGATTGCCGTTCATTACCATCACTCCCACCATGCCAGTTCCGGCTTTTGTCAATATTAAAGCTGCCAAAGGCCTAATTTTGGACGACTGTACATAAGTTTGTTCAAGCTTTGTGTATCAAACATTTGTCCGTGCCGGTCGGGTGAGCAATATCCATCATTACATGGTTAACTCTGGGGCCAGTGTTGCAAGATATGAAAATCTGCACGGGGGAACTGGGTTACAAGATCCCTCCCTTAGTACCGAGAGTTAATTGGTTCGGGACAACGAATACCGCCGTGCAAGGTATGATCGATTATCAGTTATCTGGGGCTTTGATTTCACCTGGTTAATTGATACGTACGTTTCCGGTTCTCTCAGCGTTTGTTCACTATACATGTATCATACGGATCCGTACTTATAATAGATGAAATAAGCATTATTCATTTGTTCATTTTAATACAATCCACCGCGACTTCTTGGGCCTGTCGCTCAGATTCCAAAATGGCCAGCGAGTCGAGCGTACTTGTCGCTTTAAAACCTACTCTGTCAGATTAGGTCGGGCTCAGTAACCATCGAATGTCCCTAAAACTTTTCATATGCCCATCTGACCTGTGTGAGTTAGTTAGTTGTAAAATAAATACTGTAAGTCTCTTTAGATTCGCGGGGCCTAAAGTTCGCGGTTTCGGGAAAGTGGACAATCCGCGGTATTTTTAGATTCGCGATCTCTCCTTGGTTATTTTTGAAAGATAAATTTGTAAAGTGTATATTTAAAATGATAAAAGTTCGTGTTCCGGCATTTATATCCTAAAACGCGGCGCAAAAATTTGTTTCGTGCACCGCGCGAGACTGCCGGCGGTATAGCTGACGATCGATCTGACGCACGTGTAAACAATTTTCTTTGTTCGGAAATAAGCGCTAAAACGCTATTTTCTACGACTACACATCGATACTCTAGTGAAGAAATGCATAATCGAAAGAATCTTTCGGGAAAATATATATTACTAAAAATATTTATGCCGTCTTCGGCGAGATTTTGAACCCGGAAGTATGCAAAGGTCGCCTTCGGTTTTGTAGCGGCCCACGGTAGCGTTTCTATCCAGCAAAAAAAAAAAAAAAAAAACGCCCGCAAAGCAGGGCGCAAAAGAGAATCAACTAACATTTCCCAGATACCAGCAGTTATGTTTTTAATCAAAATATTTGTAGATATGCCCGATGTGCCCGCAATTTTCAAGCGCCCGGGCGCGCATGGCCGGCGCTCTGCACACAGAGATTTTTGTCCGGCGGTGCACGTTTGACACGGCCAGTGCCACAGTATCGCGATTCGGTGTCTCATAATATTATAATTTTTTGACATCCGTATAACTTTAAAAAATTTGGTACTCAACATACGTACATTTGCTAAGAATAAAGTTGATTTGCAGTGATTTGTGTTTGTTGCGTGTGTTTGTGTTTCGCTTACCGTCGTTAATGCATGTGGGGAGGGGGGCGCACTTACGCAAAACATATTCGCGGGGAAATAGATTCGCGGTACAGAGGTCCCCGCGAATTCCGCGAATCTAAATATGCCGCGGAAATATGTAGACTTACAGTAGAATGAAGTGCCCCTTTAGAGGTCTCAGATCCATGGGATGAGTTTATATTTTCCTGCTGTGTAACGCCAGGATTAACCATAGCACCAGGTACTAGTAATTATGAGCGACGTCAGGTGACTATCTTGCATGTCACGGAAATACAAAAGAAGGAAACCGGACCCCGGTTTGTTTTGCGGGGTAGTCACAGCGGCATCAGTCAACCCTTTTCCCCTTTGTTGACTCGGTACCTGGCACTGTTCAAAGCAACAACTCTGGAAGGTGCGTGATGGATGAACATTTGTCAACACGCATTGGCCGCCACAATCCGTCAATCGTGGGGTTACTCTGTTCGCAGGTCCGAATGAGGGCAGTTTTTTTACTACATGCCCTACATGTACAGAGAAGGGGTAGCCTGGATGTAATCCTTTCGGCTTTACGCTCTCTCGGTCGTATGTTATATCTTGCCAAAAAGGGGAGGGGCAAGAAGCGACCGAAAGAGCGTACTAAAGCTAAATGTGCTGACATATACTTAGTAGTCTAGAGAAGGGCAAACAAACTAATAAATGATATCGATGAGAAGATATTGTTGCAATAATTTGGTTTTAGCTGCATAGAACCCAATTCTCTAGTTGTACATTACATTGCACCTGCTTCATCAAGAAATGAGTACCCCCCACCCCGGCCCCATAAGTACATCACGAATTACATGGCCCCCAAACGTCTGAGTTATCAGAAGCAAACTTAATAATAGATTCACCATTCCTTTTACGTTAACGCTATTACACGCGATTAAGGGCACATATCTGCATAGATCGCTACAAGGAACCGGACGTGAAACTTTGAAACACGCTCCTGATTGGCACAGTAATGATCAGAAACCAAAAATCCCATCAATCAAAGACCCTATCTAGCGGGTCACCGAATCTGTTTCTCTTCAAATCCGATCTGTATTGTTATTTTTTCCTTAACATGCACCACTAGGTCCGGACGTCCGTACTATCAATATGTGAAAAGAATATCCATGACAACATATAAAATCATAACAGTGATAGCGGACTTTTGCCAGCTGCAGGCTACGGTAAGATACATTTATATTGCGATGCAAGTTCTTTCATGACCTTTCTGCATTTAATCCGTCCACTATCAAAATAACGTTTGACCGCGCGGGGCATGCACGAGAAATTACAACGTGCGCTGTAATTGCGCTACAGACATTGATTAATTGAACTTACCATTAATACTAGCATGAAATTAGTGTCCTTTTTTTCTGTTTTTGTCATGTATCATTTTTTGAAATGCAATAAAAAGATTAAAAAAAAATGGAATTATTAACGTGTCGGGTGCCTTGATTATGCTACATACGCACATCGGTACCATCGTGTGAAAGCCATAGCTGCATAAACGGACTTTCCTCATAAACATTCTTCCAAAGCAGACAAGCGAGTTCATAAGGTCAAGTTCCCAACAATCAGGCTACTAGTATTAGGGTCAGACTTGACGGGAATACTAAGTCATTAACGGGCAAAGATAATGCAAACAGAACTTAATTTACACACAGAAACATTTTCCGACTTGGTCTAATCGTCGCCACCGTTGCCAACTGAACATCGTACGTAAGACTTTGCAACATGAACGTTACGGTAACGTGACGTTACTTCTGAAAAATGGCGGACTCATGGGTCACGTGTTCACATCATAAACATGATTGCCATTCAGGCTTAAAGTTTACGATGTGATCAATATGCATACCCAGCATAGATTACGGTGAACCTTATCACTTTCTATATAATTCGAGACGAAAATAGCTATCATTGTATTTACAATTGGAGAAAAATGCTCGGTAGCATGTCCAGAAGGAACGTTTTACCGTTCAACTCCGTTATCCGTGACGTTAACGTATATCAAATGTACTTAAAGAATCTTGGAAGTTGGTAACATCGAGAGCAGGTAGCATATTGGTATCTTTGCATGCTCCTCGTGTCTCTCTAATTTTCCACTTACCCATATGTAAACTAGGACTAGTAGGAGCCCTTTCCTGATATTTGCCAAGCTTCACTGCTTTCAACAAGAGCCCTTCACGGCTCGGACACGCCCCACCCACGTAACTTTACACCACAGTGGAACACAATATATACGACACGGTCTTTCAGCGTTTCATTTCAGAATGCTAGTAACGTTACATATCTGAGATGAGAAAATATGTTTCTAAGTCGATTTGAAAACCTTAAAAATGGCTTGCAGATCATGATCAACGGATTCGGGTTTGCCACTGCTGACAGTGGTGGTAACAGGTGTGTTCTGGGAATGAAAACATAACCTACTCCTTGTGGAGTGAGAGAAGTAAACATCTGCGTGAAGGTCATATCATGACGGAGGTTAGAAGTGGTGTTTAGGTCATGTTTGAGTCCGTTATTTCTGGTCGACTAAAGACAAGTATAAACAACTTCGAGCGGTCGAATAATGACAGGATGGCTAGATGTTTGCAGTTCCAGACTTTGCTAAATAGAAACGTGAAGTCACTTCGGACACGTTACCGTTTCTTAAAAAAACTTTTTATCTTGACTTTGTTGCGGGTCAGACCTTTTTGATGATACTGAGCTGCACGTGATGATACAGAGCTTCACGTGGCAGAGGCTAGTGGTACTTTTGGGACCACTTTCTTCAGCCATAAGTAGTTCCACACCAGAGGTCTGTGCTGGTTCCACGTGTTGACACACCTGTCACTGAGTACTGTGCACAAGGCGCGGCCGCCGTCTTAGGATAATGCGCAAGAACCTAATTCCCTCAGCCCTCGTGCCTTGCATCTTTAGTAGGCCCAGTAAACGGACCCTAACGTGTTTAACGAGAGATTGGAAGGTTTCTGTGGTGTGAAGAAGAAAGTAAATCCCTACCTGTAGTCCTGACCAGTAGCGACCTTGCGAGCCTACCGCACCCTGTCACAAAGTATGGCGGGAGGGTATCGGATGTCTGTGAGGGGAAGGGTAGAGTAACTAGTCCTATTGTGTTGACGTAAATAAAACATATAGGAACCACAGAACCAATCAGAAGTCAATTGGCGATGTGCCACTGCTATGACCTCTCGCCTAGATTTAACATCTTTTGGATTATTATGTGGTGAAGACAACTAAAACCGTCCACAGGCACAGATAAAACGTAATAATTTCCTTTTGTAAAGAAAGTCGAAATGAGCGAAAACATGTTTGATGATAGACAAAAGAAATACGGGAGCAAATTTGACCTTGCACAGGGACAGAAAAGACAGTATTTCTTGCTATAGGACACCCTGAAAACGTTTTTTTTTTTCACTTCATGAAACCTAGAATTTTCAACAACAAACTGATGAAACGATGGTTGATTTTACAACAGATAGAAAAAGAATGAATAGTAACATTTTTCACAACATGACTGAATTTTTATTGTTCACTACATTTAACTAGTAACATTTAAAATTGCACATTAAACACTATGAACACAGGCAGACATTTGCAAGGACAAAGATTCTGCAAACACACATGTTAATGGACAGTGTTTTTTTCACATTACCGTTCTTGCGTGATATAACATTGTATGTTGGGACATATTTCCTAATTCCAATAATTCATCAATGTTCTTTCCTCAGGCTTTGTAAACAAGTAACTCCAAAATGATATATCTTAAAATCATGAAACTTTTGTTAAAAGTTTTGTTATCTTGGTTTTCTATGAATATTTGAACATACTAAGTAAAGGTTCAGAGAGTTGGTTGATGCAGATGTAGAGTGTCTACTGATTTTCTCTGATAATACAAGTTGCACCTTTCAATGTCAACAGTCATGTGCATCACACAATTATGAACACGACCTGGTTTGTACATTGTACAACCATTTCCACATATATTGACTTCACACAACTTTTAACAGATTTTCTAGACACACAAGACATCAATATATTACAGACTACGACACTGTCAGTATTTCATTTGCTACTCATCTCTTTGATTCAGGAATAGGTGGGGGAGGGGGGCACATATACTTACAGTACATGTATTAGCACCTGCAGAATAGGCATGTCTTCATTGTTTGCTGGTTGGAGAGATTATAGAGAGTTATGATTATTACAATATACAGCACGGAAAAATAAATGTATAGGTACATGGGATAGTACTAAATTACAATCTTCATTTCATTTATTAAATCCTCCAAAACAAACACAGCAATTTCTACATTTGGATACTGAAACTAACTTTCCTCTATAAAAATACATTCATGTTTATGCAACTACACGAAAATGATTGACACACTGTAGGAATTAATAAAAATATGTTAACATTATGTTAAAAGAAACCAACCTATACATCACTCATACTTCTGGAATGTAAAGTTAGCATTTGATGACCAGTGTTCGAATCAATACAATCATGCATTTCCAGAATGTTACAGACAACACATCACACATTGTTAAATCTACAATGAACTGTTTTTTCAATAAAAAGAGGATCATTCAATAACATTTTGCATTATCTGGGGAAACAGCTAATGGGCCACTGACTTTAATCACAAAAGTATTGTTTTAAACACAACTGATTGTACTAATTTGTAGTTCGAGTTGTCTGTCATGTTTGGTATCACATGAAAAAGAAAAGATGTTGAGACATTGTGCAAGTAAGGTGATATTCACACAATTAGTTGTGACTGAATAAATTACCTGAGTAAATCAATGTAACATAAAAATTATAAAAGCATGAGGTGAAATTTGGACAAGGAGGGTCATCTTTTTGGTATAGTAACAATAATTATAGTGGTCTTAACAACTACAATGTTTCTAGGTAGGATCTATATTCTGAACTTGATTGTAATTCAGTTTGAAACAAAGCAATGTTCAGATTATGATTGAAATAAATAAAGTTATATTCAGATCATAATTGATGGCTACCAATGACGTCCAAGCCTGGCAGTTTTACTAGCAGGAATGTCACGCCCCATAGTAACTGATAAGGTACATGAAACAACTTGTTCTTAGAATCAACATCTGTTCCAGAAACAGGTGTCATGGTGGTGACAATGTGGGGGCATGGTTCCAACTGTGCATGTGTCAACTGCCATTAGAGAAGGGAAAGTGTACAAGAGAGTAGAGTTTCCAACATTCAATAATGTTAACAGGTTTGCACAATCACTACTTAGTCTAATGGTGTAATAGTTACAGACATACAGTTTTGTAGCTTATTTCCTTTTCCCTTCTCCAGGAGTCTTTCAGATACTTGTAACAGATACTTTGGTAGTATTTAGCAGCAAAGAAAAAACAGCAGCATTTCAACATATCTTACTAAACCTAAATTCTATGATCAGTATGACACAATCAAATAAACAAAATTGCACATAAATCATTCAAAATGAAATTTGTATTCACAGATAGCAAAAAACAAGCAAGTGAATTTTTAAAAGTTCTAAGATACATAACAACTACAACGTATACAGAGACATTATTGGCACATCTTAATAATCATAATGCTGCTATTTTTCTCTGACTTCAAAATCACTGATTTACTACATTGTACATGTATGAGGGGCACTGTTCTTACTATACATGTACTTTGGTCAGAATCACTATTTTAGATTACACTACACAAAGGAAGATCTCCCAGTACCTTGCCCTGAGCAAGAGCAATAAGCAAGTGCTTCCTACTGTGAACTATCCTGCAGGTTGAATTTATAACCTACATTACAAAATTCTAGATAATCATACCAGTAATACTGGTCAATCTAAAAAAAAATCAACTATTTTTCTCTACTGTTATTCCAAGCAACACTGTGCATAACTGGCCACCTGAAAAGTTAATGCTGTGTCCTAGATTTGAGCAGTGGCCTGGATGGGCAGATAAACACTGGTTTACATGTATGTGGGCGTGTTACGTTCCATGCTGTACGACATGAGCCAAGTGGACATTTGTCCTTCAATGTGTCTTTAACTGTCAATAATGTCTTCAATTTGTTTTCATTGACAACAGGCAGTTTAAGCTGTAAGTTGACCAGTGTTCATTCTAACCACCCTTAAGGTACTGTCCTTGCTATGACAATAATGTAGCCATAATGACAATCTTTACTATTATTTGTGGCAAGTACGGATTTCTTGGAAGTGTCCAATTCTGATAATAACAACCCCAACAAAGCAAGTCTCTATCTACAAAAAATGTAGTATACAGAGGTTAACCACAAGAAACAGAGTACAATTAAAATTGATATGCCATCAGAATATACTAGTAAGCCACATCACTGCTGCAGGGAATGAAATATGTACAACCAGTATGATTAGAAATAAACTAATTACAAGTTAGTTATAAATGTACCTTGTTACTTGGTCATCACTGCCATACATGTTATCTCATACTGAACACTTACATTGATTCTCCTGAGTAAAATACGAACATGCAAGGCTGAATAAAGGGCACAATCAACCATAGCTAATCACGGTGGTAAAATCTGGGTTGCAAAGTTCCCACATGCCATAGAACCCGAACTGTGTTCGATCTGGGCGATTCGAATCGAACCCGCGTTCTATTTCGGGGTCACCTGCGGTCATTTACAGTAAAGCGGCAAAACAAGCCCTTCTGTCTCTGTGCCGTGCAACAGATTAAAAAAAACACACTTTTCTATAGATACAAACAGTTTCCTGGACAGTATATGTCCGCTATCATTTTTTGTGGACATGTAACATGTAGCGAAGCTAATGTCGTATCCTTGGGTGACCTTGAATACTGTAATGATTCTTTACGCCAGTACGAATAACACAATGCAGACTTTTGGTCGACTTGACATGTCTGCAAAACTCGTTTTAACCTGCAAGCACGGAAAGTCAAGCATACCCCATTCACGGCTCAAAATGACCGTAACGGTTGTCCCGAAAATCGTGTTTTAGGGATTTTTGAAAAATGGCCTCAATCTTGAATTATGGGTAATTTAGTGCGAAAAATGTAAAAAAAGATCATTTTTTCACCAATATGTCGACAAAAACTAGACTTAAAATCAGAAATTAAAAAATCCCTAAAACACGATTTTTGATCTTATTCCTAGTCGTCGAAAAATATAAAAATCGGGAATCTGGGGTAATATACGTAGCCAGGTTAAAACGATGTTTGCCTAAAAACATGACATGACTTGTGGTCGGAAACCCGAAACAAATCGTCTTTCGGAGTGAAATTTTGAAAAATCAATGATTTAACATAAACAGCTAATATTAAAAGGATGTTAAGGCAATAATTTCATTTTGATTTGACGAAATTTACCATTAAATCCTTTTTGTTTATTTTCAAGTGTTTTACTGGTAGGCCAAAATAGGCCAAAATAGCGTCTTGTAACCCGATACCTTTTAGAACGCGCCTAGCAATGGGAAAGAATACCGTAGTGACAGACCGCCGTGAATTGCCTTAAATTTTTTGATTCTCAGAGTGAAGCATTGTAGGGTCCACCAGATCATCCTGAATTCAATCGAGTGCAATCAACAGTTGCCAGGGGTTATCAATCCTGGCCTGGGAATGCCTCAACTCCTTCATTATGACCCCTGCTAGACATACAGTAAATACTGAAACTTTTTATACTAGGAGAGAAAGGGAGATGTGTTCACAGTGTTTTGAATTCATGGCTAAAACAATGCTGTAGTACAGTAGTTATACAAGAAGATATACTGTATTTGCAGTGGCATGGTGGAGGCCTGGGGTTACAGTGAAACTGCAAAAATAAAACCACTGACTGCAAAAGTTTCAGTATTTAGAGTATTCTGATGGCATACCCTCCAGGCCTAATCAACAAAATCTCATTTAAAAGCTAGAGTATATTCACATACAGCTTGGCTACAAGACAGCTTGCTTGTTAGGGGTTCCACTCACCAATGGAGACACCATCAGACTACAAGTTATCCACAGACATTACAATGACACATTGCTATATAACATGACACCACAGATCATTAGCAGGTACATCTAACAGTCTGCACTTGATGGTCAATCTTCTTGTTTTTTCAAGGTGAAGATGTTGATGTTAAAGTGGTCTGCCATCTGGACTACCTGTAACACACAAAAAAAGAATATAGTTAACCTTTAGAAGACAACACAATATCCAGATAAATGTTGACATACCAACTTAAAGCAACAATGGCTGCTTAAAGGAGCACTTACGACATTACCACTGAAAAGCAGAATTAAGGAGGTTAAGTGCATGGGTTGAGCAAGTTGAATAGGCTCAAGAACATTAAGAACAGTGGAGTTAGTAACAATACAGAAAACAGACAAATTTCCCTATGACAGGTCACACCAAATATATACAAATTACAAATCATTGCAACAAAAATATGAAGTCTTAAATCTTTTGCACTTGTAAAAATATACACTTGTCTAGAAATTTTCTTCAAAATCAGTTCACCACATGTAAATGTGCATTAAGAGAGGTCAGTGGTAATAGTTGGAAAATTTTTTTTGTCTTTCAGACCTAACAATTCCTCTTTAAGAAGGAAAAGCCTGATACTAGTACCCTATTTGGTGTGACTGTTGGTATTTGTATAATGACAACTGATTATGGACTTGAGGTTAGAAACAATAAGAAGGAATGAAAAGTGTAACCAGCCTGGGATTGAGAACACATTGATCTGAAAATGATCAGCCATCTGTTGTACCTGCAATTGGAAGGCAAAAGAAATCAGGGATCCAAAAAAACTAAAAATCAAACTTGCAATTGGACAATCAATGTCATAATATGTCCTTCTGGTAAAGTTTCCATGACACTGTGTTTTCTATTTTCACAGGTGAGCATAATAATATTGTCAACAAGACAATATCTCACCACAAATAGATACCAATTGTAGAAGGCTTGGTCACAAGTAGATAATTAATATACAGAATATGTTAAGTGTGTGAAATTAGTGAATAAAAAGGTTTTATGGAGGTTATGACGGAAGACAAGGGACAGTACACAAGGTGACTTGACTTCTGACACAATGTCTATTGTTTACAAACTTGGTTTTGTTTCTCTCCCCATGGGGTTGTGTTAGCTGCTCTCATGTTCACTCACAGATACTTTCTTCAACTTACCACACAGACACCAAAGTGGATATGCAGCAGAGTGACCATGACTGTGTAGCCAATCAGCAGCACCAGTTCCCACTGTCCGAGTGGCGCCATGCACACCCCCACAACGATCACCATCAGCGGCCAGAGGAGGGCGTTCACCCCTTCACATCTGGTGTTACTCATCTGGGCTATGATTAACCGACACTGAGGAAACAGGAGACCCAACATTGGTGTATCATGTAACATACATTCTGTTATCATCAGGGATTTAATAACGGCAGGGCTCAAAATTTGATACATACAAACTGCCCCCAAACCCAGTGCCACCAAAAGCAATACTTCCAAAAATATCCAGTGGAATGATTAAGAAAAATTAACATGACTTACGGCTATATTTGCGAAAACTGTCCCAGACATGAAGTAGAAGAGACGAGGCTGTTGTTCCATGATGTCTGTGGGAGACATTATGAGCCAGACCACACAGAGAAGAAACAGTAGTGCAGGTGACAGGAGGGGGAGCATCCCTTCATATAGGGACAGATTTCTGCCTGTTCCTTCTGATGTTGATCTGAGATAAAAAGTAACAGACCCGGTAGTAAGGTTAGGATCTTAAAAGAGAAACATAAAATATGTTACAATGAAAGTTAAAGCTTTTGAGAATGTAAATCCCTGTGTGAAGTATACGGAAAATGTACTGACGTACAATATCTTCCTAATGAAAAATATAATGATGATCAAGTAACAATCCCACAAACCTGAGTGTTTCTCTCTTACAATACAATGACAACACTATAGGTGCTAAGTCACTCACCTGTACAGGTTACGTATAGTGTGTGGCAGGCTGATGAACAAAAACCCACCTGGATAAGAACATTAATATAAACAGGTGAGACAAAATAGAAGCAGGGCTAAAAATTGAACATTCGTGCATTAAAGTAGGCAGTAAGGTTTGTAATTAGCTTTTCACATTCCACTTAATACAACCACATTATTCCTGTGCATCTAAATTTGAGGTTAGGTCAGCTTAGATATTTTGCAGCTGAAAGCCAGAGAAAGTACACTTTCCATAATGGACCTAATCAATTACCTTTATACCTTACAATCCAAAAGGTCATAATAGACCTAATATCATAATATAGTTATCAAAAAAAGTCAGATGATACTTGGTGCACTGTCACAACATTTCTGATCACCTCCAGTACAACATGTGGACAAGACAGATAATAGTCAACAATCAATAAAGTTGGGCCCTGACACAAGTTTCCCAGTTTGTTGCAGAGAGTGTTGATCATTGAAGCAGCCAACACCACAAAAGCACCCGCAATATACAAGCTATGCTCGAACTAAATCATGCACTATTCCACCTGTGCAACTAGGTGACATTCGTTATCTAGCTGATTCTACTAAAGCACATTACATGTACATTGTAAAACCATAGGGAAACCCAACAACAAAGTTTGTAATAAAGAATTCTAAAAACAAAAAGACAGGGTTGATTTGCATACATGTACATCTATCAGCTGTTATGTGTTGATGACTAAACATCTAGAGAAGGCAGAAAGGAAAATGTGGGCAGTGCTGCACTTTAAATCAAGACATTTAGAAAGAAAAAGCAAAGCAAAACATACACCACACATATATTTGAAGAACATAACTCAATTTCATTTTCATTATAAATGCTAGATTCTCTTGAACAGCCAGACCTCGCACCCTCATGCATTGCTTTAAAAGAATAGAAAAGAAAGGAAAAGGACAGCACTCTGTTAACAACAACATTTGGGAAAGTGGTGTTATCCTGGGAAGTTGACCTCTGTCCTTCCCACATACCGTAGAAGCTGAACAGGAACAGATAGTGGAAGCGCAGTCCCAGGGGTAGGTGTGTCCGCCACAGGTCCTGGCCACAGAAGAACGCTGCTATGTACATCACAAACATTGCCTGGAAAAATACAGAAATAAAGATTACATATATCAGCCGTCAACTTTGGCACAAGATATATAAATTAACCCTACTGTATGTTTATTTGTTTTTTACAAATAGAAAATTTTCTACTAAGCTTTTTTTACATTCCCTTTACTAAGAATTTTTCCTTTTTCAGATTTTTTCATCGTAATCAACCAGGAACTCTAGTGCATACAAAACCTTTTTTTACCTCCGTACATGGAGGTAAAAAAGCCACCTACCACTTGGCTCATGTCGTAGCCCCATGGTAGAAACAGGGTGCCTGTGTTGTACTTTTCCCAGTGAGTCATAATGAAGCCGATCATCACCACCCACACTACCATGTACATCTGTGTCACTGTGATGCCGTACTCCGTGCCACGCCCAAACATGGAGTAGACGGCGGTGGGGAAGAACATGGTGGCCCAGGAGTCGAGACCGTGATCAAACAGTTCTCCTAGCGGGGAGGAGGACCCTGTACGCCGCGCCTGCTTGCCATCACACCCATCTGTAAAGTGCCAAGAAATAGTTGTAAGACAAAATACATGTTTCTTTTTTACATGTTCTGGAGCTATGTAAGGTGGCAAATTTCAGATCAAGACCCTAGGGGATGTATAGGTATGGTCTGCATGGGTAAGGGCAGTGATACAACCACTCACCAAGTGTATGTGAGAGAAAGTGTGCAAAGCCACACACCAACCAGGCCCAGTTCGGCACCAGTGGGTCATCAGGGTGCTGAGAGCTGGACGCACGAAACTGGGGGTCATACCAGGTCAGCAGGACAAAGTTGAAGATGAGCAGGAGGAATCCCATAAAGGTCATCAGGTTTGGGGCCAACCATCTTGGAAGTCGCTTCACACAAAAATCAAACACAAGTATCAGTACTAAGATATTTGAATAGCATGGACATTACAATACTTGTTTGATTTTGGACTTTTATCTCTATTATGGACTATTACTAGGAATGAGCCTTCTTATTGTTAGTCAGTTAGTTGCACAGTTAGTCATAGTCTGACAGAGAATACCCGTAAGCAGTTAATCTTTCTAACTGTGCATGTGGGTGTGATGCAAACATACGGCTTGGTCTCAGTCGTGCCTAGAGTGTCAATATTTGAGTTTGATCATGACAAGACTCAAGATAAGAGGTTTTATTCCCTTAAAGTGTGAAACAAATATTTGAGATGACTAGACCTGCCCTTAATCTACCATATGTAAAATTATATCATGTCATTGTGCCCTCACCAGCCGTTGGTCACTGCTAATACAGTACATGTAACCATTATATATATTAGTGACACCTCTCAACTGTGATGCCTGGTTCTACCGTTCCGGAAATCTAGGATTTAGACCTCTCACCAACAAGCTAATTACAAGTCAGGTCACTGCTATTTCACATTTCATTTTGTAATAATCATCCTTTTGGAAAATAATCTCTTACCTTTACTACAGCATTCCAGAATGGGTGCATTACATAGTTGGAGAGAGGGGAGGTGTCCACTGAGCAGTACTGAAAGGAAAACATATGTGATCATCAAAATATCAATCATGTTCATTACTTACATAGCTTTCTCATGATCTTTACCTCTTATGTAGGGGGATTTGTTTTGAGGGTGTCTGTTTCTGTACATGTACTTATTTCGATACATGTAACATTATATGCCAGGTAGTTGGGGAGACTGACAAAGGTCCCAAAAAGATGATAGAAAAATCTCCATTCCTGTCTTTTCCTTTCCTGTCAATGCATTTCCTGCTATTTCTGCTATACATGTATATCTGTTGACCTATGGGAGCTAGTGGGAAAATTCATACACAAAACATGGAGTTAAAATTAATTCTAACTCCACAAAATAAGTGAAAAATTTACAATAATGAATACCGGTAAAACAAGAAATTCACACTTATTATTAAGGCATCTTTGATTTCTTGTTCAAACACATGTGCCAAAAATATTTCAGGGGGTATGACTATAATTTGAGATCATTGATTCTCGTTTCTTTCTGTAATGGTGTGTGCAGGTTGTCCCTGGGTGCAAAGCTATCCCAGTGCTAACGTGATTCATGAAAGCACGTGTCTCTGGAAAAGGGGAGCATTCAGTTTATGAACGTAGGGAGGGGGGGTAGGGCTGACATGTATGTAAATGATGTAATACAAGCCGTCAATGTTTGTTAGATGCAGACCTCACTTTAAGAAACAAGATCATTTTATCACATTCAGCGAACCATCGAAGGATTTCTGTCCAGTAAGGACATCGAACTTTGAGGACAAGGTACAGCACAAAGCACCCGGCATGACCCCAAGCCATTATGATGACAAGCACGTGGACACGGCTTGTTTTGGCCATCAGTCCTCTCTAAACTCTACTATTTTTACCTTTCACGTTATCATAAGAACGGGGACTTGCTGCCTACTGGAACCACGGGTAAGAAACAGTTCATCAGGCCAAAGTACTCACCTTGTAACGATCGAAACCCGCTATTTGCTCATCAGTGAGATAGCTCGTCGCCATTTTCAATGGCACTGAATCGGGCTGTCCTTCGTGACTGAATTGTCGCCGGTAATTTCTTTCCCAAAATTAGTGCGAATGTACATCACAGTGTATTAGACAGAAGAAAAATGTTCATATATTAACTTGAAGTCAATTTTGTGTGTGTAACGGTAATAACTAACGTTACGTTGGATGTAGATAAAGTATAGACAGGCACAATATTTGGATACATAAGACGCCTAAGGATAAAGGTCGACAAGCTGTCACTGAAATGACCTCCAAGCAGATGTGTGATGTTTTGGTATTGCACGAGTAGGTTTTCCCACGAGGAGGATTTGCTAACGTATGTGGCATCTAGCCAGGGACAAGTACTAGTACATGTAAGCTAGTTTACCCAAGCTTTTACCTGCTAAGAGGTACGCCTCCAGGCTAGGTGGTATCATCATTCATGATTTGGTATGTCACGTATGTTTGGCCAAGGAGGTTTGGCAGGGACAGGTTGGGCAAGGGTTGGGTTGGGCCAAGGGCATTCCTGATTGGGCAGATCACTTTTATTACCTTCGCGAAGCTTTGCCAAGAGGGTTATGTTTTCAGCGTAGTCTTAGTGTGTTTGTGTCTGTAGACACGATAACTCGAGAAGGCTTAAATGGATTGTCTTGATATTTGGTAGGTGGATAGGTTTAAATGAGACCTAGAATAGTAGAAATGATTAGATTTTGGCCCCTGACAGCTTGTTATCGTACTGCAGCAGAACTTCCAGTTTTTATATCTCATGATCTAGACATGTTAGGGGCTCGAAATCTGGATGATAGGTAGCTCTTGTGCTGCGCAAGTGTGGTGTCATGAGTTTGGGCCCAGTAGCAGCTTGCTCTGGAACTGCAGGGGTGTTTTTTTGAAAATATTTCAAGGAGGATAAATCAAGAACCACTTGAGGAATTGACATGATTTTTGGAAGAAGACAACCATTTCTGACTACTCAAGACTGAGACTTCTTAAAAATGAAGTGTATTTTAATCAGCTTCATTTAATATACCTATGTAGAGTGCTTTGCATGCATTACCATTTGTTTAAACCTCATTGCGTATATAAAATCATAGCAACAATATGTCATAAGTTAGGTGACAAAATGAGGCAGTGATAAATATTATGTTAGTGAATATACATATAACTTTTGCAACAATGGTACTAAATTTTTTTTCTGATCTGTTTTTCTTTTACTTTGAATGACCAAAATGAAACCAATCTATCTGTACTTCTTATACTAGTACTTCACTGGACGGTGCACCTTATGAATTTAAATGGATGTACATTTGCAATAGTACTGCAACAAAACAGGGTCATTATCTACCAGGACAGTTCACTGTCACATAAATACTTTTCTAGTGAGGCAGTTATATCTATTACTCAATTGTTACATTAACATCTTTGACCGATGCAAACACATGTGTACATGTAAATAATAATGTCCTTGTCATATCATTACTGCTATGACCAAGAGGAAGAAAATAAGCACAGGAAGGAACTTCAGGTTTTCACTAAATTAAGCTGCTGTAGTAAAGGTAATGTTACTACTGGTAGTATTGTCCATCTTGTTTTCACTGTTTGACGGGACAGAATAGAAGAAATGACAGACATAAGGAATATGACTATGCAATTTCAGCAGTCACAATATATCAAGAATCAGTGTCTACACATGCACTGGATCTTTTTCAGGCCAGTCAGCATTGACAATTCTTCCTACTGAAGAGTATGAAAGCAAAATCTAGTTTTCTACTTTATTGCTGTTTCATCTCTATTTGGTACAATGTTGGTTCATGACCTTAACTGTTACAATTCCCGACTCTATTTTGCCATTGGGTAGCTGGTCCCTATGTAGCGCCCAAAGCGGTGTGTTACAACATCGACATCGTAATCTGCAAGGCTGAGTCTGTCCTTCCCGTCACCAACCAGGAAACACACTGTGTAAAGTGCGAGTTCAAACTCTGGGCTGGTTCCGATGAAGGAACTACCTACTGGCTTCACGTTGCCATTCCAGGTGAACTGGATGGTGATCAACTGGTCGTAGTTATCTGTACCCTGGAGAAAACAGTGACAAATGACAATTTGAAAATGATGTTGCATGACTGTTGGTTTGGAGGTTTTGCAATGTACCTCCAGATAGCAGGAAACAGGGAAGGTTGGAGGAAAGTGGTTACACAGAGTATCTGTGGTGCCCCAATGGTTGACCAGAGGCATATGACCGTGGTGATGCATAATACAGTTACCATACATACAAGATACAGTTACCACTGCCCAGCTACATACCCTGCTTTTAAAGCCAGTGTAGTCAATGCTTCCTTTCTTCTCTTGAAGGTAGAATTGGACCCAGTTGTGGAGACCAGTCACTTCCTTGTTCCTGCCTCTGGTCTCTCCCACAAACACATGTTCAAATCCTGAAGAATCCCTGTATGACAAAATAAGAAAATCTGTTACACAGACAGAAGATAAAAATTTCATTGCTTCATAAAATGGAAAGCAATCAGAATCAAAATCATCACATAAGGGAGGGCTGTCTATGTACAGGTTCATTTTTGGGTGAGGAAGTTTGAAATGTGACTGGCAGACAATAGAGACACCTACATCCTTCCTCTTGTCCTGGAGTACAGCTTGAACCACAGATCATACAGCCTCTGCTTGAAGCCTTCCTCATCCTCTGGTACCAAGTCTGCAAGAAGTCAAATTTCAGCATCATATTTCCAGGTTTACAGACAAAAAGAAAACTCGTCTCTCAACATCACAGAACCCACATTTTACAGAAAACTTGGGACCTTTTATCTTTTGGGACTCTTTTAGAAAAAGAAGTCAAACCCAACAAGCTAGAATTTATAGTCAGCATCTAAACTAGTATCTACATTAGTCACATGTTTAAGTGTTGTTTGTCTTTTCAATTTGCAATAAACTAAAAAAAAAAACAGTCATTGCACATACTGGCTAATTAACAGTGCATACTGGACAAGCCACCCCACCCACCTTTCCCAGCCAGGTACTTGTGTGCCTCCTGAAAGACATCTGTTTCCAGACAGGCATTCAAGAAGGTCCAGTTCTCCTCCTCCTCTTCAGCTGTGACCTCCTCTGACTCCCCAACTTTGTGGGAGTAGTTGTCCAGCAGGGAGATAAAGGCTAAAGATAGATACAACCATCAGACTAGTAAACTGGTGGATGTACCAACTACAAGATGAACATGTACAATGCACCTACAATGTATTAAATGGTATACCAGCTCAAAACAAAACATAGTCATGCCACTGCTAGTACCAGAGTTATCAACCTAGGAGTTTTACAAAATTTGTTTTATTCTAGAGTTATCATAGAGTGGTACTCGCTACCACCGGGAACAGTAGGGCATCCTCAGATAGTGTGTAGTTAGATTTGCAAATGTTAGGTGTGATAGATCGTTCAGTGTAATATACATTGTAACCAGTTGCAAAACTGGTGTTTTACATCAAGGGCCAGTTATACTACTAAATACAAAACCTTTGCCAGAAGAAGTTTCAATGTACATGACTTTGTAGATCTTCTATACAAGGCCAAAGGCTGAACGTACCTTTGAATGTAGGTATACTGTGCAGTTTATCCTCATCCACCCAGGCAAACAGAGGGTCCCTGGCCATGTCCTTTGGGGTTCCTCCTTTCTCCACATACCTGGCACGGCCCTGACAAAACAAACATTCAGTTTATATCTATGTACTGATCATTACCATTAGTGTAATAATAAATTCCCTATAACCCTTAGTAAATAATGATTACCATAAGACAAAGTACATTCTCTGGTACAACTTCTTTGATAATAGGACATAATACATTAATAATAGTCAGATGTTTTAGGTAGCTCCACTATCTTTCATCAGTGACTGGGAAAGCTGTAATTCTTTGTATGTCAAATATGATCTGTGAGTTTTCATTCTTGAGCCTGCATTTGTGGTTTACTTACTTGGGTGTCAATTTCATAGTCCCTGCCAGGCTGTAGTCTGTTGGTGTCCAGTTCCCAAAGCCTGGTACAGATCCCTGACAGGCTGTCATCATAACTGGATTGAGTCAAACAAGGATGTTATGTTACAAATTGAATTATAGCACCCCTATGTTCCAATGACTTAAACTAGGTTCCAACAACCAGAACCCAACCCTATGTCAGAACATAGGGGTGTCGGCACATATAGTATAGGGCTGTCTCTTTTACAATCAAATATGCTTGACAGGTGTGTCTATCTTAGGCAGGCTGAATTTGGTAATGCTGGATTCTGATTCCAGACATGCTAGCACATATCATCAACCATACTGTTCTACATTCAAGATTTAATGACCAGTGGTACTGAGGTATTCATACGTTTTCCCAACCTCATTGACCACTGGGGATACCAGGCTATGTTGTTATATAATACAATGGCTAAACATGGCAAATGTACCAAAATCTAATTTTGGGATGATAACAGTCAATGTTGGTTTGTATCTAGGAGATTATGAAGGGATTCCTGAAATTTGATATTGGCATAAATGTTGAGACAACTAGTACGTGGGCAAAGGACACCGTCTTTGCTGTCTTCTGCCTGTACCGGTAGGTAGTCATATGTACAGCTGTTGCCAAATGTACATTATAGAGGTGATATACAGGTGACAAGACAACAGTGGTGAATTATCAGCACAGCTGTACAGTGATCTACAGTCATTGAACTGTGACACCCATGGTGCCAATTCAAATACTGTGAAGAGGAAGAACAGGACAGAATAGGCACAGAGTGGAAGATTGAATAAAATGATATAATTTCAAGTACCATAGAGGATGACAGTGGAAGGATTACACTACACTCAGTTCATTGTAATAAACACCATGGAAGAGAAATACACAACAGTTAAAACCTTGAGAAAGGTAAAAAAAAAAAACACTGCAAAAGATTCATATCAACTGAAAACAAAGCTGAAGTTGTTAGTTCATAGATGTTAAATGTGAGGTTCAGTGCTGAGTACATATGTGTGCATCAGTCCCAGTTTAGCTGAGCCTGTGTGCTGCACCATAGTAAGTACCTAATGGCTGGGTCGACTACTACATCTTGGACAGGATCTGGATCTTCTATGGGCATGCTATCACCCTCTCTCTCCTGACCTTGATCCTCACTTTCACGATCATCTCTTGGCTCCTCAGGCTGATCCCGCTGGATCCTGTTATCCTCTGGTGTTGGATCGACGACATATTTGTTGCCTGGAGGCTGGTCTTCTTCATTAGCCCCAAAACAGGCCTGGCATAAAGCAGCTACTACATTAGCCATGTTGGAAGAAAGTTAGATAGAAAGAAGAAAAGTATGAACCAACACCCACTAGACAAAGACAGGATGCTACTACCAGATGATGTCAACTTCCATGTCAAGGGTCAAGGGTTAGGTCACCTGTCAAAAGAAATGGGGAGAATCACTGTTAGCCTGGGGTGGGGGTTGGCCAGCCTTCAATTATCAGGTTTAGTAATGCGTAACAGCTGTAGCAACAAGAGTAGAGAAAGAATGTTGCCTGGGGGAAAGAAGATTAGCAGCTCTACAGGGGGTGGACCATTGATAAATGAGGGGAATGCAAATGTGACTGCATCAGTTTTGCTGGAACCAAAGTGGTTAAAAAATCCTACAGCAAAAAGGGCATCAAAATTATTAATGTTACATACAAGGAAAATGGTATAAATCACTGAAATGTGCAATATCCCATATAATTCTTTAGAAATTAAAGCTTGAAGGGCTTTAAACAGTAACTGATTCTCCTCTCCTGAGTGGAAAAGTTCTAAACAGAGCAAAACCACACAACTTTGAGAGCAAATTGCCTTACATGTAAGGGTTATAAAGTCCAATGTAAACAGGAAACCATGTGCGGTGAGATCAGAGGTGCTTAGTTACAAAACTAGTTCAGTCTAATTACAAAAGGTTCCTGTAATAGTAAGACCTTGAATCCAACACAACAAAGCGTACAGAAATAAGATTCTAGTAGTAATACTTCTTCATTTTGCATTACATCTGTACTTTTCTCCCCTTCTGCCTGTGCTGACCCAAGTAATGACATGTATCATTCATAGCCAATAAATAAAATGATGTTTCAGTCACTGAGTAACATTATTTCATTTACAACTGAACACAAATAATGATAGATATATCTATAAAAGATTGCATTTAATTGTAAAAACACCCGGTGTGTCTATAAAATAAATTTTTAGATATTGCCTGCCCCACCCAACACTTAGACCTTAGAGTCTAGTTAATCATTGTTTTAGAATCACAAGAATATTCTCACCCATCTGCCATCCTTGTCACTGTAGACAACTGCTCAATCAAGTTCAAAGAGAACAGAATAGACTTCTTCGATGGCAGCAGCCTCTACAGCTCTGACACATACACAAACTGTTGGTCTGGTGGCCAGAGGAAATGATGCTGAGGTGGACACCCATCAATACTTGACCTTTGGCCGGCTGGACATTATTGACCCAAATATGGACGCTTGTGACCAAATATGGCTGCATAATTGATCCACATCACACGCGTACCATACACAGTCCTGTCTTAAATGGGTCACTCAATGTCCAATTCTAGATAACTAGACTGAACAAACCTTGGCATATAAATTATGTTAATGAGGAAAATGGGATTACAATCGTATGCCACAGTAAGCATTTTTAGATCACATATTTTTCAAACAGTATTAATGGTTATGTGGTCAACAATCAGAGTAGATGTAAGAATCTTTGCAAAGTTTCTAACTGATGCAATGACTTTCTGAAGCATCATATCATAAGATAGAAGGAAAACATTCACTACCAACAGGCTGGTTTAGAAGCGCCCCATAACGTCCAATAATGTTATTGCAGGCAAACAGGTCAAAAAGCCCAGATGACCTGCACACTACGGTAACAGTTTAAAAGAGCCACTCAACTGCCAAAAATATTCTGCAATATAACCGTTACCTCACTTTCTAACCTGTTCATCAGTCAGTCCAGTTTGGATGTTTAAAACTTTCCCTTAATACTCTAATTCTAATCTCCAAGCAGATCCCTCTCGGTGGCAAAAAGACAGTATCAAATTGGCCAGGCAGTATCCATTAGCCAGAGATGTTGGGGATCAGGACAAAAAAAAACGGCCATATATAAAAATGTAACGATCATTCCCCACAACCTCTGCTTGGAGAGTACTTACATTCATGCTTTTTTCAAGTTACAAATTCATTGTGTCTACAATGTAACCATTATATACATTTTTTTCTATCTTCAACAGATTCTCACTCCTTGCTAAACCATTCAGGTTCATGGATCTGTAGAATAGGAACCCTTTTGTGGATTATCATATGTCAAAGTCTCCAAGAAAAGCACCCCTGCTCAAAGAAAATGACTAGGCACCTTTTACCAATCAAACATTTTTGACAGGCCAGGACAATTCATAATGTAGACAATTTTAATATTGCCAAAATGTGTTTGACCTTACTTTGTTGCACATTACAATACATTGTAAGACAACTCTGTGATCTGAATATGTACAATCTAGTCTCATAAAGATTACAATTCTTATTATAGCACACACAATAGGAATTCTATAAATATATATTGTTGAGAAGAGTTTGCCTTTGAAGTATTTATATTTAAAGACAACAATTCCATATTGTAAAAAGATCAAAAAGATACTATTGCATCAAACTTGGAATTTTTTTTACTGCATGGAACATTGCTGCAGATCATGAATACATGATTGGGGAACACTTAAGACCATAAATTATAATTTTAGAACCCGTCTGGTTGACGAAGGCTCCAATCCTCCAGGTATAATTATTAGTTCATGAATTAACATCATGCCTTGCTATGAAATCCCCTACAGTACAATCATGTGAATCCCACACCATGCCAAAATAGAATATACATGACAGTTATTATGCACATGTAAATTAAAGTACAAGATTAACAAAGTGATAAAGAGATTGATACAACCAAATTACACCATACTGGTGATCACATGGAATGCACTGGAGACAATAATGTATTTATTGTATGAATACTTTATGTATATAAATGTAATAGTATAATACTACAGATCCTGAGATATCCAGTAAGGTCTTCAGATGCTTAAATGACCACAGGTTTCACAAAGGGGGGATGCAATATGTACAATGTGGCTCATAAAATTCTGATATATACAAAATCTGTTTGATATGTGTCGTCTACTTGACGTTGTTGTGCAGTTTTAAGATAACCATTTTCCTGTCAAAGCGAGCAGCCACCAAGTCACCACCTCCAAGAAGCACACACTCTTTCAGCTGTAGATAAACAAGAAATGTTCCAAATGTGATACATGTACCTACATTGCACATACACATATAAAACTGTACCCTTAACTATGGTGGGCATAACCCTTATGGTGATGTAAATTCATTTATCTTCACAGGGACTTATGGAAACACATTTGCAGTGTAATGATCTTGCAGTAAAAACCACAAAAGTAGACCACAAACCAACAAAGATTTACAGTATATCTCCATCACATTGGAAAATCATTAACTTGTTATATACTTACGTGATCAATTTACTCTCAGTATGATGCATGGTGTAACTGAAAGTTCAATGTGAATTCAAACAGACTTTGCCTAAAGCTCCCTAGTTCTCTGATCAGAGTCATTAACTTTTTTTTTAAACGGTTTAACCTACCATGATCTCAAACGTGAAGCTCCCCAGCTGTGTCCCTGTGGACATGTCATACACAGCAATCGTCTTCTTGTCTCCGGTGGATGCCAGAACCCGGTCTCCTACTGTACTCAGTATCAGTCCATCCGCAATCATAGGGTGGACAGGGATGGACATTACACTCTGCTTACTTCCTAAAATACACAAGATAGAAAGGAAGAATGTCTTTTACTGCTTACACACCTAAGAATTATTATGTTAAAGGAAAAAAAATAACTGAAAGGTTAACAGCTATTTGCTCTTGGTTTACATTGTTATTGAATTTTGCTCTTGGAAAAAGAAGATATGCATGTAATCATCATGTTTTCAGCACCAAGGACAGCCATTTCCATATTTACAACACAGCATAATACAACACAAACATTTAACAACACAGATACATAGTCGGCTATTACAAGACTACAGAAGCCCTACATAAAAACTTCAGTCTTTGCTTTAAAGTCTGTTACCTGTAGTGACGTCCCAGACATGCCACTGTGCTACATCAGTAGACACCACTCTGCTGTCTGAGATGAACTCCAGGAAAATGTGGCCCTCGGGGAAGAAATGCACAACTTTTCCTGCAGTCACAAGAACACAGGATTCACACAGTTTATTTTCAATGACTGATAAATCTTTATACTGCTGCATCATTTTTTTGACCCAGAATCTGAAGGTTGCGGGTTTTTCCCAACTCAACTTGGATATGATGTAGCCCTAAACCTACCTCTCTGGATGTCCAGCACACATGGCCCTTCGTTGATGAAGGTTATGTCTCCACAGGTGAGTTTACAGGTGTTCCCCAAGGCCAGGTGTGTCCCTGCATGGGACAGACCAAACCTGAAGGTGACAGCATCAGCACCCTCTGGTTCAACTGTCATACACAAGCTTCTACTGGCAACATCCCAGATCTGGAAAAAAAGTCTTCATTAGTGAAACATACTGTAAATCTTGAAATACTCACAGTGGCTTTCCCTGCAAAAGTAAATGAGTTTACAGTAAGAAGGGACCAGTGAGAAAATGCATGCATGCATGGAAGATTCAGCGGAAAACAAGAAATTCCCCAAACTATTAATATTTTACAAAGGTAATAACTTTGGGAATTTCTTGTTTTCCACTGATTCTTTCCATGCATGCATTTTCCCACTGGTTCCATCTTATGGTTGGGTCTGTTTCTGTAATTCAGGCACTAGTGAATAACAGGCTGCACCCTCCTACCTGTAGTAGCATTCCTTTTGGATGGAGGAACTGTAGCAGGACCACCCTGCCCTCTTTATCTGTCTTCATTTGGTAACAGCGCTGCTCCAGTCCTGGGACGATGTTGTCAACAATCTCACCTGCACCAAATACAAAAGGACCACTGGTACATATGTGTAAGCTCACATGTAAGCCTAACCCAACAGTCAGCTTTTTTGCATACATCTTTAGATTGAAATTCTACAATTATAAGCTGCATTTGGAACTGCATTGAATCAGTGATAAACACAGCAAAATATATGTAATGAATACATACCTGAATCCAGGCTGCATATGTCAAGATCTTTCTCCATGAAACCCTGAGATATCAGCTCAGTCTGGTTGCTCACCACCGCGTAATGTCGTTCACATGATGAGTGGTTACTCTGCAGGGGAGTCACGACTTCCCACGTGTTCATGTCCACCACACTGAACCTCTTCCTCTCCCCAGCACGGATAACCAGACGGTCATCAGAGAGAACATGGACCGCCTTGACGTCTGATTTCTCCAGCTGAAGGTTACTGCATGGGTGGGAGTCCTGTTCTTCTTCTGTTTCAGCATCAACGATCTTCACAACCACTGATTCTCCCTTCTCTGACTCATCTGACACAAAGGTAAGGAGAGATTTTCCATTCACATTCTTCGGAACTATTGTTAGTATTTCAGTGGTGGGTTCTTCTACAAGTAGCGAGGGTCTTGAAAGGTCCCAGATGTTGATGTTGAAGTCTTCATATCCACTGGACACCAGCGTGGTCCCCTGAGTTGTGGCCATCCTTCGTAGAGTCTGTTTGTTGCCCACCTCCCGATAGTCCCCAGTCTCCAGGTCCAGCATCATTGTCAGGTTAATGAAGGTGAGAATCAGGAAGCTGCCGTTTGGTGAGAAGTAGGCGCGATGGACGTTCTCTATTTTGTTCTGGTTCCATTTCTCAATGGCAGGGATCGTTGTTTCTTTGCCAGTGTTGATATCATACAACCTGCATTCAATGAAAAATGTCTTGTCACTTAGTCTCTTCAAATTCACATTCCTTTAAGCTTTCCTTGGTCTAGAGGCAGTATCACTAACCATTGGACTGTGCCCGCTTATAAGTCCAAATCTGCATAATCCTGCACTTGAATCTGGTGCCTCCACTTGTTAACTCTTAGTATCATGCAAGCTATATTGCTACAAAATTATGTAAGGTTAATAAAATGTCTTCTATTAAGACCTGAAGGAGATAAGAATGGCTTGTAAATGAAAAAGGGTTTCTTAAGTTACTTACTTTACTGCACCACTGGATGCAATTTCAAAGAAGTGGGCCTTGCAGGTGATTCCAAAGAGAGACTTATGCTCAATCATTCTGCGGATGTCTCGCAGGTTTTCCAGAAGGTTCTGAAATTCCGGACTGCACCGTTTGCCTTCCATGAGGGGATGCATGAGGTGCTTCATGTTGTGCATGGCAGAGTGTGTGCAGAAAAGTGGCTGGCTCGGGCTGACTAGAGCTCTGGCAACCTGGTCCCCCATTTCCTCCTGCTGAAGTTCTACACCTACAGTACCAACATATGGACACTGTGAAGGGAATTCTCTTGGTATTATAACAGTCAAGAAATAAAAGATTTCACACCTCCACGAAGGTGTTTGGGTTGTGAATTACTTTTCATTGATCATATACAAATTGCTCTCCTAGCGGCCGGTTGGCTTGACAGTTGGTGCTCCAAAGAATCTCAGGTAGATTGAATCAAGCCAGCAAAAGATTTTCCAAACAATGGCTTGTTCCAACATACATGTACATCAGAAATCCATACAACAATAATGCCCAAAGCAACCATAGCAGGTTTCTAAACGTGGAACCTGATCTTTGGGGCTAACAACAGTTTTAGCTTTACCTGTGTTCAGGTCGAACACCCTAACTGTGATCCCAATGGCGATGAGAATGCAGCCGTGACCGAAGATGAAATAGTTGTCCTTCTCCTCCTCCTGTGGTTTCTCAAAGAAGTACACCTGCTCTCCTGTCTCAAACCTGCCAAGAACAAAATCTGACATGTCTATGTTGTAGATATTGGTATCATAGATCAAAGTGCCCTGAAGGTACCTGCAACAGCCTTTTGATAATGGCTCTAGCAAGTTTACTGGTACATTTTCCCACTGTCTCCCAACAGTGAGGCAACAGATATCCATTTAGCAGGAGGTAAAAAGGATTTGCAAATACAAATGTAGCATGCTTTTGCTGACCTTAAGACTCGAATCCCGTCATTAGAGGATGTCACAATGTACTGGTCATTGTTGAAGAGCTGAATCATTGCCTCAATATCCCACGGTACATCATCAATACTGTGTAACATGTAGCCATCAGTCACATCCCAAATCTTAAGGGTGTTGTCCAGTGAGCCTGAAAGACATGTACATTACATCAAGACACCTGTACATCTGAGCAGAAGACTTGTATAAAACTATACGGTCAAACCTGTAATGGAAACCACCTTTGCATTAAGACCCCCTATCCCTTGTGACCACTTTTGTTCTCTTGGATTTTTCCCACTGTATAGAACAACAAGCTTCAGCCAAAACTGCAATCTCTGCAGCAACCATTAGGGTGCTCAATTGGTAAATGACTTTCTTTCTGCTCCCTAACCCCAAAACCAATACAAATGTGGTGTCAAATGAATACCTTAGTATGCTGAAGGTTAAAAAGAGAGTTTTGTCAGACCTGTGACAGCAAACTTGGAGTCCTGAGTCATGGCCACTGCCATGACCTGCAGGGTGTGTCCCACCATGCTGTGTATGAGTGGGCCACCAGGGGGCGTTAGGAAGGACCTGGAGGGCAGCAGACACGAGCCTGTGGGAGGGGCTCCAGCCTGGGACAGGATCCCACAGGTATCCTGGAGAAAAATGAGGTCATAATATTATCATAATAATCTAAGAGCATCAAATCTTTGAAAAATTACATCACTAGTTGCCCGCACTGACCTGGTCAGTTTTGATGTGAGCGAGCAGCTGGCCTGGCAGCTGGTTAGGGTGGAACCTCAGACCTTCCTGGGACAGCTGGAGGGTCTCACGCACATACTGGACATCCATGTCTGTCTGAAGGTCAGGGGTCAAGGGCGACCGACAGGCAGCGTTAAAATCATCCAGAACCAGCCTGAAAAGGGGAGGTTTATAAATGTTGGTCAAATATGTAACCACAAAATAAGTTAACCATTCTCCAAAATAATGGACCTTGATTTGATACCATGCAATGTGCCAATCAAATGATATCAGGAAGAAATTTTATTCCAGATTGTACATGAAGTTAAAACTTGACAATGAAAGTGTAATTAGACATTGTTGTGTTCTATTCCATCCTTACCTCAAAGATGTTGCCCTCAGCTTTGTATCCAACCACTGTAGGTTACACAAAACCTCTTTCTTCAGTACCTGCAATTTGAAGGAAACAATCAATATTAATTCAATATTTTCAGGTTGGAGTGCACGATTTACAGGAACAATGACAATCTCACAGAACAAACAACAGAGTTTTACTACATGTAGCAGTAAGAGTGTACCTGACTGTTGGCACTGTGGATGAGATGATGGGGGAGTTCGGAGAGTTTCCTGAGGTTGTACTTGTTGGTGCTGTATAGCAGGGGTTGGGGGGCTACATGTCTGTCTGCTGACCCTTTCTTACCCTTCCTACTGGTGAATGGCTTCTTCTTCCCTAGAAAGATACAATCAACTTGACTATCACAATCTGATCTTCTTTCATCCCATTTTTAAGCATTCTCCATGTTTCCTAACCCCAAAACTAATGGAGTATTGCAATATAAATGGCTATTTCAGTATGCTTAACTTATTAACTAATATCAATGATGCTAAAAAGATGTCAGACACTATCATTTTTGGTTCATAACAGTATACTACAGTATATAAAGTCCACTCCCTGTCTAAATAAGGTCTCTGTCCTTGGTGCTGAAATGATAATTAGATTACCTACCCCCTTCCCATAAGGCCCTAACTGAGGTGGCCTACTCTTTGGACACAAATGATGGTTACAAAAAAAAGCACAACTTATAACATCCACTCTGCTTCTCAGATAGTGGTTCTGTCCTTGGTGCTGAAATGATAATTAGACTATCTTCCAACCTTACAAAAAGACCTAATGAATCTGATGGCCTAAACTTTTTTTACAAAAACTCATAAGAGTAAGTACAGTTTATAAAGTATACCCCTATCTAGAATGGCTCTGTCCTTGGTGCTGAAATGATAATCAGATTATCTACCAACCTTACAAAAGGACCTAAAGAATCTGAAGGCCCTCACTGTGCACAAAAATCTATGGCTCATAACAGTAGTACAGTTTATTAAGTTCACCCCTACCTAAATAGCTCTGTCCTTGGCACTGAAATGATAATTAGATTATCTACCAACTTCACAAAGGGACCTGATAATGATGATAGCCCCAAAATCTACATACACACTTTGTTATTATGCTGTAACATTGTGAACCCAGGAAGTACTTACCTCCAGCCCATGACCCCAGGAAGTAATCAGCCAGGTTGCTGTGTAGCTTCCTGCTCTGGTCCTCAGAGGACAGAAATCTCTGCTTGGCTGTCTCGATGAACTGTCTGTGGTACCAGAAGATCACACTGGCACCATCAGCACCTGGGCAAGAATATAGAACATTGTGTAGCTAGTATGGGTAGCACGTTGCAACACAAAATTAAAGGGAAAACGTCCTTCCAGCCAGTGGGGATACCATTTTGTCTTCCAATTTGACCTTCCTGTCAGTCTGCAGTTACACCATTCCCTTACTTTCTGTGACTATACTGTATTAGAATAACAATTGACACACAAGCAAAAAGACAGAAAAACACAGCAAAAACAAAACCTCAGTCTGTACAACATAGAGGTAACTAACCTCTCTCCACCAGGTAGGGGGCGAGCTCTGTTTTAATCCTGACCCACAGCATGGCTGGGAGGCGGCGTACGGGTGGTACCCACCACTCAAACACATCATTCAGTACCTCATCATCACAGGACAGCACGTCTTCCAGCTCAGACTCTGTCAGGCCTGACTTAGCTGCAGATGCACATCATAGGACAACAGAGTTTAGTGGGTCTACAGCAAATGTAAAGACCTTTATTTTTGGAAATGCTATGAAAGGGCAAAACATTATGGAAAGACAGCTGTTTAATACGTTCTTACCAGCAGTTATGTAACCTAAGGCATGTTGAACCAGTAGTTTCCCATGGTCCTTCTCCACCCTTTCAAATAAGGCATGGATACACGACACCACCGTGGTCTGCAGCCGAGTCTCCTCAGGTTTGGAAAAAGAATGCCACCTAGCAGAACAGAAGTGAAGTGTGCCAACTTAGCATCATCATCCTAAAATCAATAGATACCATCTTCTATATTATTACCTTGCATTTGCTTGTACAGTATGTTAAACTTGTACAGTTGCATGACAGTGCAAGGTTGGGGGAATCCACTAAACACAGACCTCAAAAGGTGGCCAGTAGCCAGCAGAAAGTTGGCCTGTAGTTTGTTGGACAGTTGTCGGTGGCAAAAATGCATAGATGTAAATGGAGGTATGAAATCTCCTGTTTATGCTATTTTGTACAGTTCTTGTTTCTTTAGACACAGGACCCTCAATGTACCCAACAGAAGAAGGGACCCTTTTGTCACCTGCAGGCCTCGTCAAAAGCCAGTTTCAGGAAGAGCGGCAGCGGGCAGGTGTGGAAGGCCTGCACCACCAGGTGAGTCTGCTCAGGTGTGAGTTTCCTGTGGGCTGCCTGCAGCCAGCCGCTCAGGATGTGGGTCACAGCATCCTCCTGCAGGGCAGGGATCTGCAGGAACAGCCCTGAGTCCTTGATTGTTGCCTGGAAACAAACATGAAACAAAAATTTAACACCTCTGTCAAGTACTTACATTTGTACTAATAGAAAAGTGACCTTTTTCAAAGACATAGATGTGTAAATGTTTAACATTTTGAATATGAGTTGGAAAATGGTAAAATAAAAAATGACATGGCTTTCTGTTAACATAAAAACATAAATACACCCCTGACCTGCAACTGTTGGAAACATCCATACTTCTCATCAGGAAGGGTGGATAGGATCATTTTGACATGAGGGGGGAGGGTCTTAGGAAGCCAGCCCAGCTGCCTGGCACCATCTATAGGAAAGTACAGCAACTTAAGTATCACTTCAGGTTATTACAGATTTCCACAGTACAAAACATACTTAATGGTAAACCTCTTCCATAAAAGATAAGACCTCTTTCATTGCAAATTGCAATTGGAAGAAAATTTCCACAGTATTTCTATGTTATAAGATAAATTACTGTAAGAGTTCAGAAGATTTCAGTCTCACATCAACCCACCTTGAAGGACAACCCTTACCTTGTGGGTCCAGCTGATCCAGAGAGTCTAGAATGACAACCAATGGCTGCTCAGCAGTAGCTTTGGACAGAAATGCGGGGAAGGCTTCTCTCAGTTCTTGCAGGGTCTGGAAAAAGGGGATACAAGTACTTGATATTCAGTTCACATGTAGTGCTGATTCAGTCACATTTTAGATATTGCTGACAAATGGCCAGACAAGCCATAGACTTTTCCATTCAGTAGTCAATATAGTGCGTCAAAAACAATTTACTGCCTAACAGGACCACCACAGTGACCAATAAAATCTAGTATATGTCAGGTCACTATCTATGGAAAGGATTGTGTCTATGGGAAACATTATCTAAGGACCCATAAAAATGTGACCACATTGGGCAGGTTGTCCCAATGTACAGATAGTCACTTAAACAGCTATTAGGATATGAAAAAAATTGTCTAGATCTGTGGTGCTGCAAATATACTTTAATTTAAACTGATTTGTCAAGGGTTACCTCTGGAACACGACTGTTGTCCTTATAGATTCTGTTGATCTGCTGACAGAGACTCAGTAGAAGTCTGTGGATGGTGGTACTGTCAGGGGTGGTGCCCAGAAACCTCAGTATTACCGCCCTCTCTCCCTCCATCTTGCTGGCTGTCTGAGCAGCCACTGCCATGACAGAAGTCTTCCCACAGCCCGACTCACCATGGATCACCAGAGGTTGAGTGACTTCACCGTTGAGATAGGACTCTATTTCCTGTTACGAAAAACATGTCAAAAGAAAGATTTCAGGCTTCTGGGAAGAGTTTTGGGCTTTCATGACCTTCAAGTTCACCGTACTTAACTCCTGTATCTGACCTTTTTATTACATGTACCTCCTGCCATTCTGCATGTCACTCTTCCCCACCCATGTGCTGTCAATCTACTCTCAGGTTCACACCACTTTCTGTTCTGTTTGACCTCCACTCATTCTGCCTAGCTGTCAATCTTCCTTACAAATGTACTGTCAATCTACTGTTCCACACAAACAAACAGACAGACCCAAAACTCTTTGGCTGGGGCATCTTTTTTTTTGTAAATTCTAAAAGTTCAAGGTACTAACTTTACACATCACGTACCCTGATTGTGTCTTGTCTTCCATAGAACACCTTGCTCCTGCTTTGGCTAAACAGAGAATGCTGGGACACTTCCTCAAACAACGGGTCATTGACCTCTGACTGGGCATGTCTGGCAATGGCATCAGTCACCATCTGCTTTATGCTGTCCTCAAAATCAGTGCAGAACTGCTGCACATATTCCTCTTTCTCTTTTGTTTCAAATCCTGAAGAAGACAAGGAAATGCTCATTGTTAAGCTCTTCAATTACAAACAAGATGAAAAGGGGAAAATATGAAAAATAACAGTTCATGAAATCTTAAGAGTTTCTGAGATCTGATGTATTCTTTAATTGTAGTGACTACATAAATATGTGTCCATTGAACTCATGGTATTCTGCCATCACCTTGACCTTATTTTACTGCATTAACCCACCATTCTTCCCCCAGGATGTCTGATAGTTGTGGATGTTGTCTCTCATCAGCTTGCTTGGAATCCTCTTCTCTTCTAACAGCTGCAGCAGGGCCTGGGATTCACTGTTGATCCCACCTGAAATGGAGCAATTTGATTACATACAAATCTCATAATTCATTATTGTGAATTTCTTGCTGATTTTGTCTAATGATCTATCAACACAATATTCAACTTTAATTTGTGTTCAATTGGTTGTTATTTTTGGAGACACAATACTAACTTGAATCCACTTCCCATCTCAACAAATGGCTGTCCTTGGTGCTGAAATGACAAGGTTATCTACCAACTTCATGAAGGGACATGACCAAGCTGGTTGTCTGCACTTTGCACAAAGATCCATGGTTGATAACACAAGTACAGCTTATAATGTCTACTCCCTATCTGAACAAATGGCTCTGTCCTTGGTGCTGAAATGATGATTAGGTGATTTACCAACTTCACAAAGGGACATAACCAAGCTGATTGTCTGCACTTTGCACTGAAGTCTATGACAGCAGTACAGCTTATAAAGTCCACTCTCTATCTCAACACATGGCTCTGTCCTTAGTGCTGAAATAATAATCAGGTAATCCATCAACTTCATAAAGGAACTTAACCAATTGATTATGATGCTCTAACCTGATTCATCAAGGTCAATGAACTTTGCAGCCATTTTGGACTGGTCTTTCCTGGTGTTGTCCACTTCTAAGCCTGAGATGCTTCGTCTGAACCACAGGCACTGCTGGTTTGGGGTTGTTGACTTCAGGAGACCTTCTTCTATCTCCAACTCTGTTACTGTAGGTGTTGTGCCATGTGTTAAAATGTTTGTTAAGTACCAAAGATACATGCGTGTTATGACACCCAAGTGCATACACACACAGGCACACAAACAAAATCGACCACAAAGTCATATTAATGACAAATTACTTACTGGAGCAAACATATCTGTGTGCAGCTGAGGCAGTTTGCAAAGTTTTAAGGGCAGCCTCCATCAGTATTGTATGCAGAGAGGTGGATGTTTCCCACCATGTTGTCTCTGCTTTACTACGCAGCTGCTCATTGGTTGAATGGTTGTAATCAGGAAGGAGGGCTCTGATTGGCTGGAGGATGTATGTGGCAGGGATGGCATTCTCATCCTCCTGGTACCATCTACAGATTGCAAAATTCAAAGGTGTTACTTTGTCCAAAGCAAAGCTTTACAATGAAGTTCCATGAATTGAAAACACCTCCTTATCCCTCCTACTGCAACACAAAACCGCCGCAAAAGTTTCATAATCTATAGTTCCAATAGTAACACAAGATGAGAACTAACTTGAGGAGTAGCTGCTGATCCTCCTTCCTGTCCACCCCTGTCAGGAGTGTGTTGAACTCTGCTGACTCTACCTTAGGCTGGAGGGGCTGGTAGCCATACTTGTGGGACAGGAGAGTCTATATGGACAAAACACAAACAAACAGAACTTACTAACATACATGTACATGGGAACAAGGACAATTCAAGCTAAAGATCTGTTTACTAGAAATTGGATGATGTAATCTAATTGGTTACTACACTACCTCCGCTCACTTATAATCACAAACAGAGCATGATGGGGCTTCACCATCCTATCAATCACCTGTCAAAATCACCTCCCACCCACCATGTAACAGAAGCAATTAGGACAGACAGAGCCACAAATCCAAGGCTCAGCAACCCAAAACAAGTCTGTACCTGGAAGTAACAATTTTCATTGACTGAACAGATAGTACAAATGTAGTTACCACAAAAGTGGGGCCAGTGGAGACTTTTTGGCAGTTGTGGATTTCCCTCAGACACAAGTCTAATGTGGAGTGGTCGTTTGCTGCTTCTGAACGAATCCCCCATCTCATGTCCACAAGCTGCAATCATAACAAAATAACTGGTTATTTCTTGTATTCTAAGCTAATGGTGATTCACCTGGACATAGTTACATACATATGTTGTAATTTACAAATAAGACTAACAGAGAGGCAAATTTAAGGTTTATATAAGAGATACTGAAATTCAAGAAACCTGGAGATCTATTACATTCTAAAATCATTTTATATGTTCAAGTTCTGCTATCTATTTGTTGTGAGAGAATGTAACAACTCACTTGCAGCTCATACCCCTTCTCCTGACAGAAGATCTTCAGACGAGGCACCACGTGCTGCATCAGGGCATTCCGCTCATCTGCAGTGTCTATAGATTACAACAACAAACATGCATACAGAAGGAAACTGAAAACAGGAAATGGGATAACCTATACTGGGACATTTCCGGGACCTTTGACATAGCTTCCTGTCAGTGCCCTTGATGTGCCTAGCAACCATCATCTGAAGGTTATATCATGTAAATGTAAAATAGACTTTGTTTATATTTGGGGGGGGGGGTAAATTTGGATTTGATAAGACTGTGAAGTACAGACCTGTGAATGTTGAGCTGAGGAAGACCCTGACTATCCTGGCTGTGGGAGGGATGTCCACATCGTGTCGTCCCTGGAATACCTGTTGGATCTGACTGGACCTGGACAGGAAGGGAGAGGCAGTATTTTTGGTGGCTTGGTGGTCACTCTGAAGAAACCATTGTTTACAATACAGGACCTAAGATTATGGGAATTTTGCACAGTACTTACAAAGATGGTTTGAGTGTTGTAACTCCCTTGAACCTCATCCTGCGTCCAAAGCTCTGCATCTCCTCAGTACGGTACATTGCTGACAGCTTCTCAATGTGTTTCTGTAGCAGAGTCTTAAGCTCAGTCCTTCTCTCATTGTCCATCGCTGGACTGTCCTCACTCCTGGTGCCAGCATGGCTGGACAGCACTCGGCTCTCATTTTTAGTTTTAGCTATATCAGGGATAAATGATGCAAAAATAAATGACAGAAGGTTGCAGCTGTAAATGCTTGAAATTTTGTAAAAAAAAAATGATCTCAATGCTGCCTATCAATCAAAATGCAGCGTTAATGCGCCAAATTATTCTGGTAGGAAACTTTGGCCTCCCCTTGGTAACATTTTGTAGAGAAAATCTAAAAATGCCAAAAAGAAGGCTTCATACTAGTAATTCTAGTCTACCAGTGAGTAAAGACATTTTACAGGGCAGCAATAAGAATAACCAAGTATCTCAAAGCAATGTTGACACTGGAATGTGATCACATACTTTGTTTCACATTGTTTCCTAATACTGGTAGCTTGTTCAGATCTCTGTGGGTTCTTGTTTGGCCTCTGCAATAATGAAAAAACAATCAAAATTACTTCTGGCACAGTAGTTTACTGTGAACATATTGCTACACAATGTTCAAAGACAATTTTAAGACATATGATAAATGGTATGCACCTATGCCACACTACCAAGACTTCTTTCATTCCTGTACAGGGATAGCAAATATTACTTAATTTTGTACATATTAAGTACAAATGTAGATCACAACTCCAATGAAGTATTGGAAAGGAGATTTTGATTTATGATTATGATTCCTATGATTTATTTGATATTCAAAGCCGTATGGCTGTATAAGTGATAGAAACATGATACTTACAGAGGTTGGATGGTAAGTGCATCACCAAAAAGTCCTCCTTTCTTTGCAGGAGGTTTCCTCTGCCCTGTGGGAGGTTGCCTGACTCCGGGTACTCTCTTTGATCCAACAGGTGTCACTGATGCTCGTGCCTCCTTCAGAATCTGACTGCTGGTTTCCTTCTCACTGGCAGGTGAGTAGAAGGGGCGGGGACTGTTTTTTATGGGGGGCATCTTGGCCACGCCTCTCCCAGCCCCATGTCCCCCTCTCTGTCGACTGGACATTTCTCACATCATGCTGAAAAAAAATCCACTTTTAAGGACCAAAGAGTTCATGTACTATGCAAAAGTCATGTTACAAGTCAAAGAAAACATGCAGCTGGGGAAAAGTCCTTGGGAATAGTCAAAGTGAAAGATGTGTAATACCTGCCAAGCAAGTTTGCCAGTAAGCAATCCCAAGAAATTCAACAATAAGTAATCAAATTGTTGTGAATTGAATGTTTCATTCATTAGGTCACAGCAAGTAAATTTTATGGATGACAAAATTGTTTGTGATAGGTGGAAACAAAATTGTTTGTGTAAATTAAGCAATTCTGGGGAAACGTTTGCCCATTCTTACGGCAGCTACTCTGACACAGATTTTAAAACAAACAGTCCTCTCACAGATTTAATAGTTAACTAAGAAAGACTGTAACGTTAAATATTTGTCAAGTGATTTACGGTTAATCCATGAGGGTACCATTGAGTTTAAAAGGTATAAATGAAGGTGGATGTCCATGCAGAAAGCCGTAATGGGAACATGTTCCGACCACACACACAACGTTTCAGCCCATTGCACCTGTGTTATGGACTCATCTATTGCTCCTTTGTTATGTCTTATGTACTTTGTTAATGAGCTGTGTCTCCCACATTCATTCCATACTTTTACCTATGTTTTACCTGTTTTATTAAGTTAATATCTTAGAGTCGTATGCAGAATATATATGACATGAAGCCTGAAGTTCTGACATTAACAGACCATGGACAACCTGCTTTTAATAGACTAGTAGAGTACATTTAAGCTTACCTTACAAATAAGCTCATAGGAATATACAACAAAAGCCAGCTCAGACCTTTGCTGTGTTAGAGGGTTGCTATAGTTAAGTGGGTCAACATTCTCCCCTGGGACAACAGGCTATTGATGAGAGAACAAATACTGCTGAACCCTCGCATGATTGACCCTTGGCTGAGTTGGTCAAAGCTAAAAGCTAAAATGTAACTGTCATGTAAATATATTCTGTGCTCTGACTTCTTGACACGTCCGTTTCATTGTAAAAACATCAAACATATTACTAGACAAAAGTATTTTTAGGAAATCTAGACCTGGCCTTAAAAATATGCAGGAATATTTTAAGACAAGATGCCAGATCTCTTGGGCATAATAGATATAAGAGGAGTAACGTTGATAATTTCAAAACACATGCAAGTATACTCAGACTCTCTTGACGTCCACACAACGAAGTTCAACGTTACACGTTAACGCCCCCTCCCCACTTCCGATATCTTGCGGGATACCAATCTAACCCCCTCCCCCTCCTGTGCATTGTGCAAATTCAAATAGTTCAGAACTTCGTAAACCTACCTAGCAGCTGATTTAGTTAAAACGTGTGATTTCTCCTCTCTCTCGGCTCTCAAAACGCACGCGCAGCCCTAGTTGGACGCCACAGGTTGCCAAGCAAGATTTGGTCTGTCAACCTGTCCTCCATGTTGGATTAGCACACTACAGGCAGGAGGGGTGCACGTTTACTTCCGGGTACGGAAGTATTGTTTTGGGAGATTGAATCGTGGTAATAAGTCTGTCATACATGTAATTGCTCTGGTTGCATGCATGCATGTGGTGGGTGGGAGGTGATTTTGACAAATGTTTTGATGGAAGGTCGAGCCTGAAGGTGATGGTATATGGAGGAATTCAGGAAGTGATGTAATACATCATGCAGTCCATGATTTGACACTATGTACTCAATTTTCCAGTGACCTTTGATAGCCTGATAGGACAGCATCAGCACCACTGTAGAATGGTTACATGTATAGATATATAGATGAAATTGGGATTTCCTTTCCTTTAGCTTATTTAGTTTTGGCATGCTGAACTTAAAAAAAAACAAGTGGGTATTCATTCAGTTTTAACAAATGGATTTTTTTTACTAGCATCCTATCAATAAAGTAGGATTAATGCTCATACATTTGTACATTCTGTATGTACATGGAACAAGGAAAGTAAACAATGCAAGAAGTCACACTTCCCATCTGCTTTAATGAAAGAAATGTTAGCCGCATACATGTAATACTCCACATATGCATTGTACATCATGTATTCTGGAAGCAGTGTTGTAAATACACTGTGTACATGTAACGTTATGTACACGATGCTTAGTGTATGAAATACATCAACATATTGATTGATCCATATAATGTTACATGTACTTGTTCATAAGATAATTTCTGACATGTTTACTCAATTGTTTACACAAGTTTATTTGTACAGGCTTGTACAGCCTGCTAAAGTACAGAATTTACATACAGGAATGATTGTAAGTTGGAACACAATGGCAAAAGCAAGTGCATTATTACAAGCATGCCATGCACTTCAACTTTCCAAACCTAAAATTTATCACTTCAACATCATTCACAAAACTGTAGTGACCAATGTACTTTGAAAACATAATCTATTTTCTACTTCAAGTACTCAGCAACCACTTCTTAAATATCTAAATATTTGTTCATAAACTCAATCAATACATTGTGCTGTTACTGTTTTCCAATATTGAGTTTTGCATCTTTACTCTACAAATAACAACTTAATAGTATCATTAAGTCTTACCACTCATAATAACCAGAGGAAGACAATTAGTTTTAGTAAAAATAACTGTATGTACTCACTGTGATAATTATCATGCACTCTCATACAGTTTTGGCACAAAATAGCATTTCCTGGTACAAAAATAGTAATACAATAATGTGCTCATCATCCAAGACCTCTATGTCCTGTTATTGCATTTCAACTTTCTATTTATGTCCTTTGTGCACATGATAAAACTTGGTACAACTGATAAGCTGATTTAAAAGTTAGGAGTTCAATAAACACAAACTTGCAGTTCAGTTGTGCATTAGTAACTTACTACTAAATCAAGACATTCAGTATCGCATACTCTTTACAATAACATGGAAAACAGTTTAGTTGTCCATATTCCGTGTAAAGGTCAGTGCATGACCTATGATATTTTCCTATAGATTTGTCAAACGTCAAACTGTGTCTGAGGGGTCATGCCGAGAACGTGGCGCTCCAGGTAGGGGTTCAGGAACATGCCCTGTGGGTCCAGCTGCTCCCGAACGGCACAGAACTTGGAAAACATTGGGTACAGCTTCTGAAACTGCTCAGGTGTCACCTTGTGAGCCTGGATTTAAAAATATTGAAATTCATATTAGTACATAAATTTCCAATATCTAAATGACTGTTCTTCAGTTTGAAGTTGTGTAAAATGGCACTTTCAGGAATGATACCTACAAATATAAAAAAAATAGCACTGAAAGGTTTTAAGTCAGCTCTTCTTTTGCCATCCTCAACTGAGGTGAAGCATGATGCACTTTCAAGTGACTACTCCTGCAAAGTGGCTTTGCTACTGCTCACAAATCTTGCCAAGCCCACAGCAACACCCATTATACTCTTCTAGATATGTGTTTTGGACTTTTCCCTTAACATTTCTCAACATGTACAAGTATATGAAAACAACCAACCTTTGCCCAATGAGGTTTCCCTCCAACCTTGTGCATGACGCTCTCATACATGTCCCACCAGGCATCCTTTGGTGCATCCTTTCCATACGGCCTGGAACATCATAGATGGGACAGTAGTCATTTTAATGAGCTTACAGAGCCTTAGGGCCTGGACAGCCAATGACAGATGTGACCATATCATAACCTACAGCCAGACAACAAAGCATCTACAATGGGTGCAACTTGTTGTATTTGCACATGATGACAAAACTTAAATTGTAAGAAAGAATTAATTGTAACAAAGAATCTATTCAAACAAGCCTTTATATTAGTCTTTGACAGTAGTGAACTCAAATACTAGTAACTATACCTGTAAGAAATGATGTTGATGTAACAGTTGTCTTGTTGGTAGCAGGGGCTAAGGTAGATGTCGTCCGATCGGACAAACCGAACCTCCACTGGGAAGTGAACTTTGTGTTCTGGGTGGGACTTGACCCAGTCTTGTAAAGTGTGCAGCACATTTGCAGTTTCACTCCTACACAATTATAAGAAATGCATGTGGTTAGCAGCCTGTCCCAGTGTCTCCAACATTCCTAGCATTTGGTAATTACAGATGAAACACAAGCAAACACACACAGACACACCCAAAACAAAACCTTTGTACAAAAAAAACCCTGAGGATTGTGAAGCTAACAGGCATTGTCAAACTACCAGCATTGAGAACCATACCTTGGAAAAGACCACTCTGTCACATACTGCTTGAAAAGACATTCAAAGTTGAAGACTTTGTCACTGCGATCCACCCGCTCTGACGGTACAGCATAGATGTAGCTGTAGTAAAACTTGTTGATACATGGTAGGAGGTCTGAACAAAATGTGCTGTTGAAAACAGGAAACAACAAGGTAAGGTACATTGTGTATGTGTGTCCATACAGTTAATTTCAAAATTAGATCATGCAGGGAGAGATTATAGCCACAGACAGTGGTAGTTCACATTAGTACACAGACTCACTTCATGTTTCAGTATAGCAACATTTAAAAGTTTATCTGAGCTGTAGGAAATGAAATCAGTTTCCTTGCCTCAACCACAGGAGAAACTCCAGCAAATAGTAGCCCACAAAATAATCCCAAAACCAGCTGGGATTGGTCTGCACTGGCTGCAAAATACATAGAAAAACATACATGTAGTAAAAGCAGTCCTCATCATACAGATTTCACATTTAATAGGTTATTAAAAAGTACATGTATTATTATGCACCAACAATTAAGATGCAATGATGCTGAAAGGAAAATTCACAGATACCTTTTTTGTTCTGTTGGAAAGAAATGCCACCACCCCATCTGTATGTGGATACCACATGAACTTAAAATGTTCATTCTCATCCAGGTGCTTGTCTAAAGTGCTGAGCATCTGCAAAGAAATACAAAACATTAATACCATCATGCCAGAAAGTGAAAAATAATAAAATCTCTGCATATCCTTCCAGAGTTTAACAGTTTCAATATCCCCTTCAACATACAAATAGCTTAAAACTGCTGTCGACTCTTTTCTGTCCTTTTGAACAAGACAAAAACAGCCGTGAATCACAGTTTTCTCACTGCCTGCAGATAAATAATTCGACCTCCAATTTGATCATTTTCCTTCCTTACTTCCTGTGGCTTTTATCTTCAAATAACTATGCTAACAAACATACAAACCAAAAGCAAAGCAGCCATAGAGAGAAGATTTTCACCTTATCGAGTGAGCAGCTGAACTGGACCTGGTGGAGATTAAAAGCAGGTTCACACTGGATCTTGACTGTGAGGATGATTCCCAGGGAGCCCAGACCCACCAATGCTGTAAGGAACATGTCTCTGTTCTCCTCACGAGACAACCTCAGTACTTCTCCTGATGCTGTCATCATGGTCATCTCCAGAACCTACATATAGTATGAGAGAGTCATTCAACTTAGGTTGTAAAACTTAACTTTTTGTACGGAAATCTTTGTAATGATTATCACTGATAATCTTTCATTTGAATATCTTAGAGTCTACATGTGTACATACATCTAGAGTTGTTTCCTCACAAAAAATGGACTCACATGTGTTGCAAAGATGCCAAAGGTCTTGCCTGTACCATGAGTTCCAGTGGAGATGACCCCTGCAGCAGAGATCTCTGACACTGCTCCCTGACTATTGGAAGGAAGTTAACATGTAAATGTAACCTCTAGCACACTTAAGAAACCAGTTGGCTACCAATTCTCTATTGGCTATGGGATAATGCAGCAAGGAGAAGGTTAAATACTATGTTTCAGTCCTGTGAGACAATTCAAATCAACAGCATGACATTAAATATTTGGAAATTTACATATATAAATTTACATAACGGTAGTCCATGAAACTGCAAAGAAAATGTGAACAGAATTGTGTTGACTTTTGTATGTCCTTACTTGGAGAGAGCCATGTTGTATTTTGGCAACACCTCTTCATTCAGCTCCTTGAGCAGGATTCCTGACTGGACTGTCACTACACAGTTCTCCTCATCAACCTTGGACAGGACAGAGATGGAAAATGGTTCAGAAAGATTTTGTGCAACAGAAATTGTGGATTTGGAACAGATCTCATCTGAGGCTGTTACCTCAATAGGCACTGAACAACACTCACAGGTGTGCAAACGCATTACAGATCAGCTGGTGTAATATAACCAGTAGCTGCTGCACCGGATGCCTAAGAAGGTTGGCTGTTAAAGCAAAGGGCAGTTATGCACAGTGTGATCGAAGATCAAATTGAATGTCAAGGTTGTTGATGTAAATGTGTGTACTGTACACACATCTCTTGTGTAAAGTTAGCTGTCAATCTAATGTCAATACTAGTGACTAATGACAACATTATAATTAATACATGTCAGCCACTGTAGTGGATGCTACAATGTTTGCTGTAACTAGGAAAGCTCACACACAGTGTTGATTTTGCTCTATTAAAAGTCTGCTGTTACAGACAGAAGTAAAGGAGTTGACACATACCTCCAACACCTGTCTGTACTTGGCCAGACTGATCATGTAGTCTGTGGTACAGGCTATGTCCGAGGGGGAGTGCCCAAACCCACACACCTTCACACGCTTGCTGTGACGTCTGGCTTTTTCCAGGATCTTGGATTACAAAAAATACATGTAAATATATAAATGTACAAGAATGTATAATAAATAAAGTCCTTTTACTACTTCCGGGTAGGGAAGTATTGTTTTAGGTGGTTGAACTGTGGGTTTGTGTATCTGTTTGTGTACATGTAGGTTGACAGCATGTGGGTGTATTGATAATTGGCAATTGCCTTGACTTGTGAAGGATGAATTCAAAAATGAAGTCATGACTAAAATTTTTGCAGAGCACCAGAGCAAAAGATGTGCAGAGTAAGAGTTACTATCTCTTTCCACAAAAAGGCATCTTTCTGAGCTCCGAGTCAGACTACATGTCACCACAGATGCCAGGAGTTGTTTGTTTTTCCTCACTTTCTTACCTGTCTTATTTCCTCTGTAGTAGTTGGCTCGAAGAACAGCTCTGGCTCACAGGAGAATGTCTCTGCCCAGTTGGTGAACTTTCTTCCTGTCTGCCCTGTCATCTAAACACATGAGAAGAAAGGCAGCCCATTACAATCAATGTCCAAGTGCCAACTACACCACCTATTTTCTATTGTGTATTTGTATACTAGTACAAGCAAGGAGCTTTTAGACAGAGCTTAAACAAATGTTTACTTTACAATTAAATGTTCTGCCAAGTCATTTTGACAAGGAACTTAGTTGCAGTCATCAAAAACCTGCGAACACAAAGGTAAACAAGTGCAACTGACTGGTATTTTATTGAGCCATTAAACTATTTAAGGTTCAATTCATCCATATTTATAACCTCTCTGTGAAAACAACATTTACAGCTGAGAAAAATAGCTGCAACATCATATGGTGGCACTTTAGTTTTCTAATGTTCACTAGTTGACTATAACTGTTATAGCGCCCAAATGGGAAAAAAAGTTAAAATTTTCTAAGAGTCACTAAGACCCTCGAATTATTAACCGTTACATGGCTGAATGTAAATAACATTCTTAAAAGGGACAACTATACAAATGAGGCTGGAAAGACATCGATAAATACATACAGTAAGGACTTCTCAAGATAACTATATTCAGTTTAATCTTTATTGTGTGTAATAATAAGGTTAAATCGATTGTTATTTTTGCTGTGTCATGCACGCACATCTGCTTTACATAACCACGCCGTGACATGCATGCTTTATTGACCCGGCCCTACAGGCACATGCGTGGGGCCGGCAAAGACAAAGCACGGATCCGGCCGTAGGCAATCAATCACCGAACTTATGCAAGCGTTAGCAAAATTCAAAAACCATTCAGTACACCAGTAAGGAACAATCCTTCAATTGTGCCTTTAGAAGCGTTTCAAAACACAAAATCATTCCCCCTCTGTGCAGCCCCATGGTTTGTTCTCGCGCCGGGTCGCGTAACGTGTGCGATCGGTGAAAATTATACGGTGAATAGACGCTCCTATCCCGACCGGATCTACGTAAGTATCGTCTCGAAAGTTAGAAGACTCGCTCAGACCCGTTTAAAGGAAGTTATCTGCCCTCATACGTGTGCAATGCGGCGAAATGAAACGCTAAACTCACCACTGCCGGTCTGTCTGCATCTCCCGCCATGATGGCACTTGAATGAGTTGGTGAGGAAAGGGGCGTGGCATGTCAGCAGCTGACCCGGTTATCTGATGCGCTATTGGTCGAAATAGCCGAACCTCATTGCATACGGTTCAAACTATCATCGGTGGGAACCAATTGTTCTGGGAGGGTGGTATTTTATGTAAATATCATCGCTGCCTTTACGCAAGGACTTATTACAGGCAACTATCGACTTATAACTTCTAATAGGTCAGGTTACTGTTTAAATACGACATGCGACACGTGCCTGTTTAGTATTCGTTTTATAGTATAAATGCTAATAATCATAATTATAATACAGAATTTATTTGCAAAATTATGCCCGAAGGCTGATTGCATAAGGTATATATATATATATAGGCCATATAGGAGACAGACAACCACTGTTTAGTATACACTGGACTAGTGATTAGAGGCAAGTTACTAATCACAATGGAGAATGTTAGCGCTCACACGTGGGACTTAATTGCCCCATCATAAAATTGGTATAGCCAAGTCTTTTGCGTCCCCCCAACTGCAGTTTTATCAAGAGCGTAAGATGGCGCTATTTACACCGCTAACATATATTAACGTCATATATATTTGGTGGACCAACAGAACTGGAATAGCTATGGGGTTGCGCGAATGACAGAACTGAACATATGGCCGACCTCAAACTAAGTAGCCTCTTGTTTTGATATACTGTTGTGATCAGACCTCCTGGAAGTGTTTCTGTGTTCTTGTGAATGTACATATATGATGATATTTAAAAATACCGTTTGTTTGTAGTGAATGGTTTTTAAACTTTGTAAATTGGACGTAATTCAGTGGTCCCATTGCAATGTTCAAGTAAGTGATCTTCAATCTTGATATATTGGAACTGTAGCTAGAGGGGATTGTATGACGTAATCTAATCAGGTATTCCACACAGTCAACCACTTCTCATGTACTACCCACCTTCTCCCACCCTGTCAATCAAATAACCAAATAGCTACAATCTCTTCCTGCAACCATGCGACCGTCTCTCCTGGACAAGCATACACACAAACACACAGACAAACACACACAAATCGATACCTCCGTTCCCGCTTCCCCCTTTCTATCGTAAATATAGATATCCATTCATGCAGTTGTAACGTATATTCACACAATAACAACGTCAGAGAGACAAAAATCCAATGGTTTATTACAAATATGGACCGTTTCTGAGTACAGATTGTTTAGAAATAGAATTACACTATTTACATCTATCTGTCATAACCACAACAGAATGTGGACGTTGGCTGCTCACCGATGGTAAAAACCGCAAATGACCTTGAATCCTTGCGTCCCCCGCAAATGTAGTCTTAACAGAGTGTAGGATTACGCTCTTTACACTTTACAGTCAAGATGGTATACGTATATACACAGTCTTCTTCACAGGTTGAAGGTAAGAGCGAAGAAAATATTTCCTCGGCCCTACTTCCCCTATTACAGAAATGTTTGAACTTTTACACGTAATCTTCTCAAGGTGACGTTACAAGGTAACCTTATGAGTCCAAGCCGTAAGCCAACGACAGAAAAAGGGTTAGGTCTACCTCATATCTACATATATGATGTTGCACTTCTTTGATTTCAATTGCCGGGATCCCCAGCCATGCAAGGAAAGAAAACACTCTCTTGATTCTGAAAGATAATCGTCATGTGTTTCTCTTTCTTTGATACAGTTATATTTGGATTTGTGCGAAACCATTCTACGTTTTCATGCCTATATTGACAATGATAGCAGCAAACAAACGTTAAAGACCAAACCCAAGAAGACCTTATTCACATACACAACCTTACAATATGAAAATACATTTTTTACTTGAATCGAACTTAAAATATTATACACCATTATATCATATTTGCAATGCATTTTCTATAGATGATAAGATGATTGTGTTCAATGGTACTGATAGTTGACTTCTTCCATTCTATTTCCCTAGCCTTTGAGCTACTAGTATTTACATCGTATATTTGATAGACAGCGTTATATGGCCCCACTCTGTACGGCAGTCATCATCGGATACAGTACCCCACAGTAAAAATGTCGTCATGAATTTCGGGTTGATGATAAGATCGTGGCACCATCTCCCAGGTGTTGCACAGTCCACAGGCGACACACAGTGGCGAAAGGTTGAACTGCATCTAGCTGATCATGAATCCAGTTTTGTTATGTTGAGTCGCGGTTGAAACAGGAAGAGTCAATGGTTGAGTCAGTTGAAGATCTGGTGGGCAAGTTCTAAAATCTGAAAGAAAAAGTTATATTGAGATAAGACTGAATAGAAATTATACTCACATCAAATATAGCCAACGTAGAGGGACGATGATGTGAATGACAGGCTTATCAAAAATCGAATTCAACAATACCAATGCAACCCTGCGTTGATATGAAAATTCAAGAAGATGCAGAATTTTTTTCACGTTAGTGTTTATTTTAAACTTCTCATACTTCCAATTTCTACAGGAGTCAAATGTTCCACATTGAACAGATCACTTTCCTTTGTGTTCTAACGACTTCACTAGAGACCACTTGACTGAACGAGCTGCTTTAGTTGTTGAGAGGTCTACACAGTGGTGTATTTCAAAATCTGTCAATAAAGCCAATATTTGAAATAAAGGATACCAATATATATAGTTTAGAGGCTAGCAACGTCGTGCAATTTTTTCCTATCTTAAAACTATAAATAGAAGTAGCGTCATGGACATACATGGACGGCGACCCTGACCTTTTGCAATCTAGCGTTTGTTTCACTTTGTTGTTTTTTTGTCCTTTCATCATGGGCCTTAACAAGAGACTGAAAAATACGGACAAGTTCAATCAAGGCAGAAGCAATCCAGAACTGTTTCCCAAATTATTTTTTTCTCATTTTCAATACATGTACGAGGGCAATGCACTCTACTCTGTGACGTTTGTAGTGTACTCATTGTCCAGCCTCCCTTTCTTCCATTGCCATGGGAACGATACAAACATCCTCACGTGAGAGGCCCATCCAGGTTAATGATGTCATTACTTCTCATGATTACGTGATTATGACATGCCCAGTGACGGATTTCCACCCTGCTCCACACAGATTAGTTTGCTTGTCAAATATCCCCAGTATTGGCTCGTAGCTAATCTAATTATTGCTCTAGGTAAATAAATACACGCCCGTTGTATCCATGCACACTGTTGTGTGTTTTGACCATTTCTAAGCAACAAACATTTCCATAGACGATGTAGTTCTAGTATTTGAGATTTAATGATTTTCTTGTTGCAAATTCGAAAAAAAATGCCTTCAGCGTTGGGCAATATAAGTTACTGGTTGATCCCAAAGTGTCGATCACTGTTCTGGGAATTTTCCGGATCATTATAATGAGAGCGTATTGTATGTACGTAGTTTTTTTGCTGGTTTTAAATGTTGCCACGTACTAGTTGTTCCTAGAATAACTTACTTACTCAGAATAACCTGTGGAAAAAATGAGCCATCCCATCTGACGATCGCGAACTGAGAACTAGCAGGCTGCGCCCGGCGTGCCTCTGTCCTAGCAACACGATATCTAACGTTAAACGGTGGGCTTCTTCCTGCACTATGTTTTTTCATCGACCGATGTATTTCTTTGACTCGTAACACCACTGTCATAGATGGACGTTACTGTGTACAATCAGAAACATATGGTAGACTAACATGGTCGTTTACTTTTGATTGTTACGTGCCGTCTTTAATTTCTCCTGTTCTCTGTCCTATATTGATATCCTCTTTTACTTGCATCCAAATTTAGATACAATAGATTTAGCAACAAATGTACGGTTTACGCACAAGCATATGTTAATGAACTGAACAAAGAAGTAAATCGTCAAACGATTCTACAAGGTTCACGCTTTTATCACTCAGATGTTAGATAGAAAACCTTATTCCCTTGTCTGTTGCCGATCCCTTATTGCAAAAAAGGTTAAGGTTGGCAGGGTTTTACTAGGCTCGGTCGGGTAACCGGAAACACGACATTTTTTCCGATGCTTCACCACGTAATAATTCCAGATTTATTATCATCAGCAAGTTCTGACGGCGTGTTAAGATGGGCGGGTTGCTGAGAGATGTCGGAAGTTGCATATCTGTGTCACTTGTCGGCGCAAGGCCACAGGACAAAGGTAACCACAACTTGAGGTGTACCCAGGGCTACTGTTGGCATGACGGTTGGCTTTGTTTTGGCGACCCCGACACAAGGGTGGATGTCACCATGTATGTTACCTAAACACGTCCATTGTCGCCAAGGCTTTCATTGGCAACCACCCAAGTGTACAGTTTACAATCCGTGACAAAACATTTAACTTCCATTTCGGACTTGATAGATAGATTTATCTAAGATGTATTATTCATGGTCAAGTTGTTCTTTTCATTTGCTTATTTGGACAAACCTTTCGTTTTGTTGAAATATATCATCTTACTCTCACAAAATTTAATGAAAGGTGATGAAAGTATTTTTGTGTTTGACTTTTGTAGGGGCTGTCGGAAGAAACTCCAAACGATAGGTCTTACTTGAACAGAAATCCACGAACACACGAGTGAATATTGGTGAATTTGCCCGGTTTCTGATATATCAGCAACCTTCCCTACGGCACGTCCTTTTGCACCGGCGACAGAGCTACTGGCATTTCGTGACACCACAGTAATTCCATTTGGCAAACGTTACCTCCCAGGTAGTAGATACTTTAAAATCTATAACAAAAGAGCAAGAGATTACGTGACGTGGTTTTTTCGAGGTGTAACGCCAATGTTAGGACAGGTAGCAACGCCCAAACATGCCACATCCGCATCCGTACTTGTGAGTGATAACCCGGCCCTGCTTACCTACGTAGCCTCTTTGGCAGGCTCTACGAGGTAGAAGGTGTCGCACAAGAAGCGTATTATAAGCCTCAAAAAGTCCGATTGGTAGATCCTGACAAGGAGGCTACTGCTCACTTTGGTAACTCTGAAAAGTGCTTTTCACGAAGTAAAGCATATTGTTGGAAAAAATCTTTTCCTATACACCACGTTTTTTCAACCCCACAGTATACATATATACCTGTGGGCCGGGGGTCTTATGTGATTAGACGAAAAGAATAACACACGGAACAGGGAATAGTGTTCTTGAAAATTAGGTTTCACGGTAGACTGACGCACGTCAATTCATGTTATCACTGGGCCCACGCTTCAGCTGTCTGGTTCTACTTATTTCGGAATGGTGGCGCAACAAGTGGTGCTGTTTGCCGCTTGAATTACATCCATACGACGTACTGAGAGCATTTGACTCATTGTTCGTGGATCTGAAACACGTTACTATTCGGGGTATGATTTCTGCATCCGCTAAGTCACGACATGTAAAACCGTACCGGTGCCGTAATTTTTTCTACGTCAATTAGGATTCTACGGGTTCGCCTCAAGCCATGTGTTTTGCCTCGTGAGCCCTTGATAATGAGCCACACTCGCCCATTGGTATGATTTGAAGTGAGACTAGCTATGTTCTGGCGTTAGCAACCTGCCCTACTTGAAGCCCAGGTAGATATGTGTTCAGGTGAAAGTAGGCCATAGGGCTCATGGACACCACCGACTCTAACACACTTATGTCTGTACATGTTTTGTTTCGCATGTACATTTAGTAATGAAGGTTTAGAAGCAAAAACTGTTGGATAGTTTGTTGACACTTGACGTTAAGTAATGTCAATGTGAACGTCCTACCCTTAACAAATGTGAACAACCGCTAGTGAACAGTCAAGTGGTGTAACCTCTGGTACTTGGACACATTTAGCTTTAGAGTGTTCCCCGAAATTCTCTCAAAGGGTTCTGGAGAGATATGTCTACGATCGCCTTGATGGTCTCAAAATAACTGAAACGATTATATCCTTTCACGGTTTGCAGGTTATACAAGCTTTCTTCCTGTCACCAAATATACAGATAGATTTTTGTAGCAATGGTACGTGTGGTCGTGTGCATGAATATTGATTTCTGAACACGGACTTTAATATGGCGGGTTGCTCCTACAATACAACATGGCGAGCGAAAACAGCCTTCTAATTTGAGGTTCAACTGAGGAGTTCAACTGAGGACAGTCCCTAAATTGTCAACAACACTGTTAATTCCGTAACAAAGCGTTAGTACTAGCCGTGTATCCGCGTAAGCTACCCGTTATTATTTTCTGCCAGGGGAATGAATTTACAAAAAAGCTAAACGGGGGACGTGGAACAGCGAAAAAGGGCGCTGACTGAAGATTTATAATGACTGCACGAAGGTATACGTTGTCTGTTTGGTATTTTAAGACTGACATCAAACGAGACGTTAAACGCCCGAGGCGGGGATTGACATTCTATTTGTACTCTATATCCAGCCCGCATGTCCGTGACAACCGACAACTACTGAACCCAACACTTCCGTGAGACCGGCCTGTTTTTGTGAAGAGATTTTATCAACAGTTCTGTGCACGACTACTCCATCTACAAGTGTTTACACAGCTTACCGGGCTTCTCTCTAAGACTCTGCCGCTTCTTGCTGTCCTTCTCCTCCTCCTTCTCCGGTCTGGCCTTCCTTCTCGCCGGCGTCGTCTGCAGGCTCGGTCTCATTTTCCATTTCCTCTCTGACTACCGGCTTCACTGCGACTTCTTGTTTCGGCGAGGATTCCGGTCGGCTGTTGTCGTCTGCCTTCGGCTCTGCCGCCGTTTTGCTTCCTCCACAGCCCATATTTATGTATTTTTTTATGAAAAGACAGTCTTTTGGGGTAAATCTGAAGAGAAGTTCTTCCAGCTGCACTAGAGGGAGCGAGTACACGTCTCTTCTAACCACAGGGTCATTAAGTTCTGGTCGAACGCGTAGTGAGTCTCTGGATGAATAGTTTGTTTTGAAACGTTGTCCTGGCAACGGGCGATCAATATTTAGAGAACCGTGCCTCGGTAGGTAGCGACGACAAAACTAGCAGAATTAACAAGCTCTCCCGTGTCAACAGCGCCCGGCGATTTTTCACGTTGAGTGTTATTGAATCGCAGTGAAAGTGCGATGTTTGCGGCATCGATTGGAAGCGCTTAGCTGAGGGAGTGAATTAATTGAAATCGTGAGCCTTAACAGGTTGTGGTGATAACTTTAACAACTAGGGATAAACAGAGCAAAATCACGGCAGTAAATTTCTGCATTGATTAACATTATTAGACCGTCGACTACGCCCTGGTTTCCAGAATACACTTACATGTAGTGTGGATTATACTTTTTAAAAACTCGTTTGTTGCCATGTTTGACGCACACCATCAGACAATCCACCTTCTGTGGTACGGCGAGGTCACATTCGCCGTAGGTCAACGTACGATTGTTTCATGCATGTCGTAGAGTTTTCATGCAGGCTGTGACAGAACGAACCGTTGACAGAGATCTAGGACTGCCTAAGCTAGAGTTACAAGACAGTTGACATTTTTCAGGACTATGCCAGGTTTGTGATCGTACGACGCACGTATGTGAACGGGCACAGATCTAGAAAAGACCGGATCGACTCTGGTTGGGTTATTGACATTTGTATGAAAAAAATCCACGAAGAAGGAAGTTTGCTGGTGATTCTCGTGTATTTACCAACTGTCTCGTTGTTTTGTGCCTGTGTACACCACTTTAGTTGCTCAGCACTCAGTTCTAGATAATGGCTAGCGTGAATGTTAGGATAAGCGTAAAAAAAGTCGACCTGCACTCGTAACTTTGATATGAGATGCCTTTGTAGGACTATATACACGAACGATTATAGAATGGATGGATGCTCTCTTATTCAATTTGATCTTGATTATATATTGCAAGCTGAGAAAAGGCCACGAAGCGATTCTCGAAATTGTTTCTATACTGAATTCTACATCAGTGTTTGAAACATTTAGGCCACAAAGCAACCTTTGTCCGTCACGATACACTTTCTATGAGGTGATATTTTACTTTTAGTCAATATTTAGCAATGAGTTAAAATATACAAGTTTAATGTTGGGACACGTGCACAACACACCTTGAAACGTTACTCCTTTGAATTGGACTAAAGACGTGCGTGATATCTCACAAGATCCACACATGGTCGAGCTTTCTCTCGTCACGTTATACGTGTGGGATTTGCGTCAATAAAGATTAGCTGTTCTTCCCCTCCTTTTCATGCCCCTGGGTGGGTCTACAGATTGCCTCTCTCGCCTCCACTTGAACCTTATTCATGACGTAAGAGATTGCTTTGGCACGGGCACTTCAAATCACCTCCCTTTATATTCCAGCTAGCTCCGCCCTTTCAAAAGCTCATAGCAGGAAGGTTTAAAACCAGTTTTGCACAATTCGAAGGCTTAAAACTAAAAGACCGCCTTTAGTAAACCAAACGATGATGTCGGCGATTTCGAGTTATAATTTACATACTGGATCAAAGGATCGTGCGACTCATAACAAATCAGTTAATTACATTTTGCCGAAGATAATTACCCAGTAACAGGTTTAAAGTTAAGACTGGCGACCAGTGCAGATTAAATGTTGCGGATATTTGGAGGACATCAGAAGAGGACTTTTTTTTATAAATCCTCCTGTCACAAGCCGCGGGACTGAAGTATCGGAATGTTTTGACCTGTTTGGATGGAAACAAAGCCTTGGTCAAACAAAACAGGCCAGAGAGATTAATCACTTGGGTATAACTACGTCTTAACAAAACTTCCTCTGGATATCCCGGATAGTCGCACTCAGTATCTTGACACCAGTTTTCTTTAGTGACCAATGATGATAACTATTGGCGCGGACACATTCGTCGTACAATAATATGGCATTCTTGCGATAGCCGTGAGTTTATCGTACATACATTGTAATTCAGCTGTCTTGTTGGAAAGGCTGTCTCAAATCCTAGCTTGTTGGCGTTTGGTTCTGTCACAGCCAGCTTGGAAATTCTACATCTAAATCGTACGAGGACGCCCGATGAATGTGACCGTGCCGTTACTATTCAATACTTTTACGGGTGAGAGTTACAGGTGTTTCCACCATAGATCACATGGAGGCCCCAAAAGTAGGTATAGGGGAAAGACCAGATCGTGAAAGGCACAAGATGTAGTTTAAAGGCAGCATAGCCTAGGCCATGTCTGCACAGTGCAACATGGAGGAACCTAAAAGAGGGGGCCAGGTCCTGGCATGGCAGACATCGTACACTAGTACTCAAACAGTTCAAACTACAGCTGATGAAAGTCTATACCTTCACTTCATACTCTACGCTGGCACTGATTAACTATGGGCTAACCCTTTATGTTTGGGTAATGGGACGGCTAATTCAATTATAACACAGCTTAAATTAGTTGCCACAACAGTCTTTGACATGCCATGACAGAAGCCGTCCACACCTAAAAACTTTAATATGCATTGTTGACTGTGTGCATGAAGTACACATCGTTGAAGTACGCGCTGCAGTTAAAAGGGTCTAGTTACGGCCATTATATTGGCATACAGGGGGAGGAATGGCCTGGTAATCATATCATCGGGGGTTCACGGTATCTCTAAGGTGCTGGGAGTGCTGCCTAGCTGTCCGTCTAGCCCATTACTTACATATATATTTAACATTTTCATCAGTGGACGATGTGGAATATTCATTGTGTTGATTTGAATCACTAAAATAAATGCCGTAAATTGCCGAAAAATGTTGGAAAACTGATAGAGTCTACTAGTGTCTTAGAATGATAACTTGGAAAGGTTCTGACTATTTGTGCCATTACAACGCATTTGTAGTTTTACCACCTTAAAATTATTGAAGAAACTTGAGTTAAGTTTTTACTGGTTTAAATCTTTATTCACATATAATTCTTCCCGACCAACAGGGGTCTGTAGAACCATCCTGCTGACGAGTAAAAGAAGCAAAACTATACTGGAATGCAAAAAAGGTTTTTGTGATACAAGTAACTCCTATTTTATATATATATTGATTTAACAGTGCTATCTCAACAGAGTAGTTGCCCAAATGATGAGGGATACATCACAGTTCCAATTTATATGTTGCACAAAACATTTCATTAAACTTACATGAATATTGAAGCTAATGCTAAAGCTCTCAATAAGCCACATGGTGGATACCACTAGTATGTGAAAGTTGAAGACCCATGAACAAAACCTGTTTGGACATATGTGTCAAGCATGTTTTGGACAAGAAGTGTTTAAAAGTTTGACGACTTCACCTATGTCCTTGCACATGTGCATTTTAACTGTGAAAGGGCTTATTACTCTGTGATGTGAGATCCTTACTGCATCATCATAAGACACAATTTGGGGGGTGATATATGTATTACAATGGTAAGTGAATGGGAACAGCGTGTTGTCTTTTTCTAAAAGCATGTGTATCTTATTCTTGTTACACTTCCAGCTACAACCTAATTACAATGGTGGTTATAACTAATGCTGCCAAATCAGATACAGACAATATGGCACAATGCTAAACCTACAAATGTACATTAGGCAGTAGGCACTGACAGCAGAAACTACATAATTATGCTTCCTTCCTAAATATTCTTCTTTCAGAAAATTTTTGATTAGGTAGCATGAATAGCCATATTTATACATTAAATGTATTTCTAACACATTTTGCTTTGCCAAACTCAGATCCTACATCTTAATACACAGTATATCAGCACACACAGTACCACTGATAACTACAATGTCCACATACTGTCTTCTTCATATTGTAATTATGTCACCAAAACAGTAACCATTAACAGTAAGTTTCTTAAGCATTTGGTCTGTAGTCTGGTGTTCATTCAGTATTTCTTGAAGCACATGTACAAGTCTTTTACATGTACATAATTGCAACAGCACATCCAGGGATGTAATGACTAATGTGATTGACAGATGAGAGCAGCTAGAAAGGTTGCTGACGCGGCGGGCCCGCTCCTCTTGACCCTCGGAACCCCCGACGTGGACCAGCTGATCCTGTGGAAGTAAACACACAAGACCATCATGCATGGTAAGCAAGTTTAAAGTCCCCATAGCCTTTATGAGGCCATATGGGCAGTAGGTTGTTTATCCACTGTTTCTAAGGCACTGTATTGAAAAGTGGTGCCCATTCCTCTCCTTTCACTGCCTTTACTGGTGTGGTGGTGTGTTACGCCAAAGGGCGGTTATACCGGCTATACTGATACAGATTTACCTCCCCAACTGGGTGGCATGATGAAAGCCTTTCCCAAGAACACAATGTCTAGCTAGGAATGTTTGGGACTGAAAACTATAACCTCTCTATCTCTTGTTCCCAAGACTAACCACTTGGCCATTTACATGTAACACTATGGATGTGATACAGTGTAGTGTAATGATCTGTTCCTCACCTCTAATTCTCATCCTGCGGTTGCCCCTGCCCCTCTGTGGATGGTGCTGAGTTGGAGCGGGAGGTTGTGAGGTGCTGGGGCCCTCTGACCACACCACTGGCTTTATGTTGGGCTTGGGTCTGGATTCTGGAAAACATCCCAGGAAAGGCTTCATTCTACTATGCTTACTACATTTGAATGTAAAGGTACATGTAGCATTGACTTACACCCTGGTCTTTGGTTGTTTCACCTTTCTTTCAAATTAATAATATGTTCAAATCAGGAGAGAAAAATTACCGGTAGCAATGCTGTTTGCAGATCAAGTTTAGTGAACTTGGTGCAGTATGAAGACTGCAAAGACGTCAAAATCTGCTACTATAAGCAGATTGAGAGTACTACACATGTGTAACCACACATGTGTGAGGACAAAGGTGAAGTTCCTTAACTTGTGAACATTTCTTGTCTAGACCTTGCTTGTTACATGTCCAAATGTGATTTTTGTCCTGGGGGCCTTCAACTTTGATACAATGCATCACACCACGCATGCACAGTTGGAACTCTAATTTAGAGTCTAAATCCACTTCCAAAAATGAAACATCGTGCAATGAAATAGTTGTATATAGTCCAGTTCAAAGTTCTACCTGTGCTCCCCGTGGCACCTGTAGAGGGACCAGCACCTGATGAGGATGCCTGCACCTGTCCACTTGCTTCAGCTTCAGCTGCTGGTTCTTCAGTGGGAGCAGAGGCATCACCTGGATCACATGCATGGCTTGAATTTCAGTGCAACTCTAAATCCTCCAACTACCCGTACATGTGTAAATGTACATATACATCACAATTCAGGCATTTTCAACTAGAAGCTGTGACCAATGAGCAACCAAATATTTGATGGATTGATCATGAACTTCATACATAAGTAAGAATGGTTTGCGTGTTTTGTTGTCTTTTACAAACCCCCAATATTGACAGAGAGAAGAACCTGACCTCCTGATGTCGCTGCCTCCTTACTTTCCTCTTCTGGCTCTTCTGTTTCTTCATCTCCCTCCCTCCCTTCTACCTCCTCCTCTTCCAGGCTGCTTGGGAAAAGAAAGAAATACTATAAGATGTGTTTCTCAGATGTGCTTTGTACTTCTAATCAAACTCACAGTCTAGATTATTCAATACAGATGCAGTATAGTCTATACAAAATGTTAAATATCTTGTAAATGTCAGGCTAAATTCTATAACTAAGCTCCATCAGTGTATTTCTGTCCTATTTCTGCAGCAGTGTGCCCCTGACCTGGGTTCCTCCTGACTGTCCCCGGTACTCTGGGGCACATCCTGGGAGGCCTGTTCGCTGGGCGGCTCCGACACGGGCACAGCTCGCGGGGATGTACGCGGGGAGGGCACACGTGGGATGGACTGTACTGTGCTCATTTCTACATGTTCCAGCACCGACGGCCCACCTTCACTGAACACTGTAACTGTGCACACAAACTTCATCATCAGACATTTATACAACAAACATGTATCCTTCAACAGACCACTCCTGACTGTCCATCACAATTAGCAGTTCAACCAATGACAAGATGGCAATTAGTGCTTCGACCAATGAGAGAGTCTGTCGTTTTATGTCAGCTCTTTACTTTGCACCATTTGTTTTCTACTTTATGACAGAGGTGGGTGGGGCTATGAGATCTTTCTATTGTTCTTCAATTTGATGTCCTTTAAATTATACATTTACATCTTGCATCATACTTCAATAAGGAAATGAAGGATCACACAAATCCAGGAATTGTTGTCTGATAGAAAGGGTGCTGTCTGACAGGTAAGACTAACCTGGTGCAGTGAGTTGTACTGGGGTTGTAGGAACGCTGCGGCCTGAACCCTCGTCCTCGCCACCCAACAGGTCCATGTGGGTGTCATCCATGCCAAGGGCTGCACAGTAGCAACATAAGGCTTATCACTAATGCTGTCACGTAATATTATTTCATACAAACCTAAAACATTGTCAGTAAATCCACAAAACTATACATACAGTGTTCATAGTTATTACACTAAAAAAAAAACACTTTTGGGAACCATCACAAGCAAATACTACTAAAAATCTGTCCAAACTTGTTCAAGCCTGTCTTACCTCCCTGTGTAGCCAGTTGTGCTAATCCAGGCTGGGCTCGCTGCATCTCTGCAATCTCAGATGGAGGACCGAAGGAGAAGCGCACACCCTGGATCTGTGGAGAACTGACACGGACATGGGGATGATTACACAATTATGTGTCTGTTACTAGGTACTTGTTGCTACATTATGCATCTCTAATTTTGATATTTTTATTTTATATGACAGGTACATGACAGAGGAGATTGCAATTTGGCAGCATTAAGATTGCAATTGGAGTCACCGTCAACAGAGATTGCAACCAGGATCTCTGCACGTCTTAGGGGCCTCCAGCTTTAAAACACAGTACATGTACATCACACTGTGCAGGAATAAACAAAGCTGTCTTACTTGAGGGCTTCCGCGAAGCCGTCAGTTCTTCTTGGTACAAACAGGGTCGGGGTGCTGGGTACCGTGCAGTCATCCACGTCTTCAAAAGCTGGTCCACCGTGACCCTGTCAAAACACATGGACAGTCAGCTGACATCCTTTTAAACCAGGAAAATAATTTGCCGGCAAGTCTGCGAGCTCTTAAGGACATTTTCAGCCCAATACAGCAGGTGTCCTCTCAATCACAGCGTGATTTTACATCTACATGCTGTGAGTGTGACAGCTACAAAGCCATGCATCTATGGAAAATCGATCATGGTTTCTGGTTATACATGTGCACTTCAGATACATGTAGTTTGGTTACTTGTGTATGTGCAATATACCATTCCAGAAGATATAAA